TTGGGGTCTGGGGTTGGGTTCCTCTGGAGCACTGCTGGCAAACCCACTCGTGCCAGCACGTCCCACCTTTGGTGAATGTTGGTTCTCACGGTGGAGTTAAGGTGGATCTGCCCAGTTTCTCCCTGTGGGAGAGCCTTTTCACTAGGTGTCCACTGGGGGACCTTTGCTTTGCTTACAGGACTTCCCTCCAGAGCTTGCCCAAAACACCAGGGCTGGTTTTTGTTTTGTTTTTTTCAAATGTGTTTAAACATGGAGTGGCAGAGGAAGTGAGATCCTTCATCTGCTGGTTCACTCCGCAACAACCAGGGCAAGGTCAGGCCCCCTCAAGGAGCCAGAAGCTTCTTCCAGGTCTCCCACGTGGGTACAGGGGCCCAAGAACTTGGGGCATTCTCCATTGCTTTCCCAGGCCACGAGCAGGGAGCTAGATCAAGTGGAGCAGCTGGGACTTGAAGCAGCATTCATGTGGGATGCTGGCACTGCTGGCGGCAGCTTTACGTGTTATACCACAGCACTGACCCCGTGCTTGGGGTTTTGGTTTGGGTTTTTGCTTTGCCAAAATCAGTAAGGATCCCTGATGTGTTTTGTTGCCAGCATTCAGTTCAGAGCTCCAGTGGTCCCAGTTGGGGCCTGGGCAAGCCCATCAGGCTGGCATCTGTGTCCTCTGACCTTCACTCAGCAGTCTCTGAGTGCTCTCCCCTCTCTGTCGCCCTTCTCTGCCTTCTCAGCAAGCGTCCAGTCCCCTGGCAGCAGCCCTCCAAGGAGCAGCCAGAGCTGTGTCCTTCCGGTCCCTTGGGCATTGTGTGTGGGATCAGCTTGATCCCTGGTTCGTTTTTCTCTGTATTACGCGTTTTACCACCTGCAAAAGTCACAGCTATTGGAGGAAGTGTATCTGTATCAGATTTTTGACTCACGTCCCTGTCTAACTGGGGCAGGTGACAGGACAGGCGGGCTGCGCGAGGAAGGTGGGAGGGGTACTCGGTTCCATCCCCGTTGGCTGGGCGTGGCCTTGAGCTCTACGCAGTCTGCACAGGGCTGTGGTGACTGTTTCTCTCCTAGGAAATGGTGATGTTGGCCCAGCGAAGCCAGCTTCGTCTCCCCAGGAATGGGGCCCCTCCTGTCCTGGCTCAGCAGACACAACCGTGGTCCCCAAAGATGCCAGCCTCTACCTTGTGGGGACAGACGGGAACAGCTCCTGCAGCAACCAGGGCTGGGCCACCAAGGACATGTGCGACGTGACCATCAGTGACCTGTACGCAGGAATGCTACACTCCATGAGCCAGCTGCTGAGCACAAGGCCTGCAGGGGTCATCTCCACCAGGACCTCTATCCTGCGCGCCTGGAGCTGCAGGAGGCGGCAGAGGCACAAAAGCAGACTGAATAGGACATACTGCAAGGTCAGCAGGCCCTCCCACAGGGAAGCCACACGCCCACCCGTGCCTTCTCCTGAGCCCAGCGCCAGGGCAGGAGTGCTGACAGAGTGCGGGAATTTCCTAGACGTTTCTCACCGAACGACGGGTTCCGAGCTGAAAGAAGCTCTTCTTGAAGAAGAAAACAAGCCCCCACGTAAGACATTGGATTCAGACCGGAAAGAGCTGCAGTTAACGCCCTGGAAGAAAGCCCTGGGGACGCCCCAGGACGCCAGCCCTGTGCGTGACTCTGGCAGGGAGAACAGGCTGAGGACATTGCAGTGGCTGATCTCCCCTGTGAAGATCATCTCCAGGCCAGGGGCGCTCCAGGGCCACGGGCAGCATAGGGAGATTGAGGTCAGGTTTGATAAACTGCACCAGGAATACTGCCTGAGTCCCCGTCAGCAGCCTGGCAACCTGCCAGGCCTTGCAGGCTTCTGGGCCCTGGATGTGTGCAGGGGCGGGTCTTGGAGCCCCGGGCACTCAGAGACCCAGAAGCCGAGCCTGTCTGTGAGCAGAGCCAAAGGCAGAAGTTTGAGGGAAGCCTTTGAGCACCTGGGCAGATGCCTGGAAGCAGGCGAAGGCCCATCAGAGGGCAGCCTCTGCCCCTCTCCTACCAGGACTGGCCCCCTCTACCCTTCACCTACAAGAACTGGTCTCCTGTCGGGTCCCAGCCACCCGCAGCAGGGCCAAGGAAGCAGCCCCAGCTGGTCTGGAAAGTTACTGGCGTGCAGTAGAGCCATTTCAGGACCGAGGACAGAGTCTCTGGGCAGCCAGCGGAGCCGGTATGATGAGATTAAAGAGGGTTTTGACAGACTGCATCAGAAGTACTGCCAGAAGCCCCAGCAGGCCGCAGCACCTGCACATGGAGCCAACATCCAGGCCCGGCACCCCGCAGATGACACCCTGCACTGCTGGTTCCAGAAGTCGTCAATGTCACCTCAGTGCTTCAGACAAAGCCTGCTGGGTTTGAGCACAGTGCAGGATAGGGCATCAGCTGACAGCACCAGGCAGGACTATCAGACTCCAGCGAAGCGACGCAGGCTGCATGACCGCCAGCTGCATGCATCCTGGGCCGACCCCCGCAACTCCAAGGCTGTGTCCAGTCCAGGACCACCCGGCGAGAAGGTGCATTTGTGAACCTGGGCGAGGGATCCTCTGCACTGGCTGCTGACAGTGGCTTCCCAGGCCAGCGACCTCCATAGTGCTTTTGGACACACTCCAGGGGATTCCTGGGGGTTCGTTTTCCAAGCATTTGCTCCAATTCTTTCCTCTAGTCAGTATTTCTGTCAGGAAGGTATGTGTGAGCAGCATCAACAACCTGATCTGTAGAACTTGGCATATTCAAGAAATATTCACTGGCGTCACAGGGAGGCCACGCTCAGGAAGTGAGAGGGACAGAGGGAGAGCTGTACCCGTCCTGGCCCAGCACCCCTACACTAAGCCCAGGCAGGGGTGGTGGTCGCCACTGGGAGGGAACCCGGCCACTGGATGGGAGCTGATGGGACATCCACTAGTTCAGGGCTCCTGTTTCCTTGCTGTCACAGAAGTAGAGGTGCAAGGCAGTCCACAGGCCAGCCACAAGTGGCCACGTGGGTTTGGCAGTTTCATGTTCTCCAGCAAAGTATTTCCCAAGTAACCAGGGGAGTGAGGAAAGGAGCGTGGAGGGGTGTCACAGGGGAGCTGAGATCACACCACCAGCTAGAAGATAGGCAGCCGCCTTTGGGGTCCTGTGAGAGGGAGGCCCGCCTACCCCAGCCCCATCCTTAGGATGTGACCTCAAGATGGAGGTGACCATGAGAGCAAAGCCGTGTGTGCTGTCTGGTCCCTGGGTGACGACAGACAGTAAAATGTGAAATCGCGTTGTTCCCGCCCACCACCAGCACCCGAGGAACGAATCTGGCTTCCCAGCTGGAAGAGAACTGGCTTTAGCTGGGAGGATCTGGAGCCACAGTTGCTGCCCTGGGTGTCCTGAAGCACTTCCCTCTGGTTTCAGGTATGAGCACCAAGGTCGCGCAAGCCCAGAGCAGGTTTCCATGGTGCTGACTCGCTCAGAGAACTCTCCCTCCTCGAGTGGAAATACTGCAAATAAAGTTGCTGCTTGGAAAGCCCCAGGGTGATCGCAAGGCCAGCTTGGCTGTTTCCAGCAGCATCTCCCCGTCGCGTCTCACAGGATGAGATTCTCCACTCAGTAAACCTCTCAGAACCTTGGGTCCCTCCTATGAGGTGACAGCATAACAGTGTGTGGGAGGAAGTCACGCTGGGAGAAGCAGGGGAGAGAAACGGCCAGAGGAAGGGGGACCAGTGTGCACGTTGACTAGGCCCTGGACACACAGCTTCATTGTACCTTGCTGCTCACATCTGGGTTCCTTGTGAAATAAGAAGGCCCCAGCCCCTGCTGTAGCCACTTGGGATCCCCCTCTGCTGACACAGGGCCCATGGTGCCTGCATGCATGACTCGGCTCAGGTTCTTAAACCAAACCCCAGAGCCTGGGGAAGGGGCACAAATACTTGGGTTGTTGCAGTTCTACAGATTTGAATGCAAGGCCAGGAAGCCAGCATGGTCGGGTGTGAGGAATGTGTGGTTGAGTCCTTGGCGCTGAACCAGCAAGGGGGCAGCCAAGGGCCCAGCTGCTCGGTGAGAGCCTGGCCCCCTCCCAGCAGGCTATGCCGCATCTCTGGCTGGCCCACCCCAGCTATGACAGCTGCACACCTGGGTCAGGCTGTGTACTTGTGTAGCTGTGGAGGGACAGGCTACGCTCCTGACAGCCTTAGATTTGTGTGGGCTGTCACAGCATCTCACCCAAAGGGTGGGCTGCAGCTGTGATGGGGCTGGCCCCACTACCACATGGTGTGGCAAAGCCATGCTACTCATGGTCAGAAACTCCATCTCAGACGGCCTTGTTGCTCTTGGAGCCGGAAGTCACGTGCTGGCCGTCTCCCTGCTGCACGTGGTAAATGGCCGAGTCATTGCTGGCCACATCTGTGAGGTCGGTCTCTACCTGGCAGAAATCGGCTGCTTGCTTCCATGTGGGCCACCATGAAATAGCTGGACACCCCTGGAGCTGCCACCTGCAGGCTGGTGGGCAACCACATGGTGCTGCTGTCAGCAGGTGCAGGGCTTGCTGCCCTGCTGTGGGGACGAGCAGGCTGCTTGCTCTGGAGGCCTGGGAGGGAAGCCTGCCCTGCTCCTATCCCTCAGCACTGCTTCCTCCTTCGCACCCTCAGCCCCCCGGGCTCCTGTTCCTAACTGCAGACCTCTGGAGAAGGGTAGATAGGGGTGAGCCTGGTATGAACATCATCCCCTGGAAAGTGCTCCCAGGCTGGTGGCACCTCTTCTGTGCCATCACAGCTCTGCCACCTTGGCCACGGCTTTCCTACCCTGTTGTGGGGGTCTTGGGGCAGAGGCTGCACAACTTCTTGGTTCCTTGGGGCTGGGACACACATATCCTAGGTACTGCCTCCTCACAGACAGCAGTCCAAATGGCAAAGATTTATTTGAAAAATAGAAGCAAAGAAAAAATTACCTTACAACTAAAAAAAAGCATGACTGGGAGGATTTCATTTCCACCCCTGGCCAGACTGAGCCACCTGTTAGGACCTTCCTTCCGGTGAAACCAGCACCCCATACTGGCTGCAGCTGTCCAAGACCTTAAGCGTTTCCTGGGCAGCCATGCGGACCCCAGGGTCCGTGTCCAGCTGCAGCTCCTGGAGCGCTGGAGGGTGGAAGCAAGGATGAGGCCTGACTGGGCTTGCCCGCTGTAGACTGCGGTCTCCCAGGGCCTCAGGGCTTTAGTGACCACTCGCAGGCCAGAGGCACTGCCTATGGGACCCAGCAGCCGGGCCAGTGGGGGAGGGCAAGGGTCTTCCTGGTGACCCCTCCTTCAGTGCCCTGGTCACACCCCGGGGGGCCCTGAGACTATACCACTCACAGCTGCGCATTGAGGGGAAGTCCAGCTTCTTCAGGTATTGTGCAGACATCTGCTTTATCATGATTCCTAAAGTGACAGCCAGGGAGACAGGCTAGGCTAGGAGGTGGCTGGGCCACCTGAGAGCCAGGCTGAAGGAGGTTGCCCTGCTCCAGGCCAGCAGGAGTGGGCTCCACGGGGCAAGACCCAGCTCCTGCTTCCCACCTCCTGCTCACCTGCCAGGTTGCAGGAAGCAATTCTGATCCTGGATAAGTTGTTTCTGATGTAGGTCAGTGTCTCCAGCAGGAAGCAATAGAGGACAGCTGGTTTTTTCTGAGTCTGCAAAGCCCAAGCGACACACACAGACTTGGGGAGTAAGATCCAGGAGATGGAAGGGTCTGCCCAGAGAAGGGTGGGTGCCACCCATGTCCTACAACACGTTAGAACACAGGCTCAGGGCCTTCAGTCCCTGCCGTCTTGCTGGTCACTATGGGGGTGGGAGGATGGCTGTTAGATCTGTCCAGAACATCTGTGTGCTGTTCCAACTTGCTAGCCCCTGGCCACACGTGAACTTGCAGAATGGGCCTGACCTAAAAATGGCATACCCACTAGGGTTTGAAGGCCCAAGAAAATGCAAAGTTTGAATTTTGATCTCGGTTGCACATTGCAATGATCAAGTTCTAGGTAGGTTGGACTGAAAGAAATGTATCACTACCACAAAACTGCTTGTGAGTGCGGCTGCTGGGCTAGAAAGGAAGGGGCCCTGGCCAGCACTACGAGGCTCATCACAAAGGGCATGGAAACTGGAATGAAAAGATGGTTATGTTGGTGCAAAAAGGGAAAAATGGAGGTCCACACATTCTAAGGTCTTCAAGCATTTGTATCCAAGTGCCTTTTCACGACATTGACCACAGAGCTGACAGCCTGCGGCTGGGAGGAGGCAGACAGGGTCCCGGGCAGGTAGAGCTGGCCAGGCCTCCTCACCAGCACGGAGCACATGGTCATCTGGAACATGGCCAGCTCGTCATCTGTGCTCGTCTCGCCTCGCCGCGGTGGCCGCTCCAGGGACTTCCAGCCCCAGAAGTGCAGGCACTGGAACATGGTTGCCTTGCAGGCCTGCGAGGGCGGGGACACAGGACGGCTGAAGGAGCAGTGTCAGGTGCCTGGCAGGGCCAGCTGTGCCCCGCAAGGCTTGACCAATCCAGCTCACCCCTTCCCCAGTCTGGGGAGAAGAGGGAAAGAGGGAGTAGGGTACTGAGTCCAGAGGGAGTGGTCTCCATGTGGGGGTGCAAGCAGCCCAGGTTCACCAGAGAGGCTGTGACCAAAGAGGCAGACAGGACTTCCTGCCCCCAGCAGTGGAGGAGCTGAGCTCTGGGGAGGAAGGTCCAGCTGGGGCCAGGTAATCCCCTCACTTCCTCTTCCCTGTCCCCCCCTCCCCTCTGTCTCCCTTTCCTCCTGCCCCCTCCTGCTTCCTCTTTGTCCCCCTCCGCTTCTTCCTCCCTCAACCCCCCTCGCTACTCCTTGCCCTACTGGGAGGGGTAGCAAGGGAGAGTGAAGGTATATCAAACAAAACCCTGAGTCCTGACACCTGGAAGTGGCCTGCAAGAAGCAGAATCTAAAGCCAGAAGGCGGGCGGGGCTGGGGCTAGAGCAGCCGCACCCCCATGATCTGGGGGGTCCTGCCTCTCCCTAGCCCAGGGGTGGTGCCCTCCAGCTCCAAGCCCATGGACCCTGGGACACATCTCACCTGCGCTGTGTTGGAGCAGGGGTCCTGGCAGTGCAGCAGGAGGGGGACCCAGGCCTTCTTCACTTCGCCCTTGAAAAAGTGCTTCTTGGAGAGGCCCACAATGGCCGCCAGCTTCCCGAAGAGGACAAAGGCCTTCCAGCGCAGCAGTTCGCTCTCCTGGGCCGAGGTGGTCACACTGGGCAGGCCCCCACGCAGCCTGGCCATCCTCCACCCCTTGAGCTGTTTTCTTAGCAGAGCTCACCCAGCACCTGGGCCCCAGCCATCACACTGGTCCTCAGACCATCTCTTTCCTGGACAAGGAGTCAGGCTGGATTTGAGTGCACTCCCCTCCTAGCAAAGCCCAGCTGGCCTGAGCAATGTGAAAGGAGCCACCTTTGAGCCCCAGAACACAACCAGACTGACTGCAGACCTCAGAATGGGCTGGATTTGCTGTGCAAGATCCCAGGATTGGCTTATTGCTCTAGCAGTGCCAAGGAGGGCACTGGACTCTGGCTTCCCAGTGCAGTTTCTCTAGGGGACAACAGACAACAGGGTACCCTCATTTTAAAGATGTTCCCTAAGAGTTTGCACATCAGAAATCTAAACCCCAAATTCACATGCTTTGGAGATGTGATTAGGCTGCTCTTAGTAGGATTCTAAGGGGAGGAGGAAGGGCAGATGCTGTGGTGCATCAGATTAAGCCTCTGTCTGTGTTTGGGCACCAGCTCAAGTCCCAACTTCGGCCTGGCTCATCTCTGGCCGTGGAGCATTTGAAGAGTAAAACATCTCTCTCTCTTTTTTGTCTGTACCTTTGCCTTTAAATTGATAAATCTGTTAAAAGATGGGGGAGGGGGAATGACACCACACAAGTACGCTAGGCCCTGGCTGGATGCAGCTGCAGCTGCAGGCACATCCCTGCCTCGAGCACCTTGCCCTACAGCCTCCATCTCAGCCTCCTCCCTCGCTGACCCAGGACCCGGCCTCGGCCCTTCTGCCTGAGCCACAGGCGAGCTCGTCCATGGGCACTCACATCATCGAAGAAGAGTCTGCAGTGCTCTGAGATGGTGTCGAAAGAAGAGCCCACGTCCCCTTCCCGGAGCTCAGCCAGGATCTTGGTCAAGGCCTCCATACCCTCCGCGGTGACACAGGTGCTGACTGGCACCCGCAAGGAGCGCAAGCAGGCCCCAAGGAGGAGCTTGCGGTACTGCTTCACCTGCAGGACCGCACACATCTTAGTCTGCATGCCCACTCCACACTCATGTCCTGTGTGGCTTCAGCCCCTGCCTTGTGCCCCAGCCAAACACCCAGGATGGGCTTCATACCTTCCTGGGGGACCCCAGGGCCATGTTCCCCAGGGCACGTAGGGACAGCACCTGCAGGACCTCATCCTCCACCTGCCCCGCACCCTGCTCCAGCATCAGCATCGCTGGCCTCAGCAGCTTCTCCTGGTACAGCCCCGGATCGCTCATAAACTGCAAAGAGAGCATGGCGCAGTCACTGCCCGATGGGGGATGGGTGCAGAGGGGCTCGAGCGCCTCAGTGTCGTCATGCAGAAATGGGATGATGATGTTCTTGCACCTGACTTGAGGTTGTTGTGAGGATTCACTAAGGAAGTGTGGGAGACATCACCCTGATAGACACACACATCTGTGTGTCCTTGTGACCTCAGAACAACCACCCACATCTGAGCAGAAGCCCCCGGGGGACAGACGGCAGGGAAGCCAGACAGGTTGGTACTGGGGAAGTAGAGCAGTCTGGTGCCCATCCATTCGTTGTCACGTCCGTGTGTGGTTCCCTAAATGCCGTCAGGTGGGGAGGCCATGCGACAGCCTCCCTCCTGCCCCAGTCTGACCTCAGTCAGGTGGGAACTTCCCGTGTGACTTTAGTTTTACCGAGCCCCAAGAGCCAGGAGTGCAGCACTCACACCTGATTTCAAAATGCCCTTGGGGATAAAGCTCAGACTTAGTGCACATTTGGTAGTAGGTGAAAATGGCGGAGGGGGTCCCTTCCTTAACTACCTTTGTTTGAGGTTTATACAGAGGAGGCTGCACACCAGGAGACGCCTGTGAACTTGGGCAGACTTGGAGGGTCTATGTATGGCCCACAGCCAAGAACCACTGCACTTTTAAATGGTAAGAGAAAAAAGCCAAAGGGCATGCGGAAGTCCACATCTCACTCTCCACCCACAAGGCTTTGCGGGACTCAGACATTCCACTGGTTTGCTTGCTGTCTGGCTGACTTCCCACTGCAGCAGCCAGCTGGCCGGAGTCGTTTACTGAAGCAGGTGTTCCTCAAGGCGCCTGGCCCGTAACACCTGCTCTGGCTCCAGCCCATGATCCCAGCCTCCTGCTAATGCATTCCCTGAACGGCTCAGGTGGTGGGAAACCTGAATTGAGAATTGTCGTGGCCCTTTGCGGAGTGAACCAGAAAATGGGAGGACCCCTTCCCTTCTCATTCTCTCTGACCCTCAAATAAAAATGAAAGCAATCGACTGTATGGCCTTTACAGGAAAGGTTCGCCACCCGAGGCCCTCCCACCAAACCCTGAGCGTCATGCAGTCATCAGCTCTTGGAGCAGAAGTTTCTGCCCAGTTCCCTAGGGACCTCAGAAAGCTCCAGTGGTGTCAGAGCTGTTCATGGGACAGCCGGGCGAGGCATGGCACCCTCTTCTCTCATCCTGCTCTCAGAGGCCCCCTCTAGGTGTTCACATTGTCACCCAGGGGGCAGCTGCTACTCTCTCCCCACCAAGTGTGGGGCTCTGTTTCAGCTTTCACCCCACCATGGCACCCAGCCCTGAACTGCTCATGTGATGAATGAATGAGTGGATGAACACGCCAAGACAGGAAGCTGTCCTGTTTCCCCAGCCTCAGGTGACCCTCAGAGGGTGGGCCCCTTACGTCACCCACTCACCCACACCCCACCAGCACCCAGGGCCTCACTTCCACGCAGATAGCAGTGCTGCTGACTCGGCAGCTCAGGACTTTCGAGTTCATGCCCTGGAGCACCAGCTCTGAGAGCCTCTGCCTGTAGCCTTCCAGGTGGCGCATGCACAGCCTGAGGGTGAGAGACAGGAGGGTTATGGGTGGCTGCCACTTGGCTTCCCTCCCCCACTCCCCTCCAGGAGCTTGGTTGGGGTGGCCAATGGGAGGCCTTCTCTACTTCTATAAAAGGGACAAGAAGAGGACTGCTCTGCTCTGGCCCTATGTGGATGTCCTGGTGGCCTTGGGCCAGCCCCCTCCAGGCACTCCTGGCACCCGCTGTGGAGCAAGTAGGTCGTGGTGAAGGCTTTCTGTTGCCCCACACTGCGGTGGCACCCTAGAGTCAGGTCCCAGTGGTCATTGCGGCAGGTGCCTGCCCAGGAACTAGACATGCGGCCATGCCCTGCCCAGGGGATGCCCAGCAGGCAGTGCCTCCTCCACCCCCAGCAGAGGCTGGCTGTACCTGGCCAGCAGGCTCACTCCCTGCAGGAAGGTCTCGCTGCTCTCCAGTAGGGTCCATACCACCTGCTCTTCCAGGGCCCGCAGCAGGTGCTCACTGTTGAATCTCTGCAACAAGAGCTGCATGGACTTGATGGTGATCCTGCAAGAAGGTGAAAAAACAGGCTGTGGTCACCACACTCTAGGCAGCCGCTGGGCCAGCCAGGTCCAGCCCCCATGGAGCTGAGGATACGGGCATGGGAGAGAATGGGTCTGCCAGTTCTGAAGCCATGACTCCTAATTAGACACACAAGAAGGAGGCATGGCTAAGACCAGCTTCAAGAAACTTTTCTTCCCCCACTGGGAGAGGGAACAACATTCAGGAGCCCCTCTGCATTTTCTGGGATGGCATGAGGCCATGTTCAGTCCAGACCTGCAGCCTGGCACCCCATGCTGGCCTCCTCACTGCCCAACCATGACTAAACACCTTTGTGGGGTCAGCTCCTCGGGCAGGGGCCCCCGGTGGATCAGCCTCCAGGTCTTCAGGACGGGTGAGGCAGCTTCAGGCCGGTAGTTCCCGCTTAGCTGCAGCAGGAGCGTGTAGACGAGGTCAGGAACCAGGTCCAGCAGCTTGTTGTCCTTGTCCATCTTCTCAATGAGGAGGTGGATGGTGCACAGGGCCTGCAGGGGACAGCTGGGGGTGTCAGGAGTGCAGCTCGAGCCCCTGAGGAGTCCTGGGGGTCCGTCCCATGCCACTTACCATCAGGGGGTCCACGGCAGCTGTGCGCCAGATGTCAGCTTTGGACATGGCGTTTATCTTGGGGCCGAACTGCAACTGCAGCCGGTCCATCAGGCCGTAGAGCATGGTCCGGGCAAAGGTCGCGTTCTTGGCCACGGTCAGCCACACCTCTGTTAGGTGGCTACCCAAAGACAGGACGAGGGCTCATGGGTTTCCTGCTCTGGATAGCATCCCTTTTGGCCCCCTGCAGCCCCCTGAGTCCATGCTGAATTCAGGGATACATCTCAGGGAGGCGAATCAAGCTGATAGTCACGCACACCCGGGTCTCTGGTTCCCTGCTCAGAATCCCTTTTGCTGTTTGGGCTCAGTGTTGCCTCTGGGAAAACTGATCCTGAGAAGTCTGCATTTCCAGGTGACCTCAGAGTCCCCAACAGACCCACTGTCTGAGGACCCCATGGTCATGACCAGTAGCTTCCTACGTCCCCTGTGTCAGGTCAGCACCAGGAAGCCTGTACATGTCTTCTTCATATGTGAAAGGCTTAGAGACAGAGCTCTCCCACCTGCTGGGTCACTCCGCTGATGGCCTGCAGCAGCCGGGACTAGGCCAGACCAGAACAACAACAAAAGGCTAGCAACCTGGAATTCAATCCAGGTCTCCCACGTGTGTGGCAGTGGGACCCAAATACAGGAGCATCATCCACCGTCTTCGAGAAGCCACAGGAATGGAGGGCAGCAAGAGGGAGGGGCCTCGGTCCCATTCCTGGATGATATCACCATGCACACCTGCTGGACTGCCTTCTGAGCTGTGCACATAGGGCTGCACTGTGCAGGCGTTCACACCTGTCCTGCTTCCAGAGCCAGCTGGCCGCCCCCATCAGCTCACAAAGCCCGCACAGTCCTCTCCCTGGGACCCCTGTAGAGCAGGCTGCCCATGGGAGCCATGCTGCCTCAGCCCTATGGCTGCGCTTGGAACTCTTTGCTCTGTACTCAGACCCATAGTGTGACCCCTCTGGGAAGGACCACCCCCACTGTTTTTGTGACATGCCAACCTGCCCCCCAAGCTGGTCCATATGAGTTGTGGACCACCCCACCAAACACCCCAAACACACTCCCCAAACCTGGGGAAACCCTGCGTGCACTGTTGGCAGAGCTCAAGCAGGAAAGAGGGGCCTGCTGGGTCTCCCAGAGCTGGGGGACAGACCCATGCATTCTTGGCAACCAGGATGGGCCCACTCCAGCCTGCAGGGACCCACCTCTCCATGGGCAGGGGCTGCCTCAGCAGCGACGTGAGAACGGTCTCCTGGTGGTAGTGTGCCAGGAGCAGGACAGCTTCGATGAGCAGGCGCCGCACATCCAGTTCCTCCACCGTCGGCAGGTGGATCAGGATGGTGCCCAGGATCTCGGCCACCTGGGGAGGGGGCAGCCTGGGCTCCCACATCATGGGCATGCCTCCTTTGGGGCTCTGGCCCAAGGGGCTGATGGGTCAGGGAACACTCAGCAGCAACCTTCTGCTCATTTCTTAGTGTTTTCAGCATGGGAGGCAGGACACAGCGGGAGAGGAAGCTGCTCGGCTCAGGCCTGGTCTCCTGTCTGCCCACTGGCCCAGGCCATCTCGGCCTGCTTTCCTCCCTACTACCTCTCCTTTCCCCACTCCACAGCATTTCCTGTTCCTCCTCTCCAGCAGCAGCCAGCGGCTCAGCCAGATAGTCACAAGGGGTGGGAGAGCCTTGTGAGGGTCCCTCAATCAGGTGCAACCCCAACCCTAGCCCCAGGGGCCCCCACCTTGTCCTCCAGCTCCTTGACCCGCAGCTGCAGGAAGGTGCCGATCCAGGTGACCGAGGCCTTGTCATGCTGCAGGCCCATGGCCCCAATGTTCTCGCACAGCTTCTGCACCAGGGCTACCACCTCATCGCTGCTAAACTCCATGCAGATCACCTGGGAGTAGAGTGGTCAACACTGTGACCCCTGACACCCTGCCTCTCCTGCTCCCTCACCTTTCAGCACCCTCTTTGCAAGGGGCCCAGCACCTCACCTTGGCAATCCTGGAGGACATGTAGAGGACGGTGTCCATGTTGCTGACCCATAGGTCCTCCTTGCATTTCTCCAGCTCCCTCTCCTTGGCTGTGTCCCACAAGGAGCAGGTCTGGCTTGCTGTGGGGGGAGCCAGGCAGGGTCACCTCTGCCCCCACCCTTCCCCCGTCCAGCCTGCATCCAGCCCTCCTGCCCTGTGCAGGCTCTGCTCCTGGTGTCCCACCTTCCCCGTACCATGCAGGTCCAGCAGGCAGGACAGGATTCTCATGGAGGCCATGCGAGTTCTCAGATGTGCATCACAGGTACAGGGGGCGATGAGTCCCACCAACGTGCTAAACTGCCCCGGCTTCAGGGGGATCTGAGGGGCCCGGCAACCGAAGACTCGCATCCTCCATCCTCTCACACACACAGCGTGGAGGGTGACCACAAAGGACAGACCCTACCCTGGCAGCTTCGGGCCCTGGGGCAGGGATGTGCCACCCCCTGCCTTCCCTCCTCAGAACCAGCTGCATGGAGACCAATCAGCTGGGATCCCAGGGGTCCTGCCAGGGTATGGCTGGAGTCAGCTTCGCTCTGCTGCAGGCTCCTGCCTTGCTCCTGGAGCCAAGTCCTGAGGGTTCTGATCTAGTCCCCAGCCTACTCACTGAGGGACCCAGGTCTTGTCTGAGTCTTGGCCTCTTGTCTCTGTGTGCCCTCTCTAGCAGGAGGCGTTATCTGGCTGCTCTCCAGCAGCCACAGCAGCCCCTTCCCCAGGGCTGCCTCGGGGAGGGTGAGAAGCCAGGGAGGCTGGGCTGGACTCACGCAGAATCCAGCACTTCGCTCATAGACGTGCAGCAGGTGGAAGAGAAGCTGCATGGCCTTCTCCCGCTCCCACTCTATCTCCGACAGAATCCACTTCTCCAGGAGCTGCAGGTGCACAGAGCATGTGGGGGTTGGGAGGGGGTACTGTCAGAGATACTGGGCCCACCTCGGCCAGCCTTCACCCTCCGCAGCCTCCCCACTCCTTGTCTGATGCTCAAGGCTTTCCCGGCATTCTCCAGGTTTCTGGTTTTCTTGTCCAGCCCCAGTTGTAAGGGCAAGGAGCTTGGTGGCTGTGCTTGGCCTGGCTTCTGATGCCTGCCTGTAACACAGGCCCAGGAGCACACCACACCCTGCTCCCACACCCCGAAGACTCTGAGGAGGGGGCCTATTCTAATATGGAAGCTCATGTCAAGGGACTGGCGGTGTGCACAGTGGGTTAGGCTGCAGCATGCAATCCTGGCTTCCCAGGAGAGTGCTGGTCCAGCTCCCAGCTGGTCAGCTGCTGATCCAGCTCCAAGCTAATGCTTCTGGGAAAGCAGGAGAAGATGGCCCATGGGAGACTTGGATGGAGGTCCAGCCCCTTGGTTTGGCCTCATTTAGCCCTGGCTGTTGTGGCCATTTGGGGAACGAACCAGGGGATGAAGGTTCTCTCTCATCTTCTTTAAAAAATGGAAAAGCATGAAGTTGGTTCCAGAGCCAGGCATATGGAATTGAATAGGAATGGGTCCCGTCTCCATGGCTGAGGGTCAGTTGATCAAGAGGGTTCAACAGCCTTCCATTGTCTGCGACCCAATAGCACAACCAGGATGGCCAGGAAGTGAAAACTGACAAGCAGCTCCGCAGAGACAAGTAGGGACTGGGGGGCTGCTTTCTCAGCACCTGGTAGAGCAAAGCAGCAGATAACAGAATGACCTCCCTTGACCAACTTGACCTGGTTGACACTAGGGAAACTCCCCACCCAAGAGGTGTACAGGACATGTGCCAAGACAGATCCGACCGGGACCACAGAGCTATGTCAATCCATTTAAAAGGATCAGAAGGCTACACAGCACGACCCCCAGTGACCACAGAGCCTCACAGCGCGACCCCCAGCAGCCACGGGGCCTCACAGCGTGACCCCCGGCAGCCACGGGGCCTCACAGCGCGACCCCCAGTGACCACGGAGCCTCACAGCGCGACCCCCAGCAGCCACAGGGCCTCACAGCGCGACCCCCAGCAGCCATGGGGCCTCACAGCGCGACCCCCAGCAGCCACGGGGCTTTAGCCATGGGGAAGCTAAGGCAGAACAGTCTCTGGACAAACCCCTCAATCTTTAGAAATATCTCCAGAACCCACAGCTCAAGAGAAATCCAAGGGGGAGGGGCTAAAGAGTATTTTGAAGGAACATAAATTTAAAACATGGTGCATCCCAATTTGCAAGACCCCAAGTCTGCGAACTTGGGTTATCTGGCCCTGAGGTGAGACATGCCCGACACCATGGCCGTCAGGGGTGTGGCACCTGCAGGACATATGTACAGGGATGCATGAAACATAAAGGGATTTTGCATCTAGACTTGGGCGTCGTTCCCTACACATCTCAGTTATGCAGACATCCCAAAATACAAAAAAGGAAACCAGAAACGGTTTCTGGTTGCAAGCATTTTGGATGAGAGATTTAGCAGATAATAAGAAGTAAACAACCCAATTTTAAAAAGAAGTGAAACTGTAAAACTAGCCAAAATCCTTGGAGAAACACTGAGGATATGAAAAAGAAAGACCAAGAAACTGTTTTTGCTTAGAGGGGAGTGAAGAGAATGGAGTGCAGCACACAGCATACATCAGCTCCTGAGACGAAGAAAGCAGCTAGGAAAGTTCAATATGGGTCGCAGGTGTTAAGCACTGGGTTAACGTTAAGTTTTCTGACTTTGAGTGAATGTTCTGTTTTTAAAACCATTTCTTTTCCTCTAATTGAAAGGCAGGAAGAGAGGGAGAGATCTTCCACGTGCTGGCTCACTCCCTAATTGCCTAAAAATAGCTGAGCTGAAGCCAGAAGCCAGTACACCATGCATCTCTCACACAGGTGGTGGGGATCCAGGCACCGAGCCATCATCTGCCACCTTGCAGTATGCGTTAGCAGCAAGTCTGGATCCAAGTAGAGCTGGGACTCAAACGGGCACTCCAGTACGGGAAGTGACTTCACCTGCTGTGCCATAATGCAGTTAATAGTCCACGATTCAAAAGGGTGTGTGTGTGTGTGTGTGTGTGTGTGTGTGTGTGTGTGTGTGTAACAAGACAGAGGAAGACAGAAAAAGAAATCATAGCAAAATGTTGGGGAAAGTGGGTCTGGACAAAGAGTTTCCTTGTTCTCTTCTTGCAGCTTTTCAGCAAATTTGAGATATCACCCGTGGGATGAGTGCAGCCATTGGTGCTGCCTCCCCCTGCTTCTCTCAGCCTGACCCTCGGGCACTCCCCATGTGGGGTGACTCACGTGCACCATCTCCTGCAGCCCCTTGGGGTCCAGGTGCCCCTGCAGGAGACTCTCCATCAGCTGCTCCAGAGCCCCCATTGCATTTGCGTACAGAGCCTGCACCGAGAGAGAGCAGGCAGCAAAGCTGGCACCACGCAGCTGCTCGCCCAGGAGCATCCATGCCGGCTTGAGGGGTGGGACACGTCTGATGCTCAGCGTTAGCTTCTGCTTTTTGTGTGGTCTACAAGACCACCTTTGAAGAGGAATCACATTTACATGACCCCTGCAGCCCACTTCTGACTCCTTATCTGGGGCCAGAACCCGAAGGCAGAGGCAACCACCTGCCCAAGAAAAAGTTTCATTTCCCATTAGCCTCTACTTCTAGGTGACACCATGTGAATGCATTCTGGCCAATGGGAAGAGGGTGAAATGTCCCCTAAGTCTTCCTTGTACCTCCTCTTCTCTGGTGTCCAGGTTGGACATCACAGGGCCCTGTGGTGTTGACAAGGGCGAGACCTCTGTCAGCCTGGGTTCTCAAAGAACTGCCTGAAGCAGCTCCACATCTCCTCTCAGGACAACTGAACTTTACTCAGGTGGGAAATCAAGCAGGAGCCGGGCTGTAGTGCTCGTGGCTGGCCTCGCCTGGCGCTGCCCAGCACAGGCCCGTGGCTGCGTCTGGGCACTCACAGAGGGGCAGGGAGCTGAGGCCTGCGGCTCTGCCCAGGTCCTGCTGTGTCAGGCACCAAGGGGCCTACCTTAATGGCCTCATTGTCCTCTCTTGGGGGCTGGAGGGAAATCACCGAGTGGATCCCAATGTCCATCAGCTCACTGCTCTCCTCCATGGAGTAGGAAGGCTTCAGCTTACTGGGGAAGAAGGCAGAGGTGGACATTAGGACCTGCTGCCCATGGTGGAGCCCAGGCACGGACTGCACACACAGGGACTGCCTGCTCCAAGTCTGTGACTGCCTCACCTCTGCCCTGCTGAAAAGCAACCCACACACAGGGCCCCGGGCCAACCCAGGCTCCCATGTCTGTGCCCAGAGTCTTGCTCAGCATACCCCCAGGACAAAAAGCTGCCAGTCATGCTGACAAGTCCACCCTGTTGTGGGCTAAGGAGTTGATTAGCACTGTTAAGCTGAGCACTACAGGGAATGGGCTTGGGGCTAAAAGCACCCGGTCTAATTGGACTCATCTGTACCCAATATTCTGCTAATGAGGGTGTGGGGGAAAGAGTTTACAAGGAGAGGTGAAAGGGCAAAAAAGAGACTTCAGAGAGACTTCCACCATCACTGGTCTGTTAGTGCCTCATCCCCCAGACCTTCGCCGTGTCCACGTTACTGGCACTGCGGGCCAGTACACACCCAAGAGCCTGCTGAAGCCAACCCTGTCGTTCCTCGCTGGCCCATCCCTGTTATGGAGGAGCAGGTGATGGCATCAGCTCACCTCAGATGGGAGAGCGCGTCCATTGCCACAGTCCGCACTGGAGAAGCCAAGTGGTCCGGCGGCTCGGCCTTGATGATGGCCTGCCCGAGGAAGAGGGGGAGAAGGGAGGACGGTGAACTGCACACTGTCCAGAAGCCCCAGAGCAGTGAGAGTGACTGTGACAGCGTCCACCCCTCCCCCAGCCAGGTGCAAGAAAGAGCTGTAACAACCAGGCCTCTTTCCTGCGACACTCTTCAGTGCCTTAGGGGGCTGGGCTTCTTGCTCCAGGTCAGTGCTGCCCTGGCTGGGTGCCCGTCCCCTTCTCTGGGCCTGGCCCAGGTCAGGCAGCAAGTCAGTGCTCACTGGGATGGTTTCCTGGCAGGGATGTGGGGGGGCGTGTTCTAGATGCAGCATGCCGGCCGGCAGCTGACATCTTCCACATGGACTGAAGTGATGGCACACTGCTGTAAGTCCCACAGGCCTTGGGGAAGCACTCTGCAGAGGACGTCCTTCGGAGGCCATACCCAAGCTGCACCTTCTAGGTCAGCCTGCTGTAGATCGATGGCATCTCGAGTCCCACTTGTCGTTGCCTCCGAACAACCAGCTGGAAGGACTGTGCCCTCCATCCTTCCCCACCCCTGTGAGGACGTCACTGTCCCCTAAGTGCCTCCCCGGGACTGCCGCTGAGGCTGCCACTGGCCTGACCCAGTGTACCTCCCACTACTGCCCATGAACCGGTGGCTCCTGGGCACCACAGTCTCCACGTGGCTGGACACCATGGGTTCCCACACAGCAGGAGTCTTCCACCCCTGCTTTCCAGATGCTTCTTGGCTCTGAAAACTTTTAGCAGTCACACACCAAGTCTCAGAATCCCTTCCAGCGAGACTTCTTGTCCTTCAGATGCCCTCAAGAGCCCTGGGCAAACCTTGCTCAGGCAGAAAAAGCCAAGCAGCCCAGGGTCCTGCCTGAGCGAGCTCAGACGGAGGAGGCTTGACTCCACTCTCACCGTGACAATGCTGGTAAGGGTCGCCTTTTGGGCGAATTGGAAATCTTCTAGGCTCTTCACACTTCTGATGGCACTGGTGACCTGCGCAATGCTCTTCATCAAGGCCATTTTGAGGCTGACATCCTGTAGGAGAGGGGTGGGAGGGAAAATTCATCTGCCCCTGTACCTTCCTGTGCTCTGTCCCTTCCCCCACCTTGAACCTAAGGACTACGCTTTGGCGGCATGTCGGGGGCTCTGGACAGAGACCACCACTGGGTCCTGTGGAAGATACCCTCTCTCCCCAGCCTCCTGCCATGGTGCCCAGGGCAGACATGGGGCCCAGGGCACTGAGCCCCACAGGAAGATGCATGGGTGCCTGGGTGAAGCGTCCCATAGCTTCTGCTGTACGGATGAACCCTGGAGGGAGGTGATCCAGACCCAAAACATGAGTGCTTGGCGACCCCTCAGGCAGGTGCTTGGAAAAAGCAGATTGCCATGGTTGCCAGGGACCCGGAGAAGGAGCAGAGGAAAAAAGTTTGAGTTGTGAGACGAGACTGCTGCAGAGGTGGGCGGTGTGAATGCACTGAAAGCTCTGAAACCTGGTTAGATCCAGGGCTGCTGTTGGGCCACAGTTAGTTAACCTAATGCCTGCGTTGCTACTGCACATATCAGATTGCAAGTTCCCGTCTGGCTGCTCCACTGACAATCCAGGCTCCTGCTAATGCTCCTGGGGAAGCAGTGGAAGATGGTGCAAGTGCTTGGGTCCCAGACAGAGTTCCAGGCTCTTGGCTGCCCCAGCTGTTGCAGGCATTGAGGTAGTGAACCAACAGGTAGAAGGCCTCTCTGTCTCTCCCTCTGTATTTGCAATACTGCCTTATAAAGATTATATGTTCTTTACCATAATTTAAAAAAAGTAAAGTAACATTGGCCTCCTTTGTGTTTTATCCTTGTTTCCAAGAAAGCAGCCACTGCCTTTGAGTCTCTTCCCACTTCTTGTCCCTTAGGATCAGGCCTGGGCCCAGGCCGAGGCCAGAGGCAGAGGCAGAGGGCTCCTCCTCTGATGTCTGGGGTTCACACCACCCACCCACTCAGGACAACTTCCTCCTTCATACAGCCCTCAAGTGCAGAGGACAGCACAGCTTTGGGCAGCCTCTCGCCTGATGCTGGGCTCAGTGAGGACTCCTGCCATCTCCTGGGCAGGAAGGAGAGTCAGGTAATGACAGAGGGTGACTCCTGGCTGGCCTGGCTCAAGGAGGGCAGGAAGCCCTTGGGCACTAGGGGCAGGCTACCTGGCAGCTGCTGGAGTAGTGGTGAATGATCTTGGTGACAATGGGGTTGTCCACAAGGGTGAGCAGCAGCTGGGGGTGGCAGTAGGAGGCCACACAGCTGTACATCAGCATGAGGGCGCTCTTCACAGTCTCTCGCCTCCAGGGGAGGTCCTTCTGCAGGGAGAGCAAGAAGAGCCACACCTGGATGAGTCCATGGCCCCACAACCCATGGAGCCATTGAGTTGGCTGTGCTACAAGTGACTGCGCGTAGGGTGTCATTTGTTCACTCACCCATTCTTCATTCATTTATTCATTCACCTTTCTCGGGCACCACCTACACACCAGGCACTGCATGGACACGCAGAGGCAGCACAGACTGCCCAGGACAGCTTCAGGGAACACCGAATGCTAAGCGCTATAAGCAGGGGGTTGTGTGGAGACGGCCCCTCCACACCTCCTCTATCCAGTGGCCTGTACCAGACCAAGCATGCATGAGGCCAGCAGTGCCGTGGAGCCACCCTTGGCCCTGCCCCACTGGTGCTCACATCCCCTGAACAACCTCCAGGCAGGAGGTGTTCCCATGGTGGGCAGGGAGGAGGAGCACCCCAGCCCCTGGTGCTGTGGGAGAGAAATCCCGGCCTCGGGTCTCGCCATGGGGAGGAGCCCGGGGTCATCTCTGGGGTACCCTTGGTGTTCACCCAAACAAACAAGCAGACACTCAGGCAAGGGTTCAAATGCAAGGGCAAAGCCTACAGGCTCAGACGCTCCAGGAGCTTCCCCTAGGAGCTCAGCCAACCTGTGGAACCGCGCTCTGAGGACATCACATCTCACAGGGCCATGGGCTGTGTCAGTCCAAATCCTGGCTCCTCCCCCACCACTGGCCTTGTGCCTTCAGACTAGCTCTAGGTTTTCTCCCGTGCTACCATGGGAATTGAAAACCGCCAACTCCTCCACCACCGCTGCCCACCCCACACCAACACTGTCAGCTCGTGGGCAGAGCTGTTCTTAGAAGCAGTCCATGTAGGCAACCCTGGGCACTGCCTACACAAGGCCTTCAGCTCTTGTGGGGCTGCGCGGGGCCTGGGACTCTGCATTCCCAACCAGCTGCAAGTGAGCTGCACTTGGGAGTTCCTGGGTGGGGCCTGGAAGCCCCTGAGCTGCCTCCTTCAGCGGGCACGTACCCGCCAAGCCCCAATCTGCCAGGACTGCTCCGACTCCTGGATCCTCTCCTCAAAGTCCTGGAGCACATTCAGCACCGTCTTCACCTGGCCACGGGCACACAGGCCGAAGCACATGACCACGCCCTGCAGGGAGACCCCGTGGCCGGGGTGAGGGCAGGGCAGATATGTATACGTGCATGAGCACACATACATACACATGTGTAAGGCGTACATACGTGAATACATCAGGCAGATACTGGCACGCATCCATGCACACACATATGTAAGTCATAAACACATACACTCAAGGTACACACAGCTGCATACTGCACACACACAAGACGCGCATCTACACAAAGGCACACGCAGGCATATATACATGCTCGTGAGCTCACGGGGCCCTGAGGGCCTGCAGACAGCAGGGAGCTGAGGCGTCCTCACCTCCCGGTCAAAGTCGTTGCTGTAGTCCGTCTTGTACAGCAGTTCCAGCAGCAGCACCTCGACCTTGTCGGCCTCCAGGCCCATGGCCAGGGTGAAGCCCAAGGCCTGGTACAGAAAGCCCTGCGCAGCACCACAGAGGAGGGCTCAGGCCTCCCACTCCCACGGGAAAGTTTTTACTAAGGAGCTGTAAGATGGTGTGTGTGTGTGTTGCTTATCTAATATGTGCTTTGCAACTGTTTTCTCCAATTGTACGAATTGTCTTTTTGCTTTTCATCTTTATTATGTACAATTTATTTTTATCACTTCGAGCTTTTTGGTGTCTTTTTTATTTTCAAGTCATGGTTATAAAGAAACACAGACTTTGCACTACTGGTTCACTCCCCAGGTGCCCACAATGGCCTCGTCTGAGCTTCAGCCAGATCTCCCAGGTGGCCGGCAGAGGCCCAAGCACTTGGGCCATCCTCTGCTGATTTCCCAGCTGCGTTAGCAGGGAGCTGGATGGGAAGTGGAGCAGCTGGGACTTGAACAGGTGCCCATATGGAATGTAAGTACCCACAAGGTAGGCCCCGTGGTGTCAAATTTAACATGAGTTTGCCCAACACAAGACTGCTCTAGTTACAGACAGCATGGCCCTCTCCAGCCCCTCCTGGAAGCCGCCTCGTGGTCTGCGGGGCCTACCTTCTCCACAGAGGGGCTGTCAAAGCTCTCCATCTGGTTGTTGAGCTCTTTGCTCAGGCGCAGGCTCCACGTGGAACCCTGGGTCTTCTTGAGGGAGCTTTTCAGAAACTGGGGAGACAAGAGACACAGGGAAGAGGGGCTCCAGCTTCCCAGCCTTACGCTAGCTGGGCCCTAGGAACGGAGTGTGACCCTGTGCAAGTGCTGGGGGCCCTCACCCCCATCTCTAGATGTCTCTGCCCCATTGCATGCTAACATTCTGTGGCTTTGCTGGCTGTGGAGATGGGGGCCACACCCTGCTGTGTTCTAGGCATTCGACTGCACAGGCAGCAGGCTTACTCTCCCAGGCGTCCCTGCTGATGAGAACTGTGGAGGTCATGGCTATGTCGTCGCTGACAGCTGGGGCTGCTAGCCTCCCATCTCCCCCGAGGTCAGACATGTACCTGGAAGAGCTTGTCCTCCCAGGCCTTCTGGTTCCAGGTGAACTCAGTGTGCTCTGTAGAAGTGCACATGTGGGGTCATGTATCAGGTTCCTCCCGCTGCTGCCCGTGGGATCAGCTCCTTACCTGGGCACTCAAGGGCCTTCATGCACAAGCCCCGTACTCACAGCATTTCCCTCCCTCCCTGCCTCCCTCTCCTACCCCAAGCTACTCAGTCAACCCACAGACCTGCATGGACAAACCCACCCTGTGCCTCAGCTCCCACTTTGCAGTTATGCAATTGGTTCCCCAGTGGGAATATCGGAGTGAGCGGATGCTCACCTTCCAGGTACTGCACCAGCAGAGGGATTTCCTTCTCCCAGATGTCAGCCATGAAGGGCACGATGCTCGGGCTCAGCGTCCTCAGGAGGTTGAGCATAGCTATCCCGCGGCCCGCCCCCTTGTAGGGTGATGACATCAGCACCTACCAGGTGCCAAGGTTCCCATGGAGCAGGGGCTGGGCACTGCTGCCCCTCATGAACACAAGGAGGCCCTCATCAGCTGCATGGCTTGCAGTCTGAGCTGCCAGGCCACCTCCTCTGTCCTCCTTCCTGGGGCTTGGTCTGGGGACACTTAGGGCACAGGGACCTCCAAGCAGATTCAGCTGTCCAAGTCCCAGCTATCAGAGCAAATTGCCCAAGCCACCTGTATCCACAAGGACTGCCTGGCACTTGGCACACTCCATCCTGCCAAATGTCCAGTTGCCTCCTGGGTCCTCCCCGGGTCCTGCCTCCCTTTAGGACTCTGGAGATGAGGAGCTCACAGAACAGACCCATATGGCAAGGCCACTCACCAGGAGACGGGCCAGCAGCTTCTGAGGGGTGGGCAGCTCCACTGAGGAAAAAAGAGACACCACTCCCATTGGGGCTGCCAGGCACAATCCCACTGTACCCCCAGAATGGAGAATGGACACTTCCTTTTCATGGGCTCATTCTGGAAAGAGGGGAGAGCTGGGTTGGGGTCCAGCAGGTGCAGAAGCTCAGACTGTGCCTATGTGCTATGGGGGCCAAGAGTTGCCATGGTCATGTCTTCCTTCTGCTGTGAATCTTGGTTTCTGCCAAGCCACTGCAACCATATGGCTTCTCCCCCATCTCTGTCTGCAGCTCTGGGGCAATGACCCCCCACCCTGCTCCATGCTTGGTCAGGTGAGCAAGAGAGGGACAGGACCTGGGAGAGGCTCAGCCTCTGTGTGTGTGTGGGAGAGGTGTGAGAGAGCCACTAGAGGGGTGTGAGGGAGCCATGAAAACCTTTCCAGACTTCCCTACCTCTCTGGGTTGGCGAGCCTCCCTGCCTCGCCTGTATATGTGGCCGAGGAAGCCAGGGAGGGGAGGGAGGGGACAAAGTGACATCGGGAGTGGTGGGTGGGCTCAGGGAGATCCGAATCCCTGGTGTTAATGGGACCCACTCCCGGTGGACCACAGGGTGAGGATTGGAGTGGTACACAGGGGATAGGTGGGGTGGAGTGGGCATATGCCCCTGGCTGGCCTAGAGGGGCCAGTGGGAGCAGAGGACCAGAAAGCCCACAGAGGGGAGAGGTCAGGCCAAGAGTAGCAGGACTGCAGGCTGTATGTATACATGACATCAACCCCTCCCCATGTTGGACAAGTGCTGGGTGGTCCCTGGAGAAGGGGAAATTGAGGATAGCTCAGGTGGGGGACGGACACTGATTAGCCGCCAGCCTGCCGGCACAGGGGGCTGCCCACCAAGCTTGTTCTTGCCAGCCACGCCGGCCTCTGCGTCCTTGCCGTGCAGCTGGCGCTCGGCCAGGTTGGTGAGGCTGATGCAGATGGGCGTCAGGGCCTCGGTGTAGTTTGTCTCCATGATGTAGCACAGGAGCCTCATCCAGAGCTCCTGGGCAGGGGTCAGGAGGGCAGAAGGAAGGGGCCATTCAGGGGGACCGGGAAGGCTCCTGCCCTGCTTCCCCACAGCTGCCCCTGACCCTATCGCAGCCCTAAGCAGGCTCTAAGCCCACCGCAGTGCTTGCCAGGATGCCCAAATGGTACCCAGCTGATATAGTTGGTATTAGCCCAATCCTGCTTTGTACCATGCCCAACTGTGCACCCACCATAGCCTTATGTCCATGGTCCCACTCTGACCCCAAATCCTCTGGAGAAGGGGCATCCTGAGCAGGTGAGTGGGCAGTGCTGGCCAGACAGCCAGCAGTTACAGGTTCATGAAACTGGACACTAATCTAGGTGTGGCTGAGAAGGATTCGAGTCGTGACAAGACCCACCACCCATGTGGGAGGTCCGCCTCCATCGGGAGGGTCCTTGTGTGGTCAGGTCAGAGGCTCTGCCAGCAAGCAGGTCCCCAAGAGAGGATGATGTTCTTCTGGTCACCATGGCACCTCCTGCCTCGGAGTTTCAGCCTCATCAACCACTGCATGGGCATGAGCCCAGTTGCTTAAGATGGACCAGCTTGGAGTATCTTCTGCTTGACCAGCACAGATGGTAGGGGCTGCATCTGCTTCTCGGGTTTTTGGCCGACCATTCAACACCCCCAGCTATGATTCACTTCCCCCCACCTGTGTCTATAGGTGAGACCCCCGTGCTACCAACTCGCAGGTGCAGTGGCTAGACCCGTGCTCCCCAGCAAGACCCAAATCTCCCAGCTCCTGGTTGCCCACAAGGAAGCAGCATTGCAGAAGCCAAGGGTATTTCATCCCGGCCCCTGCTGAATCACAACTGCAAGGCTTTGAGAAAGATGACCACATCCCTCGCCTACCTTCAGCCTTGTCATCGGCAGAACTCTGACACAGTTAAATCAAGGAAATCCAGGAATCTGACGGGCTCATCAGGAAAGCTGGGTGAGCCTGCACCTGTTGCCTACCTAGCGCAGCCTGAGCCACATGCAACTCCTCATGCACAGTAGCTGTCAGTTTTCTCACTATCTCTGCCATGTCCATGACCGGCCACAGGACGGGGAACACCCAGGCTCTGTCACTCTTGCCAGGATGCTCTTGTGATACACTTCTTCTGCTTTCTGGCTATCTCACGCTCATTGCACTTAAACTGGACACACTGCGTTCTTCTATAGCCTCTGCTCTCGTCTTTCCCACAGCAGGAACTCACTATAGCATTAAATTGTGAAAAGTCTTCCCAACAAGCGCATACACCCTTGAGCTGAAGGGATTCTGAGGGAATAGACACAGATCAGACCATCAGACCCGGTGGGCACCAGACACGCCTTAATGCTCCAGGGCACAGAGGAGGAAGGCAAAGTCCCATCAAGGACATGGCTGTGGAGCTGGGACCCTAAGGACAAGCACTCCGCAGGAGGAAGAAGAAAACCCTCCTAGGCAGGCAGGACAGTGGGATGCAACACGCAGACAGCACAGGATTCCAGGCTTGCTTGGTTCTTCCCCGCCTCTTCCCTTCCACCCCCCAATTCCTCAGGCTGGTGTAGCACAGCCCACGCCACCAGATCCAGGTGTGAGACCCATAGCAGAGTGCACACTCACATTGCTGGTGCCTCTGACCAAGGATGTGATGACCTTCACGGTGTCCATGGTCACATTGTGGACCATCTTCTCCTCCAAGTCTCTGTGACACGAGCTCTCCCGGCAACTGGTCTGAAGACAGAATGGGCTAGTCAGGGAGCCCTCCTGTGGACCGCTTGTTGTAGTCTTGGGGGTCTATAGGCCACTCAGAGCCATGTGTGAGTGCATGTGTATGTGTGTGTCTGGGTGTGTCTCCTTCTCGTACTTCTGCTACGAGCAGAACAAGGGACAGTCTCCCCCACCCTCACCGCTTTAGAAGCCATTTCCGAGGCCCAGCTGCTCCCGACATTGTACATGGGGCCACTCACCAGTTTGTACGTGGATAAGGTCAGTTGTACTGACACGTACTTCAGGCCCCAGCCCTTGATCCTGTCCTGGTAGCCAGACAGAGCCAGCTGGCTGATGATGCGAAGAATGGCCATCCTTACCTGGGAGGAGGCATTGGGGTGGGGGAGGACAGAGTCAGGACCTGCTCTGCTGGGGGGCTTGATTCCAGGACAGGGTCTCAGCACCTCACAGCCAGACAGGAGTTTGGGCTGGTTGGGGTTAGAAGGAGCCCTGAGGGCCACCTGCCTCCTGCCCACTCTGGCCCCACCCTGGCCTCACAGGATGTCCTGGGGCAGCACACCCATGGGGACCTCATGGGAGCCGTTCAAAGACACACAGCCAACATACCAGCTGCTCTGCCCACCAGCCCCCATGCAAGGGGCGTCCCTCCCTTACCCTGGACCCTGGAACTCACTGCATGGGGGAGGCCAAACAGCAGAACCAGACACTTCTTCCGCCCATTGTTTCCTGGCTTTGGAGACTAGGCTCTGGCTTAGCCTCCATCTAGCCATTTCTCTGCCCCATGCTCCTCACACTCATCATGGCATCTTTCAGTAGCCAGAGCCAGGGCTGCCTCCACCCTGAGCTGGCCACCATTGCTGTAGAGCCTAGGACTGGGGTTCACAGCCTTTTGGGGATGGAGGAGTGACAAGAGGGGTGGAGTTCCTTCCCGTCCATCCAGGTGTAGTAAAGAGCTTGGACAGCGAAAGCCGCCACGTGGTGGCTGCTGTTCCATCCTTAGGATGTCTCCTGTTCCAGTTGAGCACCAAGGGCCCAGGCAAGAGCAGGACTCCTACGTTTATGGGCCTCCCTCTCCCACAGCCTCACTCAGGACTGGGCCAGAAGCCAGGGTCCCCTTCACATGTCTTCACCCCACCCAGCTGGCTCCTCAGGAAAGGCCCCGGCCCCATGCCCCTGCCAGGTATCAGCCCTGGTACCTTGGATCTGGTATCAGAGAGGGTGTTCTTGACGATGCGGATAGCCAAGCAGATGGTCCTGATGTTCATTTTGGGCTCTGCAGGAGGTGGTGGGCCAGGAGGGCTGTGAGGACGCAGGGTTCGCCCTGGCCCATCCGCTTCTCTCTTCTCTGACTTCTCCCAAGTTCAAGACCCCTTTCCTAGGGTCTGCCCAGGCCAGGCTCCCCCTCTCATGTCCTCCCCGCAGCCTGCTGCTGCAAACCAAGCCTGGGACTGTCCCCAAGGGCTCTGCAGTACCTGTGCCCTCCCGCCCAGCTGCATCCAGAAGGGGGAAGCACTGGCTCACCACTGGCACCAATCACAGCCCTGATCAGGTTCAGGGTGCCTACGCGCACGGCCTCCTGGCTTATCTCCATCTGGCCGAAGAAGAACTTCATCAGCTCCTTGGGGTAGGAGTGAGCTGTAGGAACAAGGATCCTTCTGTCATGGCCCCTGTGCCGTGGGGGACAGCACAGGCCGCAGTGCCCCTCACCTCCCACCTGGCAGTCTTGGGAGCGTCCCCATGGCAGAGGCTCACCCAGGGCTATGAAGCAATGCACGATCTCCACCAGGTTCTGGCTGCTGAGCTGATGCTGGGCCGGGGCCTTGGTGCACACCTGGGTAGGGGGTGTGCAGGGAGCAGCGTGGGAGGTCAGAGGGCACAGACCACACTGGGGACTGCACAGCTCCAACAGCCCAGCTGAAGGTGGGAGGCGCACCAGAGGGGCAGGTGCTGGCCCTTCTTCTCCCAGCATCCCACACAGCCCAGCCCCTGCAGACCCCACCCTGAGCCAGCCAGGCTTACCTGCGAGTGGAGTTCTGTGAAGAGGGGGTGCAGCTGCATCTGTGGGATGGGGGTGTGGGTGGAGACTGACATCTCCAAGATCTGCCTCAGGACCTGCAATGGGCAGGCAGATGGTGATGGGCAGCCATCTATGGACTCAGGGTCAAATCCTAGACCCTTGAAATGCATCTGGGTCCTTTGGGGTGGTTAGACCTGCTGAGTCAATACTACCTTTCCATCAGCCCCACCTGTTTCCCGTGTGTCAGAGCTGCCGAGTCAGCACTGTGTTTCCACCATCCCCACATGCTTCCCGTGTGCAGTAAAGTGCAGGAAATACCACCCCAAGCCCCCAAGCCTGGCATTCAAGCCCTTTTCACTTTCTTTCCTATTCATCTGGTAATGAATTCCATTCTTCAGCAGGAATGATGTGCAGGGGAGCAGGTGTTTGCCCCATGAGCTAAGGAACTGTTGAGATGCCAGGGACACACAGCAGAGTTCCTGGGTTCCACCCTGTCTCTAGTCTCCTGCAACTTTGGTCCCTGGGAGGCAGCAGTGATGGCTTAAGGGACCGGGCTTCTGCCACCCACACGAGAGGTCCACACTGAATTCCGGCATATATAATGCTGCTCAGGTGGTCCTCTAAGCCTGCCATGCCCCTTTCTGCTTCTCACTTCTGTGGCTGAGGACTGGGCCTTCAGACATCGTTGCCAGTCACATCTACCGGGACATGCCCCAACCAGGGCTCCACCAGTTAAAGCATAGTGTGGGCAGGCCAGCTCCCTAGAATGCACCCCAAGTTCATCTCCAACTGGAGCCTTAGAATGTGGCCTTGCTTTGAAATCAGGTCTTAGCTCTTAAGCTGAGAGCATGTGGGCTCTCAGTCTAGTGACCAGTGTCCTGGAAAGGGATAAAGAAGACACAAGGAGGCAGCCCTGGATGACAGATGGAGGCACAAATGGTACAGCTCAGTCCAGGAGCATCTGCTGCTCCAGGCAGCCGGAAGGGACAGGAAATGTGTCATCCCTGGGGCCTTCAGAGGGAGTGCAGCTTGGACCTCTGACCTTGGGATATGGTGAACATAAACATCCATGATTGCAGCCCCCAGGGTTGAGGTTCTTGGTTAGACCAATCCACCTGATGTAGCCACCAAGGCCTCTGCTACCTGGAACAGTTGCAACCCTACAGATGCCAGGTCCTAGCCTCATCATGTACACAGAGGTCAGGTGTGCTTGCATCATGTCAACACATCTGCCGTCACTGCCTCCAACCAGACAGGAAGCCTGCACCCCGATTCTCACCACCAACACTACTGAGCATCCTGCCCCGTGGCCCTCACCTGTGTGATGAAGAGGGCCTCCAGACTGCCCTGGTACTCAGCCAGCAGCAGGGGGATGTAGTCATACACCTGCTCCCGCAGGTCATCATTGGGCAGGAGGAGGCCCAGCATGGGCTTCAGCGACTTGATGACGCCCAGCTTCACCTGCCATAGGAAATGGGGCCATGGACTCATTTCCCAGGCCGCCCAGCTAGCCCTTACACATGGACTCGAGCCCACAGGACAGAAGGAGACCTTGGAAGTAGCACCAGGTCTCCCCCAAGCTTCACAGGCAGTGCAGCATGGCCAGATGCCAATTGGGAGGCCCACCTAGGTACTAGCTGACTTGGAGGTGTTCAACCTCCCTGTGCCTCCTGGCCTGGGATCTGCCAGCATCCCCTGAGAAGGGTACATCAGCATCACACCTCGGGGTTGTGGTGCCTCAGCCACACGGTCACAAAGTAGCGATACATGGGGAACAGCTTCAGAGCAAACTGGTCCTCTGTCATCACGGGGTACACACTGTCCTCCAGGTGCCGCAGGTAGAACTGGACTGTCTCACAGAAGGTCTCCATGGCTGCCAGCAGTGGAGAAAGGCAGTCAGGCTGGTATGGGAAGGCAGAGCCAGGTGCCCCAGTCTGGACCCACCTTCTCTGGGAGAAGATGCTCCCATGCTCCCGGAGGCAGCAGGTGACCAGGCAGCAGGTAACCCTCTCTCTTCTCTTCCAACCCCTCACAGCTCCCCAGTGTCTACCCTGCACAGCTAGGTGAGAGTTGAGCACATGCTGGTGTGTCAAGCCCTCCCTCCCCTTCAAGGACACAGGGTCAAGGTAGTGGCTTGGAAACAGTCTCTCCCCCAGGTCCTGAGGATTCCAGGACAGAGGACATCAAAAGTGTTTAGAATGTTGTGGGGTCAGATGATCACATTTGAATCACATCAAGTGTCTGCCCAGGGCAAGCCCAAAATGAAGATGCTTTCCCAGATTCCGCCCCCCCACCCCCGTGGATGCCACCTGCTTTCTCCTAACTCCTAAACTACAGGACAAGCCACACAGAGTCACAGTGGGGATCTCCCTCTGAGCCACTTGTCACTCAGACAGGCAATCAGAGGCTGCATGAAACAGGAGACCCAGCAATTGTCCAGAAGCCAATGAGTAATGCACCTCTTGTCTGGTGACCCCTGCACCTGCTCCTTACCCTGCTTCCTCCCTCCAGCACCCTGGCCAAGCCAGACTTGCAGGCTTAAGAGGGGCAAACGCACCATTACAGATCACCTGGCGCATCTTGGCTTCACTAGCAAGTCTCAGCATTGTGAATATGGTAGCCAGAGTGATGCCCATGTATGGCATGAACTCAAACACTGTGGGGTAGAGTGGGTGGGGAGATTGGAGTTAGGGCAGAGAAGGCACAGGGCATGGAGGGTAAGTCCACTGCCCAACACCTCCAGCTCCCGATAGCCCAGAACCAGGGACCCCTTGGAGATTCTGTTGGGACTACAAAATGTGGTGTGGGCCCAAAAACCGAAAAAGTGAGCTGGAGGTGAGTGAAGGGTAAAGGAGACAAGAAAGGAAGGGGAAGGAAGGGAAAAGAAGGCAGAAGAGGCAACAGAGAGGAAGGAGGAAGGGTTTGCAGAGACAAAGAAAAGAAGAGAAGGAGGCTATGAGCTCCAGGGTGTGTCCAGCCTCCAAGGTCACAGATCAGACTCCATCAATGTTCTTAAATGCATGAAGAAAGTGGGAGGTGGTGGATGAGAGAGAGAGACACAGAGAGAGAGGTGCAAGAGGCCAACATCAGGCAGGCAAGCACCAATGGGGGAGCACTGTGCTGGCCCAGCCCTGAGGGCCTCTCCTACCGTTGCCATTGGCCAGCTTGGCCAAGGTGACAATAACGAACTCTTCAGTGAGGTTGAGGGGCTTGAGGTGGTGCTGTAGTTCATACATGACCAAGCTGAAGTGATTCCGGGACAGAGCCACCAGGGTGTCGCTAGCCACCTCTGCGTTCACATAGCCCTCCCTCTGAAATGTGGGTGTTAGTGGGTGGGAGGCAGACAGAAGGGGAGGGGTGGCCAACATTGCCCACCAGGCCTGCTGCTGCCTTCCTCTCCCAGCCAACCCCAGCCAGTTACAGTCACCAGGTGACCAGGGGGACCCAAGCCCAGCCCAGCCCTTTGGCTCTGCTACCTCGGGGCTCTCCCTCATCTCCCGCGAGGCAATGGTCACCAGCCTCTGCACGCACTGCTCCTCCAGCTCGCCCTGCTGCTGGATGATCTCCTGCAGGATGTTGTAGATGTTGACCTTGCGCTGAGAGGAGATCTACAACACAAGGGTGCTGGCTGGGGTGAGGGAGAGGGGTTCCCGGCTCTGGGGTCCAGCTCCTCCCAGCTGTTTCTTGGCCTCGTCCCTGCGCCCATGCTCAGGAGGCAGCCAGCAGCTCCCACACCCCAGCTCCCCCAACTCCAGCTCCTCTCCATGAGTTATCTGTCCTGGCTGTCACGCGGGTGCACCAAGGTGGGTGTCACGCTCTCCGCACACTGGGCATTGCTGTCATTTATTTTTGTGTATTTTGTTTTAAGATTTACTTCTTTTACTTCAAAGTCAAAATGACTGAGAAAGGGAGAAACAGAGACAGGGTGAGACCAAGAGAGATCTTCCATTCCCCAAATACTTGCTGTGGCCAGAGCTAAGCTGGGCCTGTTTGAAGCCAAGAGTCAGGTGCTTCTGGATTCCCCAGGTGGGTGCAGGGGCGCAGGGAACTGCACCCTCCTTCACTGCTTTCTCAGGACATTAAGCTGGATCAGAATTGAAACAGCTGAGAAACAACTGTGACCCATGTGGGATACTGGTGTTGCAGCTGGTGCATGCTACATTCCCATGCCAGCCCCACCATGATTTGCTTTTTAAAAGATTTATTTTTATTGGAAAGTCAAATACACAGAGAAGACGAGAGATAGAAAGAAAGATCTTTCATCTGTTGATTCACTCCCCAAGTGGCCGCAGCAGCAGGAGCTGCGCCAATCTGAAGCTAGGGGCCTGGAGCTTCTTCCAGGTCTCCCACATGGGTGCAGGGTCCCAAGGCTTTGGGTCATCCTCGGCTACTTTCCCAAGCTACAAGCAGGGCCACCAGGACATGAACTGGCACCCATATGGGATCCTGACGCATGCAAGCCGAGGACTGTAGCTGCTAGAATACTGTGCTGGGCCTGATCATCATTTGTCTTTTATATTTATTTTTGATTATTTGAAAGGCAAAGAGAGAAAAAGAGAAAGAGAGGTCTTTCATTCATTGGTTCACTCCCTAAATGCCTGCGACAGAACCAGGGTTGGGCCAGAACTCTGGATCCAGGCACTCCACCCAAGTCTCCTGTGGGTGGCAGAGGCTCCAGTAACTGAGCCATCACCTGCAGGAACCAGGCACTCCCGTATGAGATGCAGACGTCCCAGCCAGCAGCTCGATGCTGTTTGGGGAAATCATCCAGGTGCAGGGAGACAGATTCCAGAGGGACACTCCAGTGTGTGCCTTGAGCTCCTGCTTTGAGTTGGGCTCATAGGGAGGAGGGCAGAGGCCGCTGCTCAGCGACAGAGCTACAGCTGGATCGGAAGAAATATTTCCAGCATTTTATCCCATGGAGGGCTGAGTACACAGTGGTGCATCACGTGTCTCCAAACAGCTGAGAGACAGGGTTTGGAATGCAGCCAGCACTGACAAACGGTGACAATCTAAGGTGAGGGTACACAAATGATCACATTGTATTCTGTAAATGTTTACAGCTACTGCCTGTCAATAAAAAATACTGTGTTTGTGTTTGGAAGATGCTGCGTGGGACAGCTGCCTCCCTTGGAATGCCAGCTCCACTTCTGATCAGGATTCCTGTGGATGCACGGAGGGAAGCCCACGGCGGGTGGCTCCGGTCCTTGCCTCCCATGTGAGAAACGCTGACTATGCTTTGTGCCCAGCCCTGCCTGTCACTGGCATTTGGGGAGTGAATCCATGGATGGGTGGCCTCTCTCTCCCTCTCTCTCTTTCTCTCTTTCAAATAAGTTTTAAAATGAGTTCGATTTTTAACAAACTAATTTTATTTGTCTTTAAAGGGATAGCCTTCAAAGAATACTTAAAAGTCACAAGAGGCCAATCATGAGTCTTGGAAACTGGCAAAGCTGCCCCAGATGGCTGCAGATGAGTGTCAGGGGCTGTGTGGCCAATGCGCAGGGATTTCTGGGCTCTACAAGGCTGGGTATCTGCAATCCCCTTTGCTGCCTGCGCTGGGTCACAGCTCTGCAGAGAGCAGCAGCTGAGCATGCAAAGGTTCCCTCCTCAGCGGGACAAATGCTCTTTGCCTGGCACAGCAAATGAGTCTCTGAAGGCCAGGATCCCCACGTGAGTGACTGTTCACATCTCAGAAATTCCCTCACTAAGGAATATGTCATCTCATAACCACATATCTGTTTATTGACTGTTTATTGCCACCATTTACTGACTGGGCTCTATTAACTATGCTTCTTATTTCTGTATTTCCTGGTGTTTTGCTACCTGGGGGACAGCTCCTGCTGTCGGCTCCAGGATGACCAAGATGGGCAGTGCAAGGGGACCAAGGCCCCAGCAAGCCTACAACCTGTTCTCAAGCAGTACGCACCTCTCCTCTCGCCCTTCTCTGTGTCCTAGCACCCAACACCCAGCACCACATCTTTGTTCATCAGCACTGACAGGTGGATGGATGCAGGTGGCTGAGCTCCCAGGAGGGATCCAAGGTGAAGTGACCCTACCTCTGGCACCTGCAGACAGCGGATGAGAGCGTTCATCACCACAGAGGGTTCTGTGGCGGCCTTCTCGGTGATGATCACTGAAGCCAGGGCCTTCCTCAGGTCCAGACCTGAGCCAGTCATGTCGGTCGTCGCTGGCTCGCTGTCCATGATGTTCAGGAGGTTTGTGACTTGCTGGAAAGCGCCTGAAACGAAGATGGCCATCCCAGGAGATGTTCCTGGCTTGCAGTACACCTGTGCAATTTTACCTTCACCTGCCGTGTGATGTCCACTGTGCAGATGAGAGACACTGAGGCCCAGGCTGGGACCAAGATGGGACAAGAATGAAGAGACGGGGGTGACAGGCTTACCAGTGTGATCTAATTCAAGAGGTTCTGGCTCTTCTATTTCTTCTGGAGTATCTTCTTTGGAATCTAATGCTACTTCTGACATCTCGTCCTCAAGCTCTTGGAGGTAAGATGAGATTTGTGAGAGACCTGGCGTGCCAACGGAAGCTACGGTAATCCAAGGCACCCACATGTTTGTGGAAGCCCTTCCCCTTGACTATGGGCAGAAACTGAGGTTTGATACTGGTCAACGAAATATGGCAAAGGTGATAGGGACCTTGAGAGGGTTGCTTTGAATGGCACAGGTAATGAGAAATCTTAGGATCATATTTGGTAACATAAGGCTCCATATTAGCAGACTAGACACCATTCTGCCACTAGAAAAGCAAAAAACTGTGATACAGACTGACTATGGAGGAACCATATGCAAGAAACTTGGTCCTGCCAAGAGCTGAACTAGGCCAAAAGCCTTGTGAGCTTGGAAGAGGACCAGGGCCTTAGAAAGCAGTGCAGCCCAGCCAACACCTCACTTGTCACTTCAGGGTCCTAGGCAAAGGACCAGCGGAGGCATGCTGGACTCCTGACCTCCCATATATGTCATAGGCAATTAGGCCACAGTGATAGGTAGCTAATACCCTAAGCTAAGTAAAATAGCCCTCCTTCCTTTCTAGGAAGTTAATGACTGATGAGAAAGCCACAGCCACAGCTCTGTCACTCTTCACAAGGGCCATCTGTACAGCAACAATTTCTTGAGAGCTCATAAACACCAGCACAGAAGCCAACATGGAGGATTACGAGCTCCACCCCGGATCCTTGCTTCTCCTGGCCCAAGGTCCTCGATCCCCAAAGGCCACTCCACAGTCCTTCATCATCCTGTGCTCTCTCCCTGCTGGGAACCCCTTGTTGAGCTTTTCTGGGACCCACATACTGACCTATCCTCAGAGTCCTCTTCTGAGGGGGCTACAACAAACCACATGGGATCTTAGCCCAATCCACACCAAGAGAAACGTGGGCAGAGGTGACCCGTGTCAACGTGTGACAGTTAGGCTGCTCACAAGGACCGGCTCTCCTGATGGGGCAAAGATGCTGCCAAGAGCCTCACTGTTAGTTCCTTGGAACGTTGGGAGCCAACTGCCTCCCTGATGCTCTGTCAGCCCAGGCCTCTAACTGCGTGTGTGTGTGTGTGTGTGTGTGTGTGTGTGTGTGTGTGTGTGTGTGCGCGCACACACAAGAATGAGAGGGAAATGGTGTGAGTAGGGGCTGGTTCACAACCATGTCTCAGGAGTGTGCAGCCATATGGGCCCAGGCTAGGGAGTGTGGTCAAGACAGGTGGAAAGAAGAAGAGGGGACAGCAGGGATGTCCTAGAAGGAGGACTCCCCCACAAAAAAACTGAGCCACTTGCAAGATTGTAGGGACGCAGATTCCCACTGGTAGAATACTGAGAAGATAAAAGAACGTCAATGACATCTAAGAAAGTAGGGAACCTGTTTTCTTAGATTAAACATGGGTCCAAAAGGATTTCTCTGTCACCTAAAGCTGAAAGAGATGTGGATCACATCAATAATTGATTGGAATGAGAAATGTTAGACTTGGGAAGTCTGGCTACACATTACAGGACTTAGAGCCATCCAGGTCCAAGACTGCCTATGGCGCCGGTTCTAATCCCGGCAGCTCCACTTCCCATCCAGCTCCCTGCTTATGGCCTGGGAAAGCAGTCGAGGATGGTCCAGAGTATGGGGACCCTGCAGCCACATGGGAAACCCAGAAGAGGTTCCTGGTTCCTGGCTTCAGATCGGCGCAGCACTGGCCTTTGCGGTCACTTGGGGAGTGAGTCATCGGACAGAAGATCTTCCTCTCTGTCTCTCCTCCTCTCTGTATATCCACCTTTCCAATAAAAATGAATAAAAATCTTAAAAAAAAAACGAAAAGAAAATTGCTTTTTGCACATTGTGCCCAACACTTCTTCCCCATAATATTCCTGCATTGTTCCAGGTTTGACCCCTCAAAGACACCCTAATCAACATGGTGCCCCCTTTTTCAGTCCTTCTATACTATCTCCTCCGGCTCCCCACTGGGCCTTCCAAAGATCACTCATGTCACATGCTTGCAGTTCCATTTCACATCCCCTCCACTACAGACCTACTGTGTGCAAGCCAGCATAGCTTGCCATGTGGTTATGGATACAGGCCACAGGTCACAACATTGTCCTCTGAGAGGGTCTTCAGACTTAACACATGAAATTCCATAGATTTAGGGCCAGATGTGAGTGTAGCAACTCCTACGTTACAAATACTTCAAAAGTTAATGAGTGAGAGCAATCAGTCAGTATTGTTCACAAATACATGGCCCATCAGGTGGCTCTCCTGACCTGGACCTGTCTAGCCAAGCTTGACAGTCACTCATGTGACCATTCTGTCAGCTGGAAAGGTGGCAGGAAGCTGGCTGTTGGCTGGCCAGTGACTGAAGGGTGCTTGGGATCATGCAAAAGGGCTAGCCCATGATGTTCTCATAGCAGGTGGACAAATTTTCAAGCCTAGACTTGGAACTGCACCTTTTACTCACCATACCCTATCAACTAAGCCTGTTCAGCGTCATTCTGCACCAAAAGGGTGGAGAGCATAGTCCCCATACAAAGGAAAGTGTATATTCATACACATACAGAGAGAGAGAGGCATATGTGTGTATGTACATAGAATACATACATATATAAAGAATATATAGAACATATAGGAAGTGCACACTCACGTGGCTATCAGGAGGAATGGAGGAAAGGGCCACTTTGTGTTACGCAGTGGGCACATGGGTCATTACAGCAAGTGAGGGGCCTCGGAACACATATGGGAGAAGACCTCAAAATAATGAGGCTAGGGGAGCAAATTTCATTTCCAAAAATGAGAAGACTTTTTTTTTTATTAGGCTCATAATTCATTCACAAAATCGGCCTCTCTACTATCGCTTTACTGAGCTTCCCAGGTCAGCTTCTATAGAAGCTAGCACAGGGCCCAGCGCGGTGGCGCAGTGGTTAAAGTCCTCGCCTTGCACACCCGGGATCCCATATGGGCGCCAGTTCTATCCCGGCAGCCCCACTTCCCTTCCAGCTCCCTGCCTGTGGCCTGGGAAAGCAGTCGAGGACAGCCCAAAGCTTTGGGACCCTGCACCCGCATGGGAGACCCGGAAGAGGCTCCTGGCTTCGGATCGGCATAGCATTGGCCGTTGCGCTCACTTGAGGAGTGAATCATAGGACAGAAGATCTTCCTCTCTGTCTCTCCTCTCTGTATATCCGCCTTTCCAATGAAAAAATAATAAAAATAAATCTTTTAAAAAAAAAAGAAGCTAGCACAGAATCAAGAGAAGATGGGGGCTAGCAATACAGTATAACTGGTTAAGCCACTGCCTGCAATGCTGGCCTTTCCTATGGGAACTGGTCTAATTCCTGGCTGCTCCACTTTTGATCCAGTCCCCTGCTAATGTGTCTGGGAAATGCAGCAGAAGATGCCTCAGGGGTCCAAGGACAACTGGCCCACAAGCTTGAAAAACATCCACCTGTAATCATCATCTCCATCTCATTTTAAATGCTCTCCCATTTCTTGCCTATGCACCGCAGGCATTCTTGTTCACAGCGGTACATTACAGGCTGCATGGGATCCTGGCTCTCATAAGCTGAGGGCACCTCTACGGCCATGGCCTGGAGTCTCCAGAGTCATCTGCCCAGGTGGAACGCCTCCTCGGTGCAGTGGGGCCCTCCTCCAGACCACCCACATCTCTCTCCTGCAGGCTCTCTCCTCTTTGTGACCCATTAGACATGCAAGGACATGAACACCAACCAGGAGCAGGTTTTGGCCAGAAGTGTTCAGGAACTCACCTACCTTAGCTTGGGTGGGTCTCCGTTTTCTCCAGTTGCCCAGAGATGCAGTGCCTGATGACCACCGCTCTGCCACCAGCGCTTCCTTTAGGCTAGGCGTTGGGCATGCTCTGATGCACTGCTCAAGGGCTTCTGGGTGTGTCTTGGTCCTCACAGTGGCTTTGGGAAGTGGTGGGCATTTAGGAGGTGGAGTCTGGACAAGACGGCAGGAACCCAACCTGCCCAGCGTCCTTGTTGGGTGGAGGAACCTCTTTCTTCCTAGTGACACAGAAAGAGGGCCCTCATCAGAGCTGAGAGATGCCAACCTCCTGAGCTTCCAAAGCTGCAAGCCAAAGGCAGCCTGCCTTGGGTGCCCTGTTATACTCATGGGTACACTTTACTTCCCAAGTAAATTCCTGTCCCTGAATCCCATCCTAGGGGGATCCCTTGTGAAGCACTTTCCCTCTCCACAAGGGCATGCACCCATACAGACAAAGCTGCTGAAATGGTGTGTGATGCCTTGTGGTGGAAGACAGTCAGGGCTGGCGCAACCAGGTGGTGAGGGAAGTCGGCATCTCATCTGAGTGCCAGTTTGAGTCCTGACTGCTCCTCTTTCAATCCAGCTCCCTGCTAATGCACGTGGGAAAGCAGTGGTGCCTGGGTCCCTGCACCAATGTGGGAGACCCAGAAACTCCTGGCTTCTGTTTCAGCACGGTCTAGCCTTGGTCACTGTGGTCATTTGGAGGGTCAACCAGCAGATAGAAAATCTTTCTCCCTCTGTCTTACCTTCTCTTTAACTCTGCTTTTCAAATAAATACTCTTCAAACAAGTGACACTAAAAGTGAATTCCTCTGGAAGTCATAGTTGAGGAAGCCCTGGTCTACCCATGCCCTAATATGCCTCTTGACCACTCTGATTAAACTAAATGCTCCAAAAACACTGGGAGGACATTCACAGTCGATGGAAGTGGAAAATGTTAGAAAACACCATGCATATCTCGTACACCTCCAGTGTTTCCTAAGTCTACGCATTTGCCAAGCGAGCAGCAGTGGTTCTTTCTGGGAGATGGTTCTTCTGGACTTTTCTGTTCCCGTGTGTACAGATGTGTGCATGTAGAGGGAGAATATGTGTGAAATTCTGTAATGGTCTTGCATTATTTTTTGTGAGCAGAACACATTCATTCAATAAATAGATATAACACCAAAAAAGAGAAAAAAATCTAAGAAATTAAATTTATTAGTAAAATTTGAGCTGTGAAAAACATCAAATACCCAGGCCAAGCATGACAGTTTGGGATTTTCACGTATTCAGGTGCATTTGACACAATTTCTGATGACCCGCTCAGGATCCGGCCTCCTTGCTTCCCAAGGTCGGAAACCATACACTGCTCTCCAGGACTCCACACCACCTGCTCTTCTTTTGAGTATGCCTTAAATACGCAGTCAATGCCTTCTTCCAACACTCAGGTTCTGAATGTAAATGCGGCTGGATCGTTGCTGGTGCAGAAGAAAGGGATCACCAAGGCTGGTGGGAGCCAGACGGCGATGCTGATGCAGGGGCAGCCATGGGACCACCTCTGAGTCTCCGGCTCCACTCGAAGACCACAGAGCCCTCCACGTTCTGTGTAGCATCAGACGGAAAACAAGTGTGGTCCAGCTTGATGGTGCTGGAGGGGGCGGGCACATAGTCAAGTACCTTCACCTACAGACATGACCAGCGATTAACTCAACTTCATTCAAACAAACAACCAGACAAAAATCGTGGTGGGGATGTCTAATTCGTGGCAAAATATGTCATTCAAAAGAATCAAATGATTTTAACACTGACTCTGCACATTTGGAACAGGCTGAGCAATGGATGCAAACTTCACCTCATCTCCCTCCTGCTTCCTAATGTGTCTTGGACTTGTGGGCTTTCTTCACGCGCCCCTTTTTCCCAAAGCATTTCCCACAGGCAAAGGCACAGCACTTAAAGGTGACGAAGGCCACGGTCAGCACGATGGCCAGGAGGAAGCCGATCACATCCAGAGAGTGGTACTGGTACCAGGTGAGGTCATGGGCGGCGGGCCTCAGGTGTGGTGCCCCCTTGTGCCTCATCACGAACTCCACCCAGAACACAGCCAGGTCCAGCGGCTCCACAGGACGGTCCTTGTGAAGGCTGGAGAGGCGCATGATGTTTTCCTTGTAGCTGTACACAGAGAGACACAGTTATGTCAGTGCTGGGAACAGCCGCAGCGATGAACCACCTCCCAGGACACTGCTTCTGGGTAGAAACGCTACCAGATTTTCTAGTCTGGTTCCATCACAAGCAGAAACACACACACACACACACACACACACACACACACACACACACACACACACACACATACACACACACACACACATGGGCCCGGCACGGTGGCACAGTGGTTAAGGTCCTCGCCTTGCACGCCCGGGATCCCATATGGGCACCGGTTCTAATCCCGGCGGCCCCTCTTCCCATCCAGCTCCCCGCTTGTGGCCTGGGAAAGCAGTCAAGGACGGCCCAAAGCTTTGGGACCCTGCACCCGCGTGGGAGACCCAGAAGAGGCTCCTGGCTTCGGATCGGCATAGCATCGACCTTTGCGCTCACTTGAGGAGTGAATCATCGGACGGAAGATCTTCCTCTCTGTCTCTCCTCTCTGTATATCCGCCTTTCCAATAAAAATTAAAAAGAAAAAAAAGAAACACACACACACACTCTCACACATAATGCTCTCTATCTCTAAAAAGAAAGAAGTAGAGTATGAATTTAATGGATGAAGAAATGAAGACAGGATGGGGAGCCAGTAAAGGAAGGAAAGGAAGGAAGGAGGGAAAAAAAAACCCTAGATGTCAAAAATGCTTATTTTAAAAGTGGCTGAGGGGCCAGCATTGTTGTGTCAATACCTTTTCCTGCACCACCAGCAGCCAATATGGTGCCGGTTCCACACATCCTTGGCTGCTCCACTTCCAGCTCCCTGCTAATACACCCAGGAAAAGCAGCAGAGGATGGCCCAACTGCTAGGGCCCCTGCACCCACATGGGAGACCCAGAAAGAAGCTCCTGGCTCCTGCCTTCATCTTGGCCCAGTCCTGGCTATTGTAGCCATCTGGGGAGTGAATCAGTGAATAGAAGGCAGAGATCTCTCTCTCTCTCTCTCTTTTCTGTCTCTATTACTTTTTCAAATAAAAAAACCATTTTTTTTTAGAAAATGGATGAATCTTGCTTTTTAACTTTTCCCATTTCCTTTTTGTTGTTGGTTTCTTTTTAGAAAATTAGAGATTATACTTTCTTTGTATTAAAGCAAATCAGAATTTTGCAGAAACACTTTATTATAAATTAAATAGTTTCACCTTTTTTGGCTTCAAAAAAAATCACGTGGTCAAAGCAAAACCTGCCTCTAAGTGCTAACTCCAAGGTGGCGACAGACTTGAATGCTGTCATTGTACCATCAAGCCACCCCAGGGCTACAGCCAGTGTGAGGTGGTGTCTACACAAGACGGATTCCCATTTGTTCTGGAGAGTGCTGAGAGCTGGATAAGATCACCTCCATTCAAGATGTATTAGCGTCTACCCTTGGTATCGATGCACTAAGAGCAGCAAGGGGGAGGGAAAAAGAGAAGGAAAGAAAAGGGAGGAGAATAAGATCTCCTTTTGGGGACTAGTGAAGACCACTGCTGACCCAGGCATGCCTGCACTGCTGCTTGGCTGTGTGGTTTACAAAGTAATGCTAGTGTCTGACCATGAATCCTGGGACATATCTTTGTTTTATGCAAGTCTTAAGACATATTTCCTTGGAATTTCATTCATTCAACATTGACTGAGCACCAATTATGACCTCGCTGCACGGTGATTTGAAATGTTTCCATTCCTCTTAATTTTGAGTTGGCACAGTCCCCATTCAGACTGCTGCAGCCATGGAGATCCATAACCAGATGAAATTGATTCAGAAGTGAACAGCTGCAATCAGGCACCAACCTGAGCTCATCAGTCAGTGTTTCCAAGAAACAACAGTGTACGAGGAAGCCTCTAGGTCAGTCACCTGTCAGTTCTCAGCAGTTACCTATAGCACTCAACAACCTGGCAGACTCATGCCAACAGCAAGAACCTGGAGAACAAGCGCTGTCCACGGGCAGGTGTCAGGTTTCACGTGTCGTTTGAAGCAGACATGCAGAAGGAGCGACTGGGTTGAAGAGCAGACTCATGTTCCTTTCTAAGGGAAGCCCCGGTGAGGGGGAGGGGAGATGCTATGATGTGAACACATCCCCAGGGGTCATGTGCCAGAACTCAATTTCAATGCAGGAGGTGACTGGATCTTTAAGACAGACAGATGTTTTCTTCAGGGGACTGGATTAGTTCCCGTGAGTATCGGTTGCTATAAAGCAAGACTGACCATCTGCTTTTGCTCTTCCACATACACCCGCCTACCCTCCCACTTTCCTGCCATGTTGCGATACAGCACAAGACAAGGTCCTCACACATGCAGCCGCCCAAGTAATGAGGTGATAAATCTATTCTCTGAATCACCAGTCTGATAGAGCAAGAAATGGGCTCAGACAGGGTGTCTGGCAGCTCCATAAACACAAACACACATGCACAAGTGCACACACAACATGGATAAGCATGCCTATGCATGGACACACCCACAGATGAAACATAGAAACACATCTATGTGTACACACACACACACCATTGTTGGATGAAAGGCCCTGACACCACAGATGACACATAGAAATACACCTATGTGTACACACACACACACTATTGGATGAAAGGTCCCAACAGCCATCCGTTCTTCCCACACACTTGTGATGAGTATGACGGCAGAGCAACAAATTTCATGTGAAGACCATGTGATCCTGAACAATCTGTCTTTGCTTTCATTCTAAGCCTCTGGTAACACATGACTTCCACATTGGTTAAGTCCCATGGACAAAACTTCCCACAGGTTCCAGTTCTAGGAACAGCTGTACTTCTAGACCCCTGCTTTGGTCTTACTTTGTAGACTCCAAACTTCTTAAAATGGAGTACTCTTCCCTTTGATTATCATCATGGTGATATTATTTTTTATAAGCTGCAAATCATCCAAAGGGAACAAAATTTTAAGTAAATTTTGGCAAATTATAAAGGAACTAAAGAATCCTTTCATAAAGTATAGGATAGGTCAGCCAGATGATCTTATTTCTAAATCTAGACTTGCACGCATCTGTTTTCACATTGGATTATTCATCACAAGTGTCATGCCCAAAGCATCGCCCCCTACCTCATCTCTTACCTTTTGTCATTGATGACCTTTTTCAGGGCGTTGGCTAGATCGTCGGAGGTCATTTCCAGGACGTTCAGGGTGATGCCAGCTCCGCGGGTCTCCATGCGCTTTGCATTGTCCATCTGGTCGCCAAACAGGGGCAGCATCACCATGGGAACACCGTTGCATATGCCTTCATAAATGCCATGGGAGCCCGAGTGGGTGATGAAGGCACGCGTCTTGGGGTGGCCTGGGAGGAAGCATAGCAGGGAGGGATGTCAGCGGTTACATCGCTGTTTCCCAGTCTGACAGAGCAGGTTCTGAACGTGCTGGGGGTGGGGAGACTCTGTGCTATCCTTTTGCAACCCAGGCAAAATTGCAGAAGAAAGTGTGGGCTGAGACATCCCACTAGACAACGAGGCGCTGTAGGACATGGTGGCCAAGCCTGTTCTCAGGCTCAACCCTGTTCGTCACAACAGCTGTGCCCAGCCCAGTGTGCTAACTGCAGCTTGGTCTGACCTGCGTGCCCAATCCTTCTGACATACCGAGCAGATCGTTTTGCGGAAGCCACTTGACAAGTATTGTATTCTTTGCAAGATTTGATGGTCGACTTCCGGTATACCGCCACAGGACCTTGGCAGAGACAAAAAAAAAAAAAAAAAACCAGAGTTTAAAGAAAGAATATATGACATTAAATACTTGCTACATTAGCTAGAAAGGTGAGTCCTCTCTGAATGCAGAAGGGTGAATAGTGACCTGGAAGGCTCCCAAGGGCTTCCAACACCCTGAGTCATGGAGGTTGGGTATGATGGTATGCTGGGGGAATCTGTGAAGTGGTGCACATGGTGCACTTATGAGGTCTTCCCATTTCTGTATTTCTAGAATAAGCCTGAGTCATGAAAATTAGGGATATAGACCTGTAACAGCAGAAATACACAGAGTAGTAGTAGTCCCAACCAACAACTGTTTAAAGAAACAATTCTATTTAGTAGGCAGAAAGGAAATTTAGCCTATCCACTCTTTAAAAGAATTCTCCCCAGTGCACATTCTGGTCTCTTAGAGAAATTAGGACTCTTAGTGGAGTGGACCATGGCTTACTGGAGTCACTTAGTTGAGCCGCAACAACTGGAGGATGAAACTGGAGGACACTGCATGAAGTGAAATGAGCCAGATGCAGAAATAAACATACAGATACTGCAGGTTTGGGGGCTGCTGCTCTGGCTCAACAGGCTAATCCTCTACCTTCCAGTGCCAGCATCCCATATGGGTGCCATTTCATGTCCCATTTGGTCCACTTTCTTTTTTTTTTAAAAAAAAGATTAATTTACTGTTATTGGAAAGAAAGATTTACAGAGAGAAGGAAAGACAGAGAAAGCTCTTTTGTCCACTGGTTCACTCCCCCCAATTGGCCATAATGGCTGGAGCTGAGCCACTCCACTTTCAATGCAGCTCCCTGCTTGTGACCTGGGAAAGCAGCAGAAGATGGCTTAAGTCTTAGGTCCCTGCATCCACGTGGGAGACCCAGAGGAGCTCCTGGCTCCCGGCCTCAGATCAGCTCAGCTCAGGCCATTGTAGACTATTTTGGAGATGAGCCAGCGGATGGAGGATTTCTCTCTGCTTCTCTCCTCCTCTCTGTAAATCTGACTTTCAAAAACAAAATAAATAAATCTTTAAAAAATATTATATTGGTCTTGGTCATATGTGAGAGCTTTTAAAAGCCAGTCTGAACATAGAGTTGTAATTACTAGAGGTTGGGAAGGAAGTAGGGAAGGACAAATGGAGAGAGCTTACATAATGGGTTCCAAAACAGTCATATAAATGGAGCAAGTTCTAGGTTTCGACAGCACAGTGGGGCAACACTAGCTCATAATCATCATTCTGCATTTGAATGTGTAGGCAGAAGAGTCCAAAGGTACCAATCATTAAGGACAAGAGCAGCAAAATGTCAAGTACGCTGATACCATTAAAAAAAATACCGTGTGCATCTTGAAATATGTCCAGTTCATAGACATATGTAATTACTGTCAGCCATTTTTTGAAGATTTCTTATTTATTTAAAGACAGAGTGACAAGGGCCCGGTGGTGTGGCCTAGTGGCTAAAGTGCTCGCCTTGAACACGCCAGGATCCCATATGGGCGCCGGTTCTAATCCTGGCAGCTCCACCCCCCATCCAGCTCCCTGCTTGTGGCCTGGGAAAGCAGTTGAGGATGGCCCAAAGCCTTGGGACCCTGCACTGTGTGGGAGGTCTGGAAGAAGTTCCTGGGTCCTGGCTTCGGCTCAGCATAGCACCGGCCGTTGTGCTCACTTGCGGAGTGAATCATCTGACGGAAGATCTTTCTCGCTGTCTCTCCTCCTCTCTGTATATCTGCCTTTCCAATAAAAATAAATAAATCTTAAAAAAAAAAAGACAGAGTGACAGAGAGAGAGGACAAAAAAGAAAGGGGAGATCTCCCATCCATTGGCTCACTGCTCACATGACTATAATAGCTAGGAGATGAGACAGGAGCCTGGACTCCACCCAGGTACCCCACATGTGCAGCACATGGGGCATCTTCTGCTACTCCCCAGGGGTGTTTATAGGGAGCTGGAGCAGGGAGCAGGGACTTCAGCTGGAAATCTTACATGGGATGCTGGCATCACAGATGGCAGCTTACCTACTGTGTCACACTATCCTTTTTAATGTATGAAAGAGGCAGGCAATTGGCACAGAGGCTTAACCACTGGCTGGGATGCCCACATTCCGTATCAGGGTACTGACTTCCAGTCCTGGCTCTGATCTCCCTTCCTACTTCCTGCTCATGAGTGCCCTGGCTCAAGTAGTTGGGGCCCTGCCATCCATGTGGGAGACCCAGATGGATCTCTCGGCTCTAGGCTTCAGCCTAACCCAGTCTGGCTGTGGCAGGAATTTGAGAAATAGACTAGCAGACAGCAGAATTCTCTCTCTCTCTCTGCTCTTCTAAATAAATAAGTGTTTTAAAAGTCTAAGGAGGCAGTAATGTTAACTTATCTGATTCTCATAATGAATACATGTGCTAACACACTAAAACCCATAAACATGTAAAACTGAACTTTCTAAATAGAAAAAAAATTTCAGGTGAAAGACAAGGCTGTAAAACTTCTGAATCATAACGCAATCTGGGCCAGCTGGGAAGAGGCAGGGACCACTCCAGACTGCGGCTCGAGCTGCAGAGTGAAGCTCACTTCTCTGACACACCTGGGGCAGCAGTGTTTCTGCTTTTGGAGTGCCTTCCCAGGTGCACTGAGAGATCTAGGAGATGGGACTCAGGTCTCGTTCCCTGTGCACCTGACACACGTGGCTTGCAGGTGATTTTCTCAGTATGTCCAGTGTCCCTGTGAGAGCAGCCATGGGGGATCACGGAATGTTCCAGGTGGGGTACTGGGCCAGTGCTCAGAAAGTGTTGGAGTCTAGAGCCTAATTTGGGATTTTGTTATTTCTGGACTAGGGATGTTCAAGCCATGACAGGATCCAGTTAAATGCTAGAAGTCTGTGGTTACAAAACACTTGGAGATGGAGATGAGGGAACCAGAAGGAAATCTCTTCTTACTGTCTGAGGTATCTTTCCCAAAGCATCGGCGATCGCCATCGCTTTCTTCTCCGGAATCTCAGAGACCATAGATCCCAGGGAGAAAACCACAATTCCATGTTCTCCAGAGGCATTCACGTAGGCTTCAAATTCCTAGAGGCAAAAGGAAAACACCTGGTTAACTGGGGAACGCTATGCTTTAAGGTTCAAGTTAGGTATCTTTCTCTTAAGAATGTAATTAAGAGTGTGTGAGTGTGTGTATGTGTGCGTGAGAGAGAGAGACAGAGAGAGAGAGATAGGTGTGGCATTTGGTGCAGTAGTGAAGACAACCCGGAACACCTGTACTTGTCAGGATGTTGGTTTGAGTTACTGCTCCACTCACAATTCCACCTTCTTATCATTGTATCACCAGAGAGACTTGGGTTGCACACACAGGAGGTGAATCAGAAGACGTGCGTGTGTGTCTTTCTACTTCTCTTTTCAAGTAAATAAATTTTAAAAAGCAAAGGAGGAGGCCTTCTTACTTAGCTGTTTCAAATTCTGCAATTACAGAATCCAGATAAATGTACTGATTGTGTCTCTCACACACACTCACACATACATGCAGGCACGGCATCTATGCCACTGAGGTGTGACATGGCACAGCTTCCCCAGTTGCTGGTCCTTACTGATATAATCAACCCCAGGAAGCCTCCCAGGTGGTTTTGTGTGATTCCCAAAGAATGCCTAGGATTTGAATAAGACTGTGATTGACAGAACCCAGCAGTTCCCTGGGACATGGGACAGTCAAAACATCAAGTCCTGGGTAAATCCTAGGCTATTGGTCAACTCCAGATGTGAGATTCCAGATGTCAGCAAGCACAATTTGGACAAGACTTCTCCTGACCTTGATGCTGAATGTGACTGCGACAGTCCAAACACTGACCAGTCCTCCCACAAGGAGAGTCCTCTCTGTGACTCCTCCTCCCTTCAGCTTGCACAAGCTCATGGTGGCATGAGTTGGCCATTTTGCATCGAGCTCATACAGAAGGCCAGGGATACCAGGGTTGTCCTTTCTGCTGTCACGCTGCATTTGGGGATCTTCTGCATCCACTTGCTCTCCCCTTCCTGTCCCCAACACTCTGGGAAAGATGGCTCACTTCCAGTGCTCCTTAAGCTCTGTCTCCTGGGTGGCAGTAATGAACTCATTACATTCCCCAGGCCCTTTGCTCCTCGGTCATATATAACCCTACTTCAGACAGAGCCAAGCCTATTCTTCCCTCCTCTTTTGTTCTCCCACATCCACTTGGCAACCAACAGGATGCGACTAGCATGAGAAACCAAACCCGCAGGAAGAGCAGGAGGCAAAGTTCACTTAGCAGGAGTAGACTGAGGTTTAAGTGGCCTGTAAGTCCCTCTAGCAAGGAGAGCAGGGCCACCCACAGAAACCCATTATCATGGCTAACGCCTAAGTCCCAGACCAGCTTTTATTGGGCACAATAAAAGTGAGACCCATTCCTTAGTTGGCAAAACTCACCCTAACCCTTGCCCTGATTTTGCAACCCTATATCTGCCAAATGAAGAAGCAACGTGTACTCAAAAGTGACTCTTATCCCCACCCCTGGACTCTTTACCAAATATGACATTCTTTCCCCACCCGACAGGAGCCTTTGCAGATAGTCCCCAAGTTTTCTTGTGAGTTTTGTGTTTTCATTTCCAGGTTTTTCTAATAGATTTTCCACTTCCCACTTATTTTTGCACACTTCCAGAACATTTCTGCAGCCCACAGATAAGGTGCTGGAGGCACGCTGCTTTACTGTGAGGGATTAGTCCGTCTCCCACAGCCTGTGATCCCGTGAGTCAGCTTCTGTCTCCTCCCCACACTGAGATCTTGGGCCCTGCTGAGCCTGGGTCTGGCTGTTCTCAAACCCAAGACGTGTGGCTCTCATCTCCAACTGACTGGTATCTGTAGAGAGAGATGGCCCTGCAGCCTGACAGGGACTCACATGCTTGAATCCTCTGGTCTCATCCCTTTTCTCCCAACGCTGCTCAGAAACACCAAAGGCATGTCTCATGGCAGGGGGTGTTCCCTCTATGGGCTTTCTTTAAGGGTTATACTTCAAGTTCAGGACTTCTAAAGTGCGAATTGTTGTGCTCGAAGATTGCCCCCAGGGGAATGGAAAAGGAAGAGTAGCTTTTTATTTTTATTTTAATGAGCACATGGGGAAAAAAAATCAACAATAGCTTGAAAAACCATAAAAGTCAGGAAAAGGCCACATGGCAAACGAAATGAGAACTAAAATAACAGGGGAGAGCTACAATCAGATCAATCAATTGGAAACAGTGAAGCAGAAAATTAAAGAAATCTGACCAGATGTAAAAACAAAAAATACCTGCCCAGTGTTGTTTAGAAAGAAAGAAAAACGTTTGAAGACACAGGAGTAGTTAAAAAGTACTAGGGACTTAGAAGCAATTCAGGAGTCGTGCTACCGATCTCAAGAAAGCAGAATTCTAATTGAAACACGAAACAAGACAAAGAGGGCTACTGTCAGATGCAATTTACCAAGATACTTTTACACATGAGCCTGCTTGCACCCAACAAGGCAGCAACCAATAGAAAGTGAATGTAATCTACCACCCAGACAGATTTGTGGGTGGAGTGAAGGGATTATAGTTACAGCAGTGCATAAAGTTCAGTAGTCTCCCACCAACATCCCAGAAGAGGAACTCTTATAAATACAAAAGGCTATTTGCCAAATAAAGCAGACAAACACGACACAAAACAATGAGAAAAATTCATTTTCACCAAAATCAGCAGCAAAACAAAAATGGTTGCTATAGCCAGAATTATGCAACAGTTTTTTAGAGCTTCCAGAGAATTCTGTAACAAGGAGCCAAATGTTTTTTTTTTTATCAGCAAATGACTGCAAGTCAGCATTTGGGTTTTTTTGGTTTTTTGTTTGTTTGTTTGTTTTTATTTGGTTTTGCATTTTAACTGGGGAAATCAATAGTCTGGAGAAATAGCTGAATATTGAGCAACTGGCTAGAAATAATGAAAATTGGGTAGAGAATAAAATGGGGAAAATGACACAGTCACTGTAATGGGGGGAAAAGCCTGCATACATGAATCTGCAAGAAACAAAACTGAGTAAGAAAGAAACACGATAAATATGAAGAAAATCCTAATGTAGTAAATCTTTGTTCATACATTCTGGAATGCCCAAGCAGATTCATTGATAAATTCTCCTGTGTTGATTAGAATTTTCGCCACACATGCATTTCCTCAAAGTCTGAAGTTTCAGAGTGAATGCTAAACACAATGACTTTCTTCATGATGATGAGAAAATTTTGAATACTTCCTGAATGTGGACACCCTCATTCCATCTTGCTTATAGGCTTGGTGACAGCTTACCCATGCCTTTCCCTCTACAGGGAAGAAAGCCATTCACAGTTTTCTGTATTATTGGATTTTTGCTTTTAGGAAATCAGCACCTCCTTCTATCTTAACTAGACCACTTCTTCAGACACACCCGTGTGCCACAGGCTGTGGGGCAATCACAGACCTCTGGAGGGTCAGCAGATCTTGCTCCACATCACGGATGAATACTCAAAGCCCCACAGAAGGAGGATTCCGAGCACTTGGCAATAAGGTGGAGGCATCAACCCAGTGCCTGATTCCTTGCTTATTGGTCTTTCTGCTGCACCAAGTCTCTCCCCCCAAATCACACGCTCACTTAAAACACGAATCACACTGGAACTTCAACAGGCATCAGGTCCAGGGATCTCTGTGGGTAAGAAGAGCCCCACAACAGAAGCCAAATTCAGCATCCAGGAAGTTCCTGGGTCACTGGGCCACCCTCAAGAAATTAATGTGTGTCCACTGAAATGTCACCCCTTCAGAGTCCTTCCCCAACACTCCATTAGAAGACACTGCTCCTGTGTCACTGTTCTCTGCACTGAGATTGAGAAGATGGTACGATGGCTACCTTTTGCTTATTTCAGAACTGTGGAGTGAGAAATCAACATACTATCATTTCTGGGAAAGTGACTAATCAGTGTCACAACTTGAGAAGTATAATTAATTTGTTAGCAGAAAAGGTACACAGGACCTAGCTGCCTATTGGAATATCTGTAGCAGGGGCCATCTAGATATTTATAAAATCATTCATGGGTCATACAAAATTATTATTTTAAGAACTAGTCTGTTAGAGATGCATTGAATTTCAAGCTCTGACTGCAGTTGCCTTGGCAGGGCCACAACAAATGATTTTGCAGGCCCACAAGTTAGATATTCCCCACTCCTGATCTGGAGACCAGCGATGTAACCAGAACCATAAAAACGACTTCCGTTGCCAGGACCTATAACTATCAAACAATGATTTCATCAATCTCAGATGTTGCATAACTGAGCCAATCAAGGTCCAAGTGCACGCTACACTTTCCGTCTATGCAAGGTGCCGCAAACTTAACACTTTGTGCTCCTGGCACAAATGTCTTGCTGCAACTGACTGCCTGTTATCCATCAGAGCACACAGAGTAAAACATCAAAACATGTATCTGAGGCTATCAAGAGACAGCCCAGGAGATGATGTCAAAGACAGATGAACTCAGGCGCAGAAGACTCACAAGTTAGAAAATAACGAAAGAGGTCATTTTAAACTATCTCAGAGTACTGCTTCAGCGAGGTCATCCACCCAGAGAACTTGCAAAAAAGAGTGGCTGGGAGGTCCTGCTCAAATACACACCTGAGACAGAGCGTGTCTGTGAAAGCAATTGATCCCACCCACAAAAACCATGTTGGGCATGATGGGCCTGGGGTAGTCCTTCACAAAATCACCTCTGATCAGCCACAGGGAAGCAAGGCTCATTAGTTCCTGGACGGTCACATCTCTCTGAAGCACTTCTGAGGCCAGTGATGCATACGGGGAATAAACCACGTCACACATGAAGTTCTCCATCAAGGCAACAAGCGTGTTCTTCACTCGCTCCAGGAAAGTCATGTGATCTGAGGCAGAGGTCATGATCCTAGGCACGTAGGACAGTGGGTTGGGGCACTGGGTACCCTTGAAGTCCATGCCACATGGCAGTGCATTCAAGAAGAAGACAGCAGGCAGAGTCAGGTACTGAGCTACGATGGAGCCACAAGGAAGAAAGGGGTCTGTTAGCACGGCATCAAAGCTGCTTTCCTCTAGAGAGGCCATGACATCCTTGTTGTGCAGTAAGTGGGAACAGGCAGACAACAGCAGAGCAGAGTCCTTTTTGACTTTCTTGTAGGTCGTGACCACCCGTTGCAGGAAGGGAGCATTCTCAAAAACATGACGTCCAAGGGTGATAAAGCTTTCCTCCACATCCTCCCTTTGGAATGGCACGGGGTACTTCTTCAAGGTGTACGATGCTCCCTCTTTTATAAACAACGTGGCATCAGGTGCCACAACCACTATCTCATGTCCTTTCTGCTGCAGTTGCTGGATGAGCCCAAGCATGCTCAACCAGTGGCTGCCATCAACGGGGACCAAGAGCAGCTTCGAGGCGTGACACACAGTGGGGCTGAGCGCACACAGCAGCAAGCCCAGGATGAGCAGACAACGTGAGTCCTGGCAGCTTGCTACCATGGTGCTCTGTCTCTGTTCCTTTCCTGCCGGAGTACCTCTGCTCCTTCCTACTCACATGTTACAAGACCAATCCACCCAACAAGTTAATGTTTGAAAGAGTCACATGACCAAAACGAGCTGCATGACGAGCAGGAAGTAGATATAAAGCGGGGGAGGCTCACTGAGCTTTTTTCTCTTCTTCCTCCTCCTCTTTCGCCTCCTCCTGGTTCTTCTTCATCCTCTTCCTCTTCTTCTTCCTTCTCCCTCTCCTCCTTCTCCTTCTTTCTTTTTTTTTTTCAACTGCCATCACAATTGAACTGATACAGATTCTTAAGTGGCTGCAGACATTACCTTCAGCACCTCTGGGTTCATAAATTAGAATTTTTCTTGGACCACAAAAGTGTTATCAGAAAGAGAAAGGGGCTATGCAATGACAAATTAAACTTCCGTTTCAGGAATATAACATCTTCTAGGAAAGAAAGGAAGACATTCCAGCCTATCTTTGGCCACTGAAACCTCTGTGGCAGTCCTTCACATCTCAAACAGGACTCAGTGTCATCATCTGTGTCTGTTTTTGATTCATCAAGCCCAGCTCAGCATTGGGTCTTCATGCTTTAGCAGACACCACCAGCTACAAGTCTCCTGCTTCCCCAGAGCTCATGTTCCCTCATGAAAAACGGATTCACATATTGCACAAATGGGGACACTGGAGATCATAAAGAGGGACACAGGGCTGGGGACATGCTGGGCTAGGGTGACCAGAAAGGGAATTCTGCTCTAGAGCATGTGCATGCAAGCCCTCTCCAAAGATAGATCTGTATTCATTCAGAAAGAACATTCTCTAAAAAGAAAGACAAAATGTGATGGACTTTAAAAAAGTATAGAAAACGAAATTACAAGGTAAGCTTCTTTTCTGGAATCCATAATACGCATTTCCTATGAATCTTTTAGAGAGCCCTTGATGCATGGATTCCAAAGCCTTTTGCGTTAACATAATCTTTCAGTTCTGTGTTCCACAAATGTTTTTGAATTACTATCAAGCACACAAGCAAGTTGAATTACATTCCTCATAGGAACCCAAGGTTTAGAGCAAATAAGACCCGCTGAGAAACTGTGATGACTGAGTTGAAGGCAAAGGTGAGAACTTGACAAAAACAATTAAGAGAGTTTAAGTTTCCTGAGTCTGCACTATGCACCACACACAGGCTAAGCACCTCACAAGTCCTCTGTAATTCTCCAGAGCTATCCTACAGAGGCTGGTGCTATCTTCCCACTAAGGGTGAGAGAGGTACAGATTTAGCAGAGTCCAGTATTTCCATAGTGGCGGAGCTGAGACCCAAGCCCTTGGTGTCAGGGCCCAGAGCTCCTGCTCTTAGCAGCAGCTCTCCAGCTGCCCCAATCGTATCCAAGCAACTGTGAAAGCCTTAATGGAAAGTTACGGCCAACTAGAAGTCAGAAGAAAACCTACCCAGCTGAAATAAAAGGAGAGAAGGACTGCCAGGCCAAGGATAATGCACAGGGTGACCAACATCCAGTTCCAGCTGTGCTCCAGGGGAGGCCAGAAGAAAGATCAGGGAGGAAGACATCACAGTTGCTAAATACAAGTGCTCCCTCCCAAAGAAAGGGCCAACCAGAGCAGAGACAGAGTCTACCCTTGCCTTTAGGGGTACACTTCAGATCTCAACATTCTGATCACCTACGTCATCACGAGTCACCTGTGCTGGGAAAGGTAAGGGGGGCCATAAGCACACTGCTGAACAGCGTATCCCTGCCATCCTGGTACTCGGGGTGCCTGTGGGCCACCATTCTTCCTTCACCGAGTTCCCAGTATGGCTGTGCCTCTCCCTGGGTGTACACACACATGCATGCACATGTATGCGCGCTCGTGCGTATACACACACACACACACACACACACACACACACACACACACACAACTGGAAAGTCCTCCCCAGGTACAAGAACTCTTGATCGTCAGCGAGTGGAAAGGATACAAGTGAGACCTTTGCTCTTTGTCTCCAGCATTATCTGACGATCCCCGTCCGGGTTAAACTCTAAGAGCAATAATTGAGTCTCCTTGTCAGGAGCATTTATCTGGAGATGACCCGGGCAAAGGAGCTATGCACACAGGCATCACTGCGCTTGTCTCAGGACTTGCTGGAATCACCCCCTACCTGCTGGTTTTTAGAGGCTTCTGCACACAGACACTCCGAAAGGATCATGGCTCTGCCCCTGAGCAGGCAATGCTGGCTCTAACCTGCACACTCCTCAATCATGACTAAAATCCAGCCTTCCTGGATCCCAAGCAGATCTGACACTTAAAACCCACAGGGACGAGGGAGGACTTCTGTGGTTCAGGCTCTATGCTAGGAGCTGGGGCCAAGAAATCAGGTTACAAACTGTCCCTCTATACCAGGGGAAATACACACCCAACCAGGAAGTACAGGGCAGGGTGACCCATGTTCTAGTAAGGGGGTATAGGTGTCCCACGAAATGCACCAGTGAAAGGGTCTCACCCAAGCCAGAAGTGAACCCCACCCCTCAGCATACTCCTAGTCCTGTAAGCAAACCAGGGTGAAAAGATCTGTTCCTAAAGGAACAACCTAGACCCAGCCATCGCTCTGTGGGTCACCTATGGGAGTCTCCAGGGGCAACAAGACTGTCTCTGGTTTGCTGTTCTAACATGTAGCTGGCAGCAGTCTGCAGAGCTGTTCTTGCTATGAAACTGTAGACACACAGACCTACTGCTTACACTTGGGGTTTGGCCCTGGGACTCACAGGCCCCAGAACACTGTTCTATAGACAGTGTCCAGGCAGTTTCTATTCAGAGAGGATTTCCCTCCTCCTCTCTTTGCTCTGTGCCCCAAATCTAAGCAAGCAGTGCTGAATCTGGGTGATTTTATCAGTCAGACCTAGCCGCTGGTTTGGTTTCAGTGTCCCAGTCATGGGTCTCCCCGTCTCTTAGGACTCAGCTACCTTATCCACTTCCCCCCTCCACTACCTCTTGGGACATCTCACAGAACAGCTCTCCTTGGCCAGAGGAAAATTCAGACCCCTCAGTCTTGCCCTTAGGACTCCCTGCAATAGACCCCAGCCCACCCATCCTAACTCACTTCTCTCCAGCCATTCTGGATTGCTCACCCTTCCCAAAGGTTGTTCGGTACTTCCCAGAGCTACTGTGTTCACCCTGGATTGTTCTTTCAGCTTCCATCAGTTCATTGTATTATCGCCAAGCGTTAAGGTCAAAGCTTCAAGTTCAGCCACTCAAAGTGATACAAGCTCTGCAGTCTGTTCTGGATCAATGCTGTGGTCCCTGGAGACCTGCCTTCACTGTTATGGCAAAATCATTTGGTGAAACCGAGGTGTATGTGGTTTATCAGTTAATCATTTCCCCCTTAGGTTACTGTAATTGGGGTGTTGCATCACAACTTATCAGAGAATATAGTACCCAATAGAGAATAAGGAGAAACTTATCAAAAAGGAAAAATTCTGATCATGACATAGTTTTTGCGGGCATGACCGCTGTGCCCAGTGTTTTCCCAGAGCCTGATAAACATGGCCTACACGCTTTCACGGTTTTGGTATGCTAGACAAACAGCTCTCTAGCCTCTGTGTGCAGAATCCAGATTTTCTATGGGAGTTTTGCAACGGAACATCATTTCCACATAACCATTTTGTCTGACTTTTCCGCTAATTCTCTCCTGCATGCACACCAGACTTTTCCAGTGGCCACTTGCTCTTACAATAGACTGAAGGCCCACACTGTTTCTTACTAAAGCCACGTCATAACAAAAGATGAAAAAGCACCAGCAAACAACAGAAATCTAAAGTACCACACTCTTACTCAATTTGTTTTGAATTATTTCCTCACACACATTAAAAAAAAATGAGTTACATCACTGAGTACTAGATGTCTTCATCTTATTGACTGAGTCTATCTTTTCCATTATCACAAGCAAAGCCAAAAGAACCCAGAGGTCAAAACACATGAAAACTGCCTTCTAGACAGGGAACATGGCTTTGTCAGCCCAGGGCCTGTCTACACCCATGGCCATCACTCCAGCTCTCTCCTAGGCTGAAGGAAGCCGCTAATACAAAGTCAGGTTTTAAAAGCACATTTTCAAAGGCCCGCATAAGCTCCCCTTCAGCCCACCGTGCTTGGAACAAAGGCAGAGCTCAGCGAACTGGGCTGTTATTCCCGTGCGTGAGGCATCACAGAGTTCTCCGGGAGAACTCCGCGCCAGCCCTCGAGCACAGCATTCTGGGATGCCGGGGCAATCTGCACCAATGGGCCGCAGCCACGTCACAAGGGAGACAGCGCAGACTCGCCAGGCACGCGCAGCATCTTGGGATGCCAGGGCAGCCTTGGCCAATGGGCCGCAGCCACGTCACAAGGGACGGCCCTCCGGCAGGGCTCGTGGCCCTCACGGGCTTTTCACCTCGCCAGTCGGGCTCGCGCGGGCCGCGGCGGCCTAGGCCATGGTGGACTACTACGAGGTGCTGGGCGTGCCGCGGCACGCGTCGTCCGAGGCCATCAGGAAGGCGTACCGCAAGCTGGCGCTCAAGTGGCACCCGGACAAGAACCCCGACAACAAGGAAGACGCGGAGCGGCGCTTCAAGCAGGTGGCCGAGGCCTACGAGGTGCTGTCGGATACCCAGAAGCGCGACGTGTACGACCGCTGCGGCCGGGCCGGGCTGGAGGGCTGCGGCGCGGGCGGCGGGCCCTGCGAGGACAGCTTCCAGTTCGTCTTCACCTTCCGCGACCCCGCCGACGTCTTCAGGGACTTCTTCGGCGGCCGGGACCCGGTCTCCTTCGACTTCTTTGCGGACCCGCTGGAGAACCTTCTCGGGAGTCGGAGGGGTTCCCGGGGCAGCCGAAGCAGAGGGTCGGGCCCGCTCTTCGCCTCCATGGGCGAATTTCCAGCCTTTGGGGGCGGGTTTTCTGCCTTCGATACAGGATTCACCACCTTCGGTTCCCTGGGAAACGGAAGCCTTTCCTCCTTCTCGGTGTCCGGTGGCGGCGGCGTAGGCACCTTCAAGTCTGTGTCCACCTCCACCGAGATGGTTAACGGCAGAAAGATCACCACCCGAAGGATCGTGGAGAATGGGCAGGAACGGGTGGAAGTGGAGGAAGACGGAGAGCTCAAGTCGCTGATTATAAATGGCAAAGAGCAGTTGCTACACATCGACACCCAGTAGTCTGAGTCACCTGACAGCCGAACGCGTGTTTCAGCAAGTAACGGGACCTTTGAAACAGTTGTGGGCCAACTCTACTCCGACAACAGCTGTCCCCCAGGATTTATAAACGGCTCCTTCCTATGCCTGCTTTGTTGTTATTGTGGGGGGCCACATGCCCAGGATCTTCGTCTTTAAAAAAACTGTTGTAAATATCTCTATGCACTTTGCTATTTATTAAACTCGATACCAAGGCCATCGGTTATTTCCTAGAGCTGGACAGAATGTTCACCACGGAACCTTGACCCATCCATTTTTAAATTTTTTCATTTGGTTTGAAGCACGGCCAGGTGGTGTGCTTGGTCTGTTTAACTGGACGTGTTTTAAGTTTATAGAGGTGAAAGGTAAGTCTTCTGCCCTCAGCTTGGTTGTTCGTTGCACAGACACGCTGCTGGCTGAGGGAGTGTTGCTGCCTGCTAGATGTGTTACTACCTCCTGAACTTTTTAAAAGCAGAGAAAGCTGGCAATAGTCATGTTGCTTTTATTTCATGGTTGCCATAACAAATTATCACCAACTGATGACTTGTAACACAAGTATTCATTTGGTTTTTGGAAGGTTGGGGGACAAAAGCATGAAACTTATTTCACTGAGCTACAAACAAGGTTGGCCAGAGCACACTCTCTGTGATGGCACAGGACGCCTCCCAGTTGCAGGACTAGTTGGTGACAAGTTAGTGTTGCACTCAGCCCTAACTTAGTTCTAGGACTGTGGCAGATCCTCGGAACATATGAAAGCATTTCCAAGAAGCTACACAAACATCCCTGTGTCATGCATGATACATCAAGCTAGGTTTATGAATACTAATTGGATGAGGTCTCTCTCTCTCTCTCTCTCTCTCTCTCACACACACACACACACAAACTGCATCAGAGGAAATTTTGGCACAGTTCATGTCCCTGAATACTTGTTTGGTCATAGTTGCCTCAGCAATGTCCATCACAGAATGTTCTGTCCCATGGTCATGTCTGATGTATTCTTGCATGAGGCATGAGAACCAAACGCCAGCTGAACGAGACAGGTTACAAATACAGCAAGTTCTGAGTCCTTTGCAAGCAGGTTTTGTGGGCTGAACACACTGTCAACAAAGTATGGCATCCAAGGGGAACGGCATGCAAACCCCACAGAAATGTGGGGTTCAGCCATCACGAACCTTTGGGATCAGAGCACTTGGCACCAAGGTACCTGGGTAGCTGCTTCCCGGATACAAGAGGTACCAGGGTTAAGATGACTACCAGACTTTACAAATTAATCCAGTGGAACAGGCATTTAACCCAGTGGTCCAGACACCTGCATGGCTGCATTCAAGCCCCTGCTCTGGCTGCCGATTCAGGCTTCCTGCCAATGGCCATGGCACCAATTACTGAGTTCTTGCCATCCATATGGGAGACTTGCATGCAGCCCTGGGTCCCACTTCACTGTGGCTCAGATCCAGCCATTGTTGGCACTTGGGAAGTAATCAGCTAATGGACATGCATGCTCTCTTATTTTTATTGAAAAGGCAGATTTACAGAGAGAAAGTGAGAAAGAAAGACCTTCACTCCCCAAGCGGCTACAACAGCCAGAACGGAGCTGATCCAAGGCCAGGAGCCAGGAGCCGCTTTCAGGTCCCCCATGTGGCTACAGGGTATCAAGGCCTTGGGCCGTCCTCAACTGCTTTCCCAGCCACAAGCAGGGAGCTGGGTGGGAAGTGGAGCAGCTGGGATATAAACCAGCACCCATGTGGGATCCCAGCACTTGGTAAGGCAAGGTTTTAGCAACTGAGCCATTTTAAAATGATTGTGTTCACATGCCAATAAAGGTAACCTAGACCAATGAAGATCTCCACTTACTAGTTGGCTGAGGGTGGGTTTGTTTCTGTGCAAGTGAGGAGAATAGGTAGCAAGGAGCTTAGTATGGCTTTGTGTGTTGGAAACCTCCACTCTGGGTAGGTTAGAACAGGTGTATGTGTGTAACTACAGAATTGGTGAAAACGGATCCTGTAATTGACCCATCAGCAATGTGGCACACCAGGCTCCCCCAGAGCTCATGGATCACTAACAATTCTGGCTCATTTAATAGTTGAGGCCCAAGACATTCAGCTTTAACAGAAAATTTTCCTTTTACTGAGGTATAACATGTTTAAAGAATTTTCAAAATTGAAAATCTCCAATATCTTTGCCTCAAAAAAAGTAAAAACTACAAACTACTAGTACAGGTCTACATGTGGGTATTCATCAGTTGTGGATGACTGAGTGGGCTTCCTTTTCCTGTGGTGTAAAGATCATTGTGTCAGGCTCTCACAGTGGGTTTTCCCCACAGGATCACTGGCACACCCCACAGAGCTTACCAGACAGGGAGAGGAATCTCCCTGAAAAGATAAGGAGACCTGTGTCCACTTCCTCCTGGCCTAACAATCCCAAAAGCTAGACACTCCTGCTGGAGTTCCCATACAGTTGGTTTAGTTCAGCACTTCTCACATAATAAAAAACCTTTGGACAAGATAATTTTATTTTTTAAGATTCAATTATTTGCCCTCTGAGCCCCACCCCCACCCTTTAATTTTTAAAAAAGACTTATTTTTATTGCAAAGTCAGATATACAGAGGAGTAGAGACAGAGAGGAAGATCCTGCGTCTGATGGTTCACTCCCCAAACGGCCGTAACGGATGAATACGAGCTGTAAGGTCACACCAATTCATAATTTAAATGAATACGACATAAATGGAAGAAATTCTTTCTCCAAGAAAGGAAATCTGGCTTACAGGGATTCTGTTTTGAGTTAAACCCAAATATTTAAGATCCATGTACACTGCCTCTGAAATGCCTGCTAAAGGAGCAGATCCCACTTGGGAACAATGGGGCATTGGGTGGGACTTTGGTGTTGTGGTCCTCTTTGCTCTTTAGTGTCAGGTCTCCTCATCACTGACCACATGTTCTGTGGGTTTCAAGGCTCACAGTTTTGTCCCTCCCATCACTCCTTAATTATGTCACTGTACCTTACATGTACTTACAAGACCTAGTTGACAACAACCACCAGTGTCCCCCAACTCAGGTTTGTCACTACGTCATACAACAGACACCCCATCCTGGAAGCAAAGCTGCCTATCAGCATGGCTCTAGCACTGGAAAGTGGGTTTCAATGATCATGTTGTCTGATCACAGAGTTCACGTCTTAATGTCTCACTTCCACTTCATCTACCTGGCCTTTCTGAGAGCTGAGGTCAAATTTGATCTCACCTAAATCCCTTCCAAGACAGGGCCACTAAAAAGCTGTCATATCCTCAACTGCAATCTGCTAATCCCTTTATTCTTTGCCAGGGTACAAATGTTCCCGTGTCCTGGAAAGGCCCGTGTCTTCAAGGCCTGGCCTCCAGAATGCATACTACTGGGAAGTAGAATCGTTAGATGTTTAGCGGGGTTCAGGGTGTGGTGTTCCTAGGTCACAGAGACATCCTCTCAGAAACTCCCAGGTAGTGGTTATGTGTGAGTTGTTTCCAAACCATGAGTTTGGTTCAACATTCTCTCATTTCTTCTCTGTTCCTGGCTTGAGATCAGACCACCCCATAAAATGAGACTCCTGCCTTTACATTCTGCCATCCTCACCAGATGCCAAATCAAGGTGATTGCTTGGTCTTGGAATTGGAACCCAAAAGCTATGACCTAAAATATCTCTGCTTCCTTCAGAAGACTCTGTCAAGAATTTCATTATAGGAACAGAATGCTAGCACATACTTCTGCTGAAAACAAGCCAGCAACAACTCCTAACAAATTAGTTCACAACACAGTTTCATCTGACACAGCTGAAGAGAATCAGATGAGAGACGAGAGAGAGCTTTAAGAAGCAGTCTTGATGGAGTCACACCATTGCCCTCTAACTTAACAGATTCTGTTCTTTGCATCTCATTCCTATTAAGGACTATGATGGTTCCCTAAAAACTACTCCCATAAAAGATTATTAGGACAGTGAGAGAAAGAAAACTTTTAAGAGAGAAGTGCATAAGTAAGAATTTCTAAGTTTTAGCTATTAATTAAATGTGTTTTACCTATGTCATTAATTGGATTAAAGCAGCAATACAGACCTGAGAGAGAGGCTTCCTGTTGGCACAGTTGATGCCCCCAATGAAGACCATGTTGGGCATGATGGGCCTGGGGTAGTTCAGCACAAAGTCTTCTCGAAACAGCCACACAGAACCATGGCTGAGAATGTCCACCAAGGACACATCTCTCTGAAAAAGCTCTGATGCAAGGCTTGCATAAGGATCATAAGACATGTGACAAATGGACTTGAGGCCCAGAGGGTAGAGCATGTTCTTGACCCTTTGCAGGAAGGTCATGTGGTCTGAGTTCATTGTCATGAGCCTGGGAATATATGAGGAGGGATTGGGACACTGTGTGGCCTCGAAGTCCAGATCACAAGGAACAGCGCGCAAAAAGAACACAGCAGGAATCGACAGGTACTTAGCCAGCAGTGCCCCGCAGGGGAAGACAGGATCAGTTATAACCACATCAAAAGAGCTGTCATTTAACTGCCTAATCAGAGCTTTGTTGTACAAAAGTTCTGCACAAGACCTGTGAAAGAACATAGATGCATTTCTCATAGCTGTGAAAGTGTTAAGAAATTTCTTCAGAAAATCTGTGGTTTCAAACATATTTCCAGAGTTACCGAAAAGCAGTTCATGAAATTCCTCCTGAGTGTAAGGAATGCTGTAGGTTTTCAGGGTGAAGAAATCCTCTGCTTTGATGTGCAGTTTCACTTCTGGAGTGAGGACCACAGCCTGGTGGCCTCGGGCATGGAGCTCCTGCACAACCTTCTGCATGCTGAACCAGGGGCTTCCATCTACGTACGTCACCAGCACCTTGCCACCCTCAGCCCAGGGCAGCACACACAGCCACAGGAGCAGTCCTGCCAGCCCCAGTAGGCGACTCCTCAGTCCCAGTACCATCTCAGCAGAAGACAAGTGCAGCTCAAAATCCACACCAGGCTGAGCCACCTTTATTGGATTTCCTTCATCACTTGTACACTATCACTGGGCTACTTTATCAGTGCATAATGCTATTGGGAGGCAGAGTTAATCATTGAAGAATGGATATCTTCTTTCATAATTACCCTAACCTTTGCATCCATACAGAAAGCACGGATCTCTTCCCTCCTATCTTGGACTAACTTGTCTGATCTGCTGGGAGTTCCTAGTTGTCATTCGATTTCCAAAAAAGGCTATGGACACGGGTTTTACTTTGTTGCCTCCAACATCTCTGGTCATCACATTTTATGAGCCACACCTGAACTTAGAGGAATGCCCAATACCATTTCCTCCTGACTCACCCTCTCTGTTGGATATGACCCTATTTGGCAAGCCTTTCAATTCTTTCCTACTTCAATGAGAAGCTGGGAATTGACACAGAAAACACTGATAAACCAGCTTTCCTTAAACGGGAATGAAGTCGCTGGCTCACCAGCATTTGTTCATTTTCCACGCCAGGGTGACTATGTAAGATCAGGGAAGAATCTATGGGAAGCAGCTTTCAAATATGGAAATCGTCGGAATCTCAGACTTTGAACTTGAGATGTGATGACTGGATTCTGTAAAGGAAGTTAGAGAACCCCATGCCCACTCTACAGATGGACTAAGCAACAGCACACCAGGCCTGTATGCAGCACCTGACTCCCTCTGCCTCCTACCACTGGTCTGAGAGAACAAAGCCTGGCCTTGGAGCTGGCCTGCCTGCATCTTTCTTCCCCTGAACAGGAAGCCAGGTAGAAACTCAATGTCCAAGGTTAACAGAAATGCTTGTGGAGTATATCACCTCTCAGCAACTGCAGTGGTCTCAGGCCCAAAATAGAACATAGCAGCAGATAGGCTGTGGCGTCCTGGCCTGGGATCTTCCTCAGCTTTTCGTGCGTCTCAGCAGCCTCTAGCACAAACTTCTCCTACTGCTTCCTGAGCTCTGTGTCCTGTAAACTATGGTAGAGCACTCAGGAGACAGAAAGAAATAAGGGGCACATACTTTGGAAAAGAAGAATCCAGCAATCACTCTTTTCAGACAATCTCTTCATATAAATAGAAAACAACCAGGACTCCACCAAAAAACTGTTAAAACTGAAACATGAATTCAGCAACGTTGTAGGGATACAAAATCCATTTTTAAAATTCAGATGCTAAATGATCATAACCTGCCCCCACCACATTCCCTGAGTTTCCAGCCAACTGATTTCCAACTAATTTCTAAGAATATACATTAAAGAAAAGGCAGTCTTGTCAACCAACAAATGGTGCTGTGTCAATTGGATATAAACATGCAGAAGAGTTAAACCAGACTGTTATTATTTCCCCCATACCCAAAATAAATACAAACTGGGTTAAAGATTAAACATAACACATGAAACTGATAGAAAAATATCTAGGGAAAACACATTGTGCAAAGATGTTTTGGATGAGATTGCAAAAGCTCAAAAGCACTAGATAAAAAGCAACAAAAGTTCAAATGGAGCAAATCAAATTCAAAAGCTTCTGCACTGCAAGGAAACCACCTAGAGAATGAACAAACGGTATGCAGACCTAAAGATGATCTGTAAGTTGTGCATCTAATGAAGTGTTAACATCCAAAATGAACAAAGCATTCAAGCATTGTTTAGCAAAAACCCAAATAATTGGAATGAAATATAAGCAATAGAATTAGGCAGACGGTTCTCAGAAGAAGATATACAAAGTAGCCACAGTGTAAAAAAGAAAGGACAGGAAAAGAAAAGTGCCACGTGACTACATTGGAGAATTGCAAATCAAAATCACATTGGCTAGGTCACTTGTTCATGGTCATCTGGAAATAAAAATGAGAGTAAGGGGTTTCAATCATTGTAGTCTAACGAATATAACCATACAACTAAACCTGAAGAATTACCTTGTAAATGCTTTTCCCCTTTCAAATTTTCACAAAGACATATATATCCATAATTGTTCACTACTCTGACAAAACCAAAATGAAACTTACAGTCCCTTGTAATGAGAGAAGCATATTCAACAAGAAGTATAGGAAAAAAAAACACACAAGATCTAAATTTATGCATTGCTACAAACAAAGTGATTATGCCATTAATGAGCAGGCTCTTCCCTCCCCACAAAGGGTGGTTCTCTCAATATATTGATAAATATGTTCTATTTCTATTAAACTTGAATACTCAAGGTCCAAGTAAGAAGCTTCTGGAATTCCTGGTAAAAGAGAATGTCAAATTTTGAAAACGTAGCATCAAGAGATGAAGGTTCTGTGAAATGGTGAACATCTCCTAAGAAAAACCCTTCCCTTAGACTCCTATCTCCCTGACACCCACCACACCTTCAGTGTGTTTCTAGGATCAGTTTTGTCCCTACATAGCCCCTTTAAACATTCCTTGATTATTTTAGTGTCCCAAATAGAAGCCTAATTTGACAGTAGCCATCATAATATATCCATATCAGGTATGTCCTCACATCACACCTTAGCCCCCATGTGCTGAGTAGAAACACTCCTGTCAGCACAGCTCCAGCTCTGAGAAGTGGACCTTGATGGTCCCATCCTCTGACCAGTGCCCGCACCTTCATTGGCTCAAATCCCATTTTACTTACTTTGCCTCTTTGGAAGTTTTACTTCCACTGGGAGCTGAGGTCATCTTTAATCTCACCTAAATCCCATCCAAGATAGCGCCATTAAGAACTTCCATGGCACAAGAAGAAAAAAGAAAACAACTTCTATGCCAATGATCACAATGTGCTAATTTGCTTGTCCTTTGCTGTTGCTTCCGGCAGGTACATGTATCAAATGCTTGGTCTCTGGGCTAGAGCTACTACTTGAGGGTGGTTGCCAGAAGGATGTCCTTTGGTGACTGAGAACATGTCCACAGAAGATGGCTCTCAAGGGACTGCTTGACATTTGTTGTCAAACAGCATTGAGAAAAACCCAAGTTTGCTAGATAGATAGATAGATAGATCTAATCTTTCTTTCTGTGAACTTATTTACCTTTCTATTCCTGGCTCATGATCTGACAAATCACTCTGACAAGTCTTTAGACCACTGCCTTCTGCTCACTTCAACAGAGATCTAACCCGTTGGTGCATCTGATTGTGGACAGGAAGCTACCCAGACCAAGAACTAAGAAACACTCTCTTATAAGTTGACTGTGTTGAGGGGCTCATGACTGTAACAGAATGCTATCTACCATAATATGCAAGTAATATACCCTGATGGATCCATACATAGCACAAGTTCTCTTCTGCAGCACAATCGAAGAATCTCACACAATGAGGAAGCAGGTGTTCTGACAAATAGAGAGTCTTGGTGGTTGGGCCCGGCGCAATGGCTCAGTGGTTAAGGTCCTCTCCTTGCACGCCTGGGATCCCGTATGGGCGCCGGTTCTAATCTCGGCAGCACCACTTCCCATCCAGCTCCCTGCTTGTGGCCCAGGAAAGCAGTCGAGGATGGCCCAAAGCTTTGGGACCCTGCACCCATGTGAGAGACACAGAAGAGACTCCTGGCTCCGGCTCAGCATAGCATCGGCCGTTGTGGTCACTTGAGGAGTGAATCATCGAATGGAAGATCTTCCTCTCTGTCTCTCCTCTCTGTTTATCTGCCTTTCCAATAAAAAAAAAAATAGAGAGTCTTGGTGGAGTCACACCAATGCATGCCAATCCAATTACTGACCCTCATACCTGGATCGCACTATTCTAGGGACCATTGCAATCTTTCACCACACTACTATGATCTACCACAGAAGATTACTAGAAAAAAGAGAGGTGAAGATCCAGAAAAAAATGAGATGAGTAAGCATTTATAAATTAATTATTAAAGGATATTCTACAGAATGATTTGATGAGGCAGCATACAGACCTGAGAGAGAGGCTTCCTGTTGGCACAGTTGATGCCCCCAATGAAGACCATGTTGGGCATGATGGGTCTGGGGTAGTCCAGCACAAAATCTCCTCGAAACAGCCACACAGAACCATGGCTGAGAATGTCCACCAAGGACACATCTCTCTGAAAAAGCTCTGATGCAAGGCTTGCATAAGGATCATAAGACATGTGACAAATGGACTTGAGGGTCAGAGGGTAGAGCATGTTCTTGACCCTTTGCAGGAAGGTCATGTGGTCTGAGTTCATTGTCATGAGCCTGGGAATATATGAGGAGGGATTGGGACACCATGTGGCCTCAAAGTCCAGATCACAAGGAATGGATCGCAAAAAGAACACAGCAGGAATCGACAGGTACTTAGCCAGCAGTGCCCCGCAGGGGAAGAGAGGGTCAGTTAGAACCACTTCAAAGGAGCTGTCAATAAGGTTCTTGATCAGGACTTTGTTGTACAAAAGTTCTACACAAGTCTGGTGAAAGAACGTAGATACATTTTTTAAAACTTCAAATGTTTCCAAAATTGTCTTCAGCAAAGGCATTGTTTTGAAGCTCTTTCCAGTCTGCCCTAGGATGAGGTGGTCAAATTCCTCCTGAGTGTAAGAAGTGGCATAGGTCTTCAAGATGAAAAAGTCCTCTCTCTTGACATGCATATTTACTTCTGGAGCAAGGACCACAGCCTGGTGGCCTCGGGCATGGAGCTCCTGCACAACCTTCCGCATGCTGAGCCAGTGGCTGCCTTCCATGGGCATCACCAGCACCTTACCGCTCTCAACCCAGGGTAGCACACACAGCCACAGCAGCAGCCCCACCAGCCCTGTCAGGAAAACTTGAAGTCCACGCACCATCCCTGCAGAAGCCAACAGTGACTCTCCTTCTGCAGAAAAATTAATTTTTATCCTATTTTCACCAGGCCATGTTGCAAAACAGCATGCCATTGGATGGCACAGTGCCCTTGCTATGTTAATGATTGAGGAATCAACCCACCCTTGCCTTTCTTGATTGCCCTACCCTCTGCCTCCACCATGAATATAGGTGTGCTGGCCATATCTGAAGGAGCTCCTCTTACCCTGCTGCAACTCACTCTGTTGCTCTTTTTTCTTCTTAACAGAAAGCCAGGATTTGGATGCTCCTTTCATCTCATCACCTGCTGCTTTCTTTTAACAAGTGTTTGGCAGGTTGCAAGTGAACCTCTGAAGAGTCACTAAGGGTCTCATGCCCAATCTCATTTTTCTGCTGGAAGTAACACCACTGGTAAGTCTTCCTCTCTTTGATGGGAATATGTGGCCTCTACACATGCCAGAGCACATGACACACTCCTCTGCCCCCACTAGGATGGACCTGCACTCCAGCATCCATCACTCCTGGCTGCATGCAGCAGTCCCACTCATATGCAGAACACAACAGGGTATCAGTATCCAATGGCAGCAAGACATATCATGGGCCCACGGTCAGGCAGAACCCCACAGCACCTGACCCAGGCTGATGTCTGTACTCAACTACCTGACCTGCCCATTCCCAGGCACAGGCTTACAGACCAGACCAGAAGAACCATGTGGTTTACTATGAACCACATCCACCAGGAAGAACATACACACTCAGAGCTACAAAGTTCCAGCAAATATGGCCTTGGGTTCCCTCTAGTGCCAGAAGAAGGAAAACACAGAGAACACAGCATTGGTGGACTTGGGGTGCCTTGAGTGCTATGACACCACCAGTGACCAGGGACACAGAAGACTTCATCTACAGCCTGATGAGAATAGAGGAAGGCCAGCCACAGAGGACCAGACTGCAAAGACCACAAAACTAGCTAATCTTTCCTTGGGGAGTAGTGATGTTCCACCAACATCACTCAGGAAAAACGATCTCCAAAAACAGATTAAATACGTTGTTATGAAAAGCATAAAGCAATGGACATGTGCGATCTCTTAGATAATGCAAACCGGTTTGGTTTTTAATTTCTTTTGAGTTACTGCTTATCTTAAAAATAGAGTCAGTGAGAAGAGGGCATAGCGACACTAAGAGACCATTTTCATGCAGCTCACCCCGCCCCCGCAATACTGCAGCTGCTAGGACTATTCCAGAAGCCAATAATCCTTTTGTGTTTCCCATTGGGTAGGAAGGACACAAGCATTAGGACCATCCTCCTCTGCCTTTGCCAGAGCATTAACAGGAATCTGTATGATAAGCAAAGGAGCTAGGTCTCAACCCAGCATGTAATTATGGAATTCCAGCAGCATGGAGCAGAGGTTAACACCCTGAACGACAGCACAGTCTCAAAACACATGTTTTACACAAATTCAACCAATTTTAAGGAAGCACAGTGAAACAAAACTGCTGAACAAAAGGTATATAAGCAATCTGAATTCAACAGCACATCACATTATCATTCACCACCATCTATATGGGATTCAGCTAGGCATCAACAGGTGGTTAATACACATCAATAAAAAGGAGACAGCCACATAACAGAATGAAGTGGTGGGAAGCCATGTGATTCCTTCAGTCAACACACAAAAAGTTTTCAATAAGAGCTCAACACATTTTCATGATGAAAACTCTCCAAAAAAATCATTCAAAGTATAAACTTAACTCAGTGACAAAAAGGTCATAATATAGTAAGTCCAAAGCTAAGATAATAGGGAATGGAGAAAATCTGGAAAGTCTTTTTGTCTTAGATGTCTGGAATGATACAAGCATAACGACTTTCATCACTTTCACTGGACACAGTTCTAGAAGTCCTGGTCAAGGAATTAGGCAACGTGAGATAGAGGAGATGTCAAATTGGAAAGAATGAAGACAAACTCTACTTTCCATGTGATGTGATGTGATCTTATGTATAGAAAATCCCAAAGACATTCATTGAGCTCCCAGCAATAACTGAGCTTAGCCACGTTGCAGGATAAAAAAGCAACTGACATTTCGGTCTGACACTGGGGCATTATGTGAAACACAAGTCAAGAAAGCAGTCCCATTTGTAAAAACTAACAAAAATGCAAGAATAAATTTAACAAAATAAATGAAAACTCATTACAACATAACTGATAAACAATGAGGGGAGAAATTAAAGGGGACACAGAAATTGGAAGGATATCCCACATTCATGGAAACCTACCCTAAGTTAATTGCTTGGGAGAGTAAAAACTGTTCAAATGTACATGCTACCCAAAGCAGTCTTCAGCAAATGAGGTGGTACTAGCATAGATTAAAGGTGACACACGCTCATTTGGAGCTCCTATGAAGCTGTAGACTAAGAGTGAGAATATGTAACATTTACTGGTGATTCATAAAAGCCAGAGTACGGTCCCCTGTACAAAGTCATCCAAAGAGAAAAATGGGAGAGATCACTGGAACTGGTGAAGGTAACTCTACAGAATATAATCAAATAGTAAAGAAAAAAAAAAAGAAAGAAAAACTTAAACACTTGCTTACATTTCAACATTATCAGAACGATAATGGACACATCTACCATAGAATTGATAACTGCATTGCACACAAGATAAAACAGACAAGGTCCGATGACCATTGGTTTGAAAGAACACATACAGTCATAAACATTAAGATGAGTTAAATGAAAATCACACAAATGGAAAGGATTCTTATTCATAACATCATCTATTCTGGAGTTAAAAAAAGAAATTGAGATTCCTACTTTCAATTCAGTCTCCTCATTGCTGACCCCACATTCGCTGGCTTCCAAGGACCTTGTTTTGTCCCCCACTCTAGCAGCTTCCTCCACAGACAGATAATTGAAGTGTCCCAAGTAAAATACCCAATTGACGTGCATCTACAATGTCCAACCCTGTACATCAGACACCAAACCCTCACGAGAAAGCCTCCTGCCAGCACAAGTAGGACACAGGAACACCAGTAGGACATCCTCTGATCACAGACCTCCAAGCTTCAATGTCTGCCTCCTGCTCATCTTTCTGATCCTGCTGGAAGCTTCCACATCATTTGAATGCCCAGGTCCAGTGCCTTCTGAGATACATCCCTCCTGAGTCAGGAGGACTGGAAACTGTCATATCAACATTGCACACTTGGCTACTCCCTTACAACCCATGGATAATCAGCATGAAAATTTTCCCTGGAGGATCAGCTCCCGACACAAGCTCATGTACTCTTGCTCACTTTAAAGAAGTCACACACCATGAAGATGGGGCCTTGAACATGACCAGTCTTTGCAAATCCTATTGCACATCCTCTCCAATCACTCTAAGCCAGCCAAGGGACCTGCATAGCTAGTGCCACTACTTGTGGACACAACAGCTCCTCTCCCTAACACTGTTGGGAGAACGATAAGTAGAGATTGTTGGAAACATAGATGAGTAAGTACTTGTACCTTTTAAATTAAATGCTCTACCTATAGTGCTAATTACATAAGGGCAGCATACAGACCTGAGAGAGTGGCTTCCTGTTGGCACAGTTGATGCCCCCAATGAAGACCATGTTGGGCATGATGGGCCTAGGGTAGTCCAGCACAAAGTCTCCTCGGAACAGCCACACAGAACCATGGCTGAGAATGTCCACCAAGGACACATCTCTCTGAAAAAGCTCTGATGCAAGGCTTGCATATGGATCATAAGACATGTGACAAATGGACTTGAGGCCCAGAGGGTAGAGCATGTTCTTGACCCTTTGCAGGAAGGTCATGTGGTCTGAGTTCATTGTCATGAGCCTGGGAATATATGAGGAGGGATTGGGACACTGTGTGGCCTCGAAGTCCAGATCACAAGGAACAGCGCGCAAAAAGAACACAGCAGGAATCGACAGGTACTTAGCCAGCAGTGCCCCGCAGGGGAAGACAGGATCAGTTATAACCACATCAAAAGAGCTGTCATTTAACTGCCTAATCAGAGGTTTGTTGTACAAAAGTTCTGCACAAGACCTGTGAAAGAACATAGATGCATTTCTCATAGCTGTGAAAGTGTTAAGAAATTTCTTCAGAAAATCTGTGGTTTCAAACATATTTCCAGAGTTACCGAAAAGCAGTTCATGAAATTCCTCCTGAGTGTAAGGAATGCTGTAGGTTTTCAGCGTGAACGTGTCTTCTCCCTTGATGAGCACATTCAATTCTGGAGCAAGGACCACAGCCTGGTGGCCTCGGGCATGGAGCTCCTGCACAACCTTCCGCATGCTGAGCCAGTGGCTGCCTTCCATGGGCATCACCAGCACCTTGCCACCCTCAGCCCAGGGCAGCACACACAGCCACAGGAGCAGTCCTGCCAGCCCCAGTAGGCGACTCCTCAGTCCCAGTACCATCTCAGCAGAAGACAAGTGCAGCTCAAAATCCACACCAGGCTGAGCCACCTTTATTGGATTTCCTTCATCACTTGTACACTATCACTGGGCCACTTTATCAGAGCTATTGGGAGGCAGAGTTAATCATTGAAGAATGGATATCTTCTTTCATAATTACCCTCTAGCTCCACCCAGGAGGTATTAATCTCTTCCCTCCTATCTTGGACTAACCTGTTTGAACCTGTTGTTCTCTGGGAGAACATTCTACCTCACTTCCTAGTTGTCATTCGATTTCCAAAAAAGGCTATGGACACGGGTTTTACTTTGTTGCCTCCAACATCTCTGGTCATCACATTTTATGAGCCACACCTGAACTTAGAGGAATGCCCAATACCATTTCCTCCTGACTCACCCTCTCTGTTGGATATGACCCTATTTGGCAAGCCTTTCAATTCTTTCCTACTTCAATGAGAAGCTGGGAATTGACACAGAAAACACTGATAAACCAGCTTTCCTTAAACGGGAATGAAGTCGCTGGCTCACCAGCATTTGTTCATTTTCCACACCAGGGTGACTATGTAGGATCAGGGAAGAATCTATGGGAAGCAGCTTTCAAATATGGAAATCGTCGGAATCTCAGACTTTGAACTTGAGATGTGATGACTGGATTCTGTAAAGGGAGTTAGAGAACCCCATGCCCACTCTACAGATGGACTAAGCAACAGCACACCAGGCCTGTATGCAGCACCTGACTCCCTCTGCCTCCTACCACTGGTCTGAGAGAACAAAGCCTGGCCTTGGAGCTGGCCTGCCTGCATCTTTCTTCCCCTGAACAGGAAGCCAGGTAGAGATCCACGGTTCCAGATATCAGAGAGAAGGTGCATAGAGATAGTAAGAGACCTTTTTTTCCTATACTTGATCCCCACCATCCCTCAATTTGTTGTTCAGTTGGTTCTCCAGTATGCAAGCAGAAGGCATAAATCCTATTTGAGTCCCACCATAGGTAGCAACAACCCAAACATTAAGACCATCTTCCCCTGAGTTAACAGGAAGCTATATCATAAACCAAGGAACAATGTCTCATGCCAGCACCTAAACATGGGATTCCAGCACCATGGCGTAGTGGTTAACACCCTGAACGATAGCACCAGTCCCTAAACAGGTATATATTATTTAATTCCATGAATTTCAAGAAAGCATAGTGATGCAATAATCCTGAACTAAAGGCATATGATCAATCTGAATTCACCTCACATCTAATTGTTATTCATCATGATATATGTGGGATTTGGCTGGGAATGGAAAGACAGATGTCATACACAAATCAATAAACAGGATGCAGCCACAGAGCAGAGTGAAGTAGTGTGAAACCATATACTTTCTTCAATGTATGCAGGAAAAGTTTTCAATAAACTTCTCCTTATGACAAAAATTCTCAAAGCCATCATGGAAAGAACGTGCATATCTCAACAAGAGGAAGGCCATAATGATGTAAGCCCAAAGCTAACAACCTAACAAATGGGAGATAATAAAAACTTTCTTTTAAAGATCTGGAAGAGGACAAGAATGTCAACTCCCATTCAGCATAATTCAACATGTCCCCATCAGGCAAATGAGACAAGAAAAACGAAATGTGGGATGTTGAACTGGCAAGCTGTAACTAAAATGTATGGGAGGTAATGTAGTCCTTCACGTAGAAAGTCCCCCAAAATCCACACAGCTATTATAATTAACAATTGAGCTCATCAATTAGCATTAATCATCGTTAGCATTGCTAAATGGAACTGGAACTACAAAAATGCAGGAATAATTTTAATCAAATGGGTAAAAATAATTGATAAAAATTGAGGAAAGAGAACTCAAAAATACAAGGATAACCATGTTCATGAAAATAAATCCTGTGTTTATTCTTTGAAAGAACAAATATTAGTATAATGTCCATACTAACCAAAGGAATCTTCTTTCATTCAGCAAACAAAGTGAAAATTGCATCGATTTCCACGATACGCACTGTCATTTGGAGGCTCCTGTTAGGTGATACACATGGTAGTAAGAATATCTAACATTTATGGGCATCATTCATGCCACCATCAAAGCCTGAGTCGTGAAGTCATCTGCACAAGATCCACCACTGAGCAGAACAGGAGTGAGAAACAGAATCAGAGAAGTTAACTCCAGAGGATGTAACGACACAGAGAAAGTCATTTAAACAATTTCTTCCTTCTCAGCATTTTTACAACTATAGTAAATAATATCTACCTTATGACTGATAATTGCTTTGCTCACAAGGGAAAGCAGAAAAAGATACACTATGGTTTGAAAGAAAACATACTTAAGTGACGAGAAGGAAAGATGCCATTAAACAGTCATAAACATTAAGATGAGTTAAATGAAAATCACACAAATGGAAAGGATTCTTATTCATAACATCATCTATTCTGGAGTTAAAAAAAGAAATTGAGATTCCTACTTTCAATTCAGTCTCCTCATTGCTGACCCCACGTTCGCTGGCTTCCAAGGACCTTGTTTTGTCCCCCACTCTAGCAGCTTCCTCCACAGACAGATAATTGAAGTGTCCCAAGTAAAATACCCAATTGACGTGCATCTACAATGTCCAACCCTGTACATCAGACACCAAACCCTCACGAGAAAGCCTCCTGCCAGCACAAGTAGGACACAGGAACACCAGTAGGACATCCTCTGATCACAGACCTCCAAGCTTCAATGTCTGCCTCCTGCTCATCTTTCTGATCCTGCTGGAAGCTTCCACATCATTTGAATGCCCAGGTCCAGTGCCTTCTGAGATACATCCCTCCTGAGTCAGGAGGACTGGAAACTGTCATATCAACATTGCACACTTGGCTACTCCCTTACAACCCATGGATAATCAGCATGAAAATTTCCCCTGGAGGATCAGCTCCCGACACAAGCTCATGTACTCTTGCTCACTTTAAAGAAGTCACACACCATGAAGATGGGGCCTTGAACATGACCAGTCTTTGCAAATCCTATTGCACATCCTCTCCATTCACTCTAAGCCAGCCAAGGGACCTGCATAGCTAGTGCCACTACTTGTGGACACAACAGCTCCTCTCCCTAACACTGTTGGGAGAACGATAAGTAGAGATTGTTGGAAACATAGATGAGTAAGTACTTGTACCTTTTAAATTAAATGCTCTACCTATAGTGCTAATTACATAAGGGCAGCATACAGACCTGAGAGAGTGGCTTCCTGTTGGCACAGTTGATGCCCCCAATGAAGACCATGTTGGGCATGATGGGCCTAGGGTAGTCCAGCACAAAGTCTCCTCGGAACAGCCACACAGAACCATGGCTGAGAATGTCCACCAAGGACACATCTCTCTGAAAAAGCTCTGATGCAAGGCTTGCATAAGGATCATAAGACATGTGACAAATGGACTTGAGGCCCAGAGGGTAGAGCATGTTCTTGACCCTTTGCAGGAAGGTCATGTGGTCTGAGTTCATTGTCATGAGCCTGGGAATATATGAGGAGGGATTGGGACACTGCGTGCCCTCGAAGTCCAGATCACAAGGAACAGCGCGCAAAAAGAACACAGCAGGAATCGACAGGTACTTAGCCAGCAGTGCCCCGCAGGGGAAGACAGGATCAGTTATAACCACATCAAAAGAGCTGTCATTTAACTGCCTAATCAGAGGTTTGTTGTACAAAAGTTCTGCACAAGACCTGTGAAAGAACATAGATGCATTTCTCATAGCTGTGAAAGTGTTAAGAAATTTCTTCAGAAAATCTGTGGTTTCAAACATATTTCCAGAGTTACCGAAAAGCAGTTCATGAAATTCCTCCTGAGTGTAAGGAATGCTGTAGGTTTTCAGCGTGAACGTGTCTTCTCCCTTGATGAGCACATTCAATTCTGGAGCAAGGACCACAGCCTGGTGGCCTCGGGCATGGAGCTCCTGCACAACCTTCCGCATGCTGAGCCAGTGGCTGCCTTCCATGGGCATCACCAGCACCTTGCCACCCTCAGCCCAGGGCAGCACACACAGCCACAGGAGCAGTCCTGCCAGCCCCAGTAGGCGACTCCTCAGTCCCAGTACCATCTCAGCAGAAGACAAGTGCAGCTCAAAATCCACACCAGGCTGAGCCACCTTTATTGGATTTCCTTCATCACTTGTACACTATCACTGGGCCACTTTATCAGAGCTATTGGGAGGCAGAGTTAATCATTGAAGAATGGATATCTTCTTTCATAATTACCCTCTAGCTCCACCCAGGAGGTATTAATCTCTTCCCTCCTATCTTGGACTAACTTGTCTGATCTGCTGGGAGTTCCTAGTTGTCATTCGATTTCCAAAAAAGGCTATGGACACGGGTTTTACTTTGTTGCCTCCAACATCTCTGGTCATCACATTTTATGAGCCACACCTGAACTTAGAGGAATGCCCAATACCATTTCCTCCTGACTCACCCTCTCTGTTGGATATGACCCTATTTGGCAAGCCTTTCAATTCTTTCCTACTTCAATGAGAAGCTGGGAATTGACACAGAAAACACTGATAAACCAGCTTTCCTTAAACGGGAATGAAGTCGCTGGCTCACCAGCATTTGTTCATTTTCCACACCAGGGTGACTATGTAGGATCAGGGAAGAATCTATGGGAAGCAGCTTTCAAATATGGAAATCGTCGGAATCTCAGACTTTGAACTTGAGATGTGATGACTGGATTCTGTAAAGGGAGTTAGAGAACCCCATGCCCACTCTACAGATGGACTAAGCAACAGCACACCAGGCCTGTATGCAGCACCTGACTCCCTCTGCCTCCTACCACTGGTCTGAGAGAACAAAGCCTGGCCTTGGAGCTGGCCTGCCTGCATCTTTCTTCTCCTGAACAGGAAGCCAGGTAGAGATCCACGGTCCCAGATATCAGAGAGAAGGTGCATAGAGATAGTAAGAGACCTTTTTTTCCTATACTTGATCCCCACCATCCCTCAATTTGTTGTTCAGTTGGTTCTCCAGTATGCAAGCAGAAGGCATAAATCCTATTTGAGTCCCACCATAGGTAGCAACAACCCAAACATTAAGACCATCTTCCCCTGAGTTAACAGGAAGCTATATCATAAACCAAGGAACAATGTCTCATGCCAGCACCTAAACATGGGATTCCAGCACCATGGCGTAGTGGTTAACACCCTGAACGATAGCACCAGTCCCTAAACAGGTATATATTATTTAATTCCATGAATTTCAAGAAAGCATAGTGATGCAATAATCCTGAACTAAAGGCATATGATCAATCTGAATTCACCTCACATCTAATTGTTATTCATCATGATATATGTGGGATTTGGCTGGGAATGGAAAGACAGATGTCATACACAAATCAATAAACAGGATGCAGCCACAGAGCAGAGTGAAGTAGTGTGAAACCATATACTTTCTTCAATGTATGCAGGAAAAGTTTTCAATAAACTTCTCCTTATGACAAAAATTCTCAAAGCCATCATGGAAAGAACGTGCATATCTCAACAAGAGGAAGGCCATAATGATGTAAGCCCAAAGCTAACAACCTAACAAATGGGAGATAATAAAAACTTTCTTTTAAAGATCTGGAAGAGGACAAGAATGTCAACTCCCATTCAGCATAATTCAACATGTCCCCATCAGGCAAATGAGACAAGAAAAACGAAATGTGGGATGTTGAACTGGCAAGCTGTAACTAAAATGTATGGGAGGTAATGTAGTCCTTCACGTAGAAAGTCCCCCAAAATCCACACAGCTATTATAATTAACAATTGAGCTCATCAATTAGCATTAATCATCGTTAGCATTGCTAAATGGAACTGGAACTACAAAAATGCAGGAATAATTTTAATCAAATGGGTAAAAATAATTGATAAAAATTGAGGAAAGAGAACTCAAAAATACAAGGATAACCATGTTCATGAAAATAAATCCTGTGTTTATTCTTTGAAAGAACAAATATTAGTATAATGTCCATACTAACCAAAGGAATCTTCTTTCATTCAGCAAACAAAGTGAAAATTGCATCGATTTCCACGATACGCACTGTCATTTGGAGGCTCCTGTTAGGTGATACACATGGTAGTAAGAATATCTAACATTTATGGGCATCATTCATGCCACCATCAAAGCCTGAGTCGTGAAGTCATCTGCACAAGATCCACCACTGAGCAGAACAGGAGTGAGAAACAGAATCAGAGAAGTTAACTCCAGAGGATGTAACGACACAGAGAAAGTCATTTAAATAATTTCTTCCTTCTCAGCATTTTTACAACTATAGTAAATAATATCTACCTTATGACTGATAATTGCTTTGCTCACAAGGGAAAGCAGGAAAAGATACACTATGGTTTGAAAGAAAACATACTTAAGTGACGAGAAGGAAAGATGCCATTAAACAGTCATAAACATTAAGATGAGTTAAATGAAAATCACACAAATGGAAAGGATTCTTATTCATAACATCATCTATTCTGGAGTTAAAAAAAGAAATTGAGATTCCTACTTTCAATTCAGTCTCCTCATTGCTGACCCCACATTCGCTGGCTTCCAAGGACCTTGTTTTGTCCCCCACTCTAGCAGCTTCCTCCACAGACAGATAATTGAAGTGTCCCAAGTAAAATACCCAATTGACGTGCATCTACAATGTCCAACCCTGTACATCAGACACCAAACCCTCACGAGAAAGCCTCCTGCCAGCACAAGTAGGACACAGGAACACCAGTAGGACATCCTCTGATCACAGACCTCCAAGCTTCAATGTCTGCCTCCTGCTCATCTTTCTGATCCTGCTGGAAGCTTCCACATCATTTGAATGCCCAGGTCCAGTGCCTTCTGAGATACATCCCTCCTGAGTCAGGAGGACTGGAAACTGTCATATCAACATTGCACACTTGGCTACTCCCTTACAACCCATGGATAATCAGCATGAAAATTTCCCCTGGAGGATCAGCTCCCGACACAAGCTCATGTACTCTTGCTCACTTTAAAGAAGTCACACACCATGAAGATGGGGCCTTGAACATGACCAGTCTTTGCAAATCCTATTGCACATCCTCTCCAATCACTCTAAGCCAGCCAAGGGACCTGCATAGCTAGTGCCACTACTTGTGGACACAACAGCTCCTCTCCCTAACACTGTTGGGAGAACGATAAGTAGAGATTGTTGGAAACATAGATGAGTAAGTACTTGTACCTTTTAAATTAAATGCTCTACCTATAGTGCTAATTACATAAGGGCAGCATACAGACCTGAGAGAGTGGCTTCCTGTTGGCACAGTTGATGCCCCCAATGAAGACCATGTTGGGCATGATGGGCCTAGGGTAGTCCAGCACAAAGTCTCCTCGGAACAGCCACACAGAACCATGGCTGAGAATGTCCACCAAGGACACATCTCTCTGAAAAAGCTCTGATGCAAGGCTTGCATATGGGCTGTGATTAATATGACAAATGTACTTCATGCCCAAAGGGAAGAGCATGTTCTTGACCCTTTGCAGGAAGGTCATGTGGTCTGAGTTCATTGTCATGAGCCTGGGAATATAGGAGGAAGGGTTGGGACACTGTGTGGCCTCAAAGTCCAGATCACAGGGAATAAAACGCAAAAAGAACACAGCAGGAACTGACAGGTACTTAGCCAGCAGTGCCCCGCATGGATTAACCGGGTCAGTTAGAACCACATCGAAGGCACTCTCATTCAAGTGTCTATTCAGGAGTTGGTTGTGTAGTAGTTCTGAGCAGGATTTGTAATACATCATAGAGCCATTTTTCATGCTTTCAATAGTTTCCAAAAATTTCTCTAGAAAATGTGTTTTAAAGATCATTTGTCTGTGACGTTGGAAAATATAGCCAAATTCCTCTTGGGAATAAGAAGTGGGGAAGGTTTGCAGAGTGAAGAAGTCCTCTTCTTTGATGTGCAGATTCACCTCTGGTGCAAGGACCACAGCTTGGTGGCCTCGGGCGTGGAGTTCCCGTACAACATCCCGCATGCTGAGCCAGTGGCTTCCATCTATGGGCACCACGAGCACCTTGCCACCCTCGGCCCAGGGCAGAACACACAGCCAGAACAGCAGCCCCAGCACAAGATTCCGCAGTTCTAGCACCATCTCTGCAGAAGGCAAGGGCACCACTCTTATAGCACAGTAGGCTGTGCCTCCTACCCCAGCTTTTCTCACATTTATATTGTTGCCAGGGCACTGATCAAACCTGCATGCCATCCCATTAGTTAATCATTGCCATAAGCCTATCCCTGTTCTTTATGACCGCCCCACCTACCTCTACCTTTCAGACATGGACCTGATAACCATATTGGGACTCTGCTGCTCTCTGTAGGGAGCATGCTACTGCATGCGGGTTTTTTACTGTTTACAAAATTCGACTTTGGACCCTTGTTTAATTTCATCACATGCACTTCGCTTTTGACCCCTCCTTGGCAGGCTGCAGCTGAGCCTGTGGAGTCCCCAGGACCCTGACCCCAGCTTCATGCTATCCTGGATAGTATACACTGAGTCTCCAAACTCTTTCCTCTCTGGTATCGGGCGAGTGGGGGAAGTGGCTCATTACAGATGCCTGGGCATCTTCCAACAAGAAAGAACCAAAAACAAAGAGAGAGAGAGAGAGAAAAAAAAACAACTACCACTTGGCTACAATACTCTGCAAATGTGCCAATATGCAAACTCAGAGAAAATGGCGAGACAGCCCTCTGGATCCCTGCAGAGATCTGCCCCCTGCACAGACCCCAGAGACGGACAAGAGCTGTCCTCAGGCCTGTGTGATGCTGCTGGATGGATACCCATGACTGATGAGTGCAAAGCATTGCCAAATAGGGCCCCTGCCCCATTACCATGACAGGTACACTGCACCTACTTGAACACTGGAGTACCCCCAGAAACTTACCAGTGCCCTGCTACCACTGATGTGCACCCCCCACATGGCTGCAATTGCTATCCACTGCGCACATGTGCCTGGACCTATAGGAGTGGCCATCCTGTGGATGTCCTACCTCTACTGCTATGTGTTCTACACTTACCTGGGTCCCTGGAATGTCCCTCGCCTTATAGACACAGATGGGATCTCTGCCTCAGCTTTCACAGATTCCATGAATAGACAGATGATAGAGCTGAACAAGTTGCATAGAGACCACATGAGGGTACTCAACTGGAACCCAAAATAACACAGCACACAGCTCAACACCCATAGAAACACCTTTGTGGGGAACTAATTACAAATTCCACTGAAAAAAGTTAATACAGACCCCATATTTCCCAAGTGCATCAGACAAATGGAGGGGCAGGAATGTGAAAAAGTAAGAGGACATGACTCTCCAAAGGACCACACTAACACTCTAGCAACATGCTCCAAAGAAATCGGATGAAAAGCCTGAAAAAAATTTTGAAAGAATGGTTCTAAGGAAACTCAACGTACTACAAGGAAATCAAAACAGTTAATTTAAAAAAATGTGAAAACAATCTATGATATGATCCCAAAAAGATCCAAACGGAAATCATGCAGCCAATGAGCTCAGTATACAACTGAGGGCCACAAAACAGACTAGATGAAGCAGAAGAATTTCTAAAGTTGAAGATAGATCATTTGAAATAAACGAGAAGAAAAGAATGAATGAATAAAGACAGCCACTCCCAACCGATGGGACAGCATTAAGTACTGGCAAAGGCATGCAAAAGCTATTCAGTGAGTTAGCAGGAGAAAATGTCCCATTTTAGGAAAGGATGTGACCCTGTACGATCAGAAATCTCAAAGGACAACACAAGGTCAAAACACAGGAGGAATTCTAAAATAGCTAGAGGTGAAACTGTTGTCCAGAGTAAGTGAGGACCACTTGCAGCACCCACATTCCATGTTAGGGGGCCAGTTGGAGTCCCAGTCCCTGCACTTCTAGTTCAGCGTCCTGCTAGTGCAGCCTAAGTCACAGCAGTCATGGCTGCTCCACTTTGAATCCATCTTCTTCCTGAAGCTCCTTGGGAGATAGCAGAACACCCACGTGCTTGCATCGTTATCACCCTTATGGGCAAACTGGATGGACTTCTTGGCTCCTGGCTTCAGTTTGGCCCAGATATGGCTGTTCCAACAGAAGAGTGTGAGAGAAGACGGAGGAGAAGAAGACGCACACTCTCTCTCGCTCGCTCTTTCCCTCTCCCATTTCCCTCTCCCTCCCTCTCTCTCTCTGTATTTATACATGTTTGCATGTCTCCTTCTTTGTAAAAACTAAATACAAGTATTAACACAAGCCAAACAGAAATGAATATAGAACTTATCTAAGCTACAAAAGAACCCAAAGAAATGAGAATAGGATTACAATGAATTGAAACAGTAAACAAAATGTAAAAAAGAACAAGCAATTCCAAACTTGTTTCTTAGAGATGATCAATAACATACTTCAGCCAGTTATGTACCTAATAGAAGAGGGAGCAGAAAAAAACAACATACTTTCATGGACTTGGGTCTTGTGAAGGATGAAAACTCCACAAACTCAGCACAGTCCAATCTCATGGTGAAACAACCCACACAAGCAAGGGAGATGAAAGTGAGGCAAGAATGGGATGGAGAAAAAGGTCAAAATCAGATCCTCCTGCAACTGTCTCTCCAGAGAAACATCCAATTTCAACCACTCTATGCAATGGGAGCACCTATATGGGAGACCACAGTAGCTGTGGTTGATGTTAGCACCTCAATAAGAAGAGATGAATTGAAGAGCGGGTGAGTCCGTTTCTTGGAACTCCTTTCCCTTTCCCTGACTCCAATGAGTGCAGCTTGGAAAGAAGCACTGGCCATGTTACAAAGGGAAAGGAGAAGAATCAGTGATAGACTATAAACTTGAGCCAAGGACTGGACATGCCAAAGTGACACCCAATATGAGGCAGAGCCACAGGCAGTGCATGTGCACAGTGTTTCTGGATTCACCGGGGGGCAGGGACTTGAGACATGACCAGGGCAGGATCGTGCTGTGGCCCACACCAGCGGCCTCTCTGGCCTGGGCTTGCAGTATTGATCTGGAATTGAAGTACTCCATATGAGCAGGAGCTTCAGCTGCAAACCACCTCAGGGTCAGCCTCAGCAGCCCAAGGAGTCCCCCGTCATACTTACCCCACCTCATGCAGCATAGCTGGACAAAAATTCCATATGTTAAGGGATAGAAGGAATGGTAGGATTTTTCTTGGACTTGAGTGGAGCATCCACCATGGTGAATCTCAACACTGAGCTGAACCTAACAGCTGCTGCCTGGGCTCACAGAGTCTGTGGACCTCCCTGAGCATCACACAGGGAATCTGACCCTCCTGGGATTGCCATGTGTTCCAGTCTTCGTTGCCTAGGATTATGCAGCAATGCAGGCTCATGGCTGACCACATCAGCAGGCAAGACACAGCTGTCCCTTGGACCCGTTCATGTACTGTATGGGCTTTTGTGAGCTGTAGCTTTTGCAACCTAGCATGGTAGCAGCTTCAGTGTTCTAGGACTTCCCAACTTATCCTTCTCCCAACCCCAAACAAAACAACAGAGAGAGAAGAGAATATGGTCACATAGAGAAACCAAAAGAAAGCACAAGCAATTTAAAAAACTGTATTACTTTTCAAAACCTTTTGAAAATATAACGGACACTTATCTTTATGAGATGAATGAAAGACAGGGGGAGAAGATTTGTCCTAGCATAGGCAAGTGATGGTGTGACCTCATCAAACCTATGCTTGTGTCATGGCACCATGTTCCTACATCTTTGATCTCCTATAACTGAGAGGAGCTCAGAGACCAAGCTGTGAACTGACCCAGCCACGTGTTTTACTGTATATTTGTGATAGGACATTAATGAAAGTAGCAGCTTTCACGTGTTTTCAGTAATTTTCAGTGGGAAGCATGGGAGTGGGGTTTCATTTTGATGCCAAGCTCAGGCCATGCACCAAGATAATAATTAGTGTTGTCATCAATAAATTCCTTTATTTGAGGGGGCATTACACACACACACATACACACACACTTATGTACATAAGCATAGGATACCTCAAAGAGAAAGCTACCTGATTTGAGTGGGCAGTGGGGCAGAGGAGGAGTCTGGGCAGTGGACAGAAGAGGACCTCCAAGCAGTCTCCAAGTGTGCTCTCCGCAGAAAGAGAACTTGCCTTGTTATTGACCTCTTTCATGAAGTGCCTCCCTAGGCATAAAACCCCATGGCAGTTTTATGATACTTTATTGAATTTAACACAAATGTCAATATACATATTTTCATATCACCTTTCACCAAGTCCAACTCAGGTCCAAAGGAATCTGAGTTAGACTACATGTGGACACTCTTACAATTCCTCTCCCTTTAACTCCCACAGTTAGAACTCCTTGCAAGATGAGTAGACAAGGAAGCACTTAGAAGCTTTTCCTTTAATTTTTTTCCTAACTAGAGAACTGATGGGAGAAAAGCAGCAATACAGACCTGAGAGAGTGGCTTCCTGTTGGCACAGTTGATGCCCCCAATGAAGACTATGTTGGGCATGATGGGCCTAGGGTAGTCCAGCACAAAGTCTCCTCGGAACAGCCACACAGAACCATGGCTGAGAATGTCCACCAAGGACACATCTCTCTGAAAAAGCTCAAATGCAAGGCTTGCATATGGGCTGTGATTAATATGACAAATGTACTTCATGCCCAAAGGGAAGAGCATGTTCTTGACCCTTTGCAGGAAGGTCATGTGGTCTGAGTTCATTGTCATGAGCCTGGGAATATAGGAGGAAGGGTTGGGACACTGTGTGGCCTCAAAGTCCAGATCACAGGGAATAAAACGCAAAAAGAACACAGCAGGAACTGACAGGTACTTAGCCAGCAGTGCCCCGCATGGATTCATTGGGTCAGTTAGAACCACATCGAAGGCACTCTCATTCAAGTGCCTGATCATGACTTTATTGTGCAGTAGTTCTGAGCAAGTCCTGCTGTGCATCTGAGAGCCATTTTTCATGCTTTCAACCATTTCCAATAATGTCTTCAGAAGATTTTGTCTCTTAAAGATCATTTGTCTGTGACGTTGGAAAAAGTGGCCAAATTCCTCTTGGGAATAAGAAGTGGGGAAGGTTTGCAGAGTGAAGAAGCCCTCTCCTTTGATGTGCAGATTCACCTCTGGTGCAAGGACCACAGCTTGGTGGCCTCGGGCGTGGAGTTCCCGCACAACATCCCGCATGGTGAGCCAGTGGCTTCCACCCATGGGCATCACCAGCACTTTGCCACCCTCAGCCAAGGGCAGAACACACAGCCAGAACAGCAGCTCCAGCACAAAATTCCACAGTTCTAGCACCATCTCCGCAGAAGAAAGGCACACCACATACTCCACACAAGCCTGTGTCTCCTATATATATTTTCCTCACATTTATATTGCTACCACCAGGTTGCTTATCACAGTCTCATGCAATTGGAAGGTACTATGTTCTCTTCAAGTTAATCATTGTACCATAAGCCTCTCCCTTTGGTTTATGACTGCCCCACCCTCCACTTCTTTCTGGTAATTCTGAGCTGGGTTGTTCAAATCTGTACACATACTTTGACCCTGCTTATCTCTCAGGGACACACCAGTGTCCCTGTTCATGCATCGTGTTTCATTCTACTTTTAAATGAGACTTTGGACATTCTTCAGTTCCTCTCCTGCCACTTCTCTTTGAACAATTGTTCAGCAAATTATGACTGAGCTCTAAGGAACCACCTGCTTCTAATTCACTTTCTCTGCTGGAAGATTCAATCTTTGCTAGGTCTACAGACACTTTCCTCTCTGCTCAGCCAAGATGCCCAATGACTGGCATTTCCTGACAGAAGGATAATAAAAACAAAGAAATAACAACTCCTACTGGGTCACAATACGTGCGGGACTATGCTAGAATGCAGTACAAATGCAATGGAGAGATTGGTCATTAGACAGCAGAAAGATCTCACCAGAAACTGCCAGAAGAGCACCTTAGGCCTCCTGCTTTCTTTTGAGGTGTATTGTGCCTCTCAGGCTCCGCCCCACCGAATGAAGTGCCCAAGGTATGTCCATAAATTTCCTGTCCCCACTACCATGCATCCTTGGCCACTAGAGTAGCCCTCCTCCAGTGTACCCTCATGGACTTATTATTGCCCATGGTGCATCACCTTTAAGTACCCATCCTTGTATTCTGGGGGAGGCTCTCTCTCCCTCACATGGCGCCTCAAAGTCTCACAGTGCTGCTGCCTTGAGTACACATTGCAAACAGGTGTCCATGCCCAGGGGAGGGGCCACATGGTAGTTGTTCCACTCTCACAAGCTCTAGGGCACAAGCATGTTCACACCCCAGAATGGCCTGAGAGGCAGACATGATCTCTGCCCCAGCTGCCAGATCGCTCTGCCCAAAATTCTGACAGAGCAGCAGAGCCTATCAAGAGACAACCTGAAGATATCCAACAGGAACTAGACCCACTAGAGCACAATGACATAAAGTCACAACTTGGGAAAAAACACTTAGTACAAAAGCCACACAGTAACATTGGCACACTCCCCAGATACGTCAGGTGCACAAACACAAAATTTAGAGGAAATGAATAAATTTCTAGGTCATAGAAAGAACTGAAATTGAACCATGAAAATGCATAGACCTAGAATTAACAAGAAACAAGGCCCGGACTGACTCAATGGGAAAAATGATCCCAAAAAAGACAAGACCAGGATTCACTGCAGATTTTCCCATAACTGTAAAGAAAAATTAACATCAATTCCTCAAATGATTCCAAACAAATAAAGTGGAGGTTAGGGTGTGGGAATCCTTCCATACTTGTCCTGTGTGGCCAGCACCAGTTACCCTGAGACCAGTTGCAGATAAGGATACAACAGAAGAAAATTATAGATGAATATCCCAATGAGCATTGATAGGAAAATCAACAAAACAGCAGCCAATTGAATCCCATTGGATATCCCTAAATTCACAACCTATCAACAAATGGAGTTTACTCCAGGCATGCAAGGATGGTTTCACACATGCAAATCAGATAAAAGACAAACACCCCTGTACCATGTCAACAGACCAAGATAAAGTGTTAAATAAAATCCTATGTCCTTTCACAATAAAACTGTCACAGGAATGTGCCTCAACATAATATATGCTACCCATTTATTCAGAGGCAATGTCTTGCAGAATGGGAAAACGTTGACAGCACTTTCTTTAAGATGTGGTTCTACAGAGCTGAATGTCATAGGTCCTGAACCCATCCTCCTATCCTCCTGCTTGTCAATCAAAATGCCCACGTGCCCAGAATTCATCTGTTTCACCCTGGACTTGAGGGAAGTTGCCATGAAAGCAACCAGATGGAGATTCATTTGGAATTTACTGATATTTCATTACATTACGTCTATAGGGGCGCTCCTCTCATTTCAAAAAGAGGACCACAACTAATGGAGCTCTCTCGTCCAGGGCAGCTGGCGTGTTCTCTCTCCTTACCTTTCTCTTACTGGATCAATGCACATCTGTGGTGGGAATCTCTTTGTGTGGAGCAACCCATCCTCATGTGTGTGTGTGTTTGCTACTGAACATCTAAACAAAAATTACATTATATACTTAGAAAACTCAGTTCTTACCTTTGTGCATGGAAAGAGCCTGGAATTCAAAGTAAATCCCACTCTCACACTTCCTAATGAAAACTGACATGTCAAGACATCCGAATTGTAAACTTTCTTAAAAGTTTTGTTGAAAATTTGCAGTAAACACCCATGACAATCAAGTTCATAACTTAAATGCTCTACACCTAATAGACACAGGAAATCACACACACAGGAAAAGGTACAGTGACACATGGACACATCGGGTGTAATCACACAATTATGCTTATTTCGTGGCAAACTGCTGCCCCTATATGCCGTGCATGTCGGGGACAAAGAAATCTCTAGTTACAGCATATGAGAACACCTGCACAAAACCTCTCCCTTTAACTCTCAGGAGAATAAGGTGAGCTCTTTAGAACGATAAGTAGATAAGGAAAGAAGTTAGAACTTTCTCTATGGAATTTTTCCAAGCTGAGGCACAGATGGCAGAAAAGCAGCAAAACAGACCTGAGAGAGTGGCTTCCTGTTGGCACAGTTGATGCCCCCAATGAAGACCATGTTGGGCATGATGGGTCTGGGGTAGTCCAGCAGAAAGTCTCCTCGGAACAGCCACACAGATGCATGGCTAAAGATGTCCACCAAGGACACATCTCTCTGAAAAAGCTCAGATGCAAGGCTTGGAAATGGGTCATACAGCACATGGCAAATGTAGCTCTGGGGCAAAGTAAAGAGCATATTCTTGACCCTTTGCAGGAAGGTCATGTGGTCTGAGTTCATTGTTGCTAACCTGGGAATATATGAAAAGGGATTGGGACATTGTGTGGCCTCATAGTCCAGGTCACAAGGAATAAAACGCAAAGTGAACACAGCAGGAACTGACAGGTACTTAGCCAGCAGCGCTCCACACAGGAAGGCAGGATCCGTTAGGACCACATCAAAGGAACTCTCATTCAACTGCCTGACCAAAGATTTGTTGTACAATAGCTCTGAGCAGATGCCGTGATAAAATTCAGAAGCGTTTCTCATTGTTTCAACATTATCCAAAAAAATCTCCAGAATATTTTGGTTCTCAAAGAACAGGTGTTGTCGCCGTTTGAAATTACGATCAAATTCCTCTTGGGAGTATGAGTTGGGGAAGGTTTGCAGGGTGAAGAAGTCCTTTCCTTTGATGTTCAGATTCACCTCTGGTGCAAGGACCACAGCTTGGTGGCCTCGGGCGTGAAGCTCCCGTACAATATCCACCATGGTGAACCAGGGGCTTCCATCCACGAATACCACCAGCACTTTACCACCCTCAGTCCAGGGCAGGATACACAGCCAGAGCAGCAGCCCCACCAGCCTCACAGGTGGAATTCGCAGTTGCAGCGCCATTGCACCAAAGGCAGACACACCACAGTCCCTACAGCAGCCTGTGCCTCTTACCCCAGACTTTCTTAGATTTATACTGTTCCACCAAGTTGCTTATCACAATCTCATGCCACTGGAAGGCACAGTGCCATCTTCAAGTTAATTATTGCAGAATAACTCTGTCCTGCCAGCTTATGACTAATCTTATTGCCAGTATATAAAGGAGACCCAACTGACCCTGCTGGTCTACCAAGGAGCACACCAGTTCATGCTCTTGAGTTTCACTCAATCTCCTCAACCAGACTTTGGACTCCAATATTGATACACATTATGCAGACAGCAGGGCTAACATTATTGAGCACCATCATTTGCAATTCTAATCTCCCACTTGGAAAACAAGATGTCCCCTCCTTCACGTTGCTAAGACAAAGCTTGTGAGAAATGTAACAGCTCTGCTTGTTGTTACCACTCCACCAAAGCCAATTGAAGAACACGACAAGGAGCAAAACATACCACCCTTACCCTAAGTCTAAGCAGTGTGGCTCAGAGCTAGACACCAGCCACTAGGCAGGGAGTAGGAACCTACACTTGGATCCTACACTTGGATCCCAAGACAAGGAATGCTAAGGTGGATTCCAACAGAGTCTCAGCACATTGCCTACAGATAATTCCAGGACCAGGTAGATACTGAAGAGCACAACACAACAGACTCGGTCATGTTCACATCACTACTGGCCCTGGCTGGACCTGGGTGTCAACATGGAACTTCACTGGTATTTATGACTATGTGCTTCAGCTGCAAACCAGCACAGAAGGAATGGCAGGGGTTTATCTAGGAACTCAGTGGAGCTTCCACCATGGTGAACCTCAACGCTGAGCTGAACCCAACTGCCACTGCCCTGGGCTCCACACACACAGCCTGTGGACCTCCCTGAGCTACAAGTGGAGATCCTGACTCCACTGGGATGTCCATGTGTCCCAGCCCATATCACCCTTGCTAATGCAGCAAGCAGCTCAGCATCATGAGGGGACCACCACAGCAGGAAGAGCACAGCTTTGTGAGTCTTGGATCTGCTTCTGTGTCACATGGTTTGATGGATTATAAGATTTATAAACAAATCCTATAGTAGATACAGTGGTGAGAGTTCTTCCTATCTTAGCCTTATCCTGACCCCAAACAACAGATGGAAGACAGCCATGATTCAGTAGGAGGAAGAAGGAGACGTAAGCATTAGACTCTGCTTTGGAACCATCAGTGAGACCCCCCCATGGTGAGATTCAACATCAGGCAGAATTGTGACCCAGATAAGGACTGTGGTTGACTGCCTGGATCTGCCACAGTCCCCAGGTACTTGCTCACAGCCCCATTGGAGAAGTGCTCCCGGCTTCCTTGACTCACCTAGAACCCACCTTGAAAGCACACAAAACTACAGAATGATACCAGTCTGGGCTTGGGCACTCTCTAGTGATAAGAACAGGAAAACAGTGATCACTGACTTGCAGCAAAGCTGGACTTAGGTGTTATCTAGTGCTGACACAGCACCACTTGTCACCAGCATGATGGACCTCATGAATGCCTACTTAGATTTCTGGAGGATAGGTGAAAACACAGTCAGACTGAAAGAGCAAGAAAATGCTAGGATTTTTAGCTTTAGCCATAGCTTGGTTCAGCTTCACTAAGGCCTGATTTTAGAGTAGGCCACAGTCAGTCCAGAAGGTGTCCAAACCTTATCGAAGGAGACCAGATCCTTAACTCTTTCAGGTTATAAAGAGCAGAGTGGTGGCATGCCTCCCTGTGGCAAGGGCTCTACCATGGGCAGGGCCAATGCTGGAGTCTAGGCCTGATAGGCATGAAGACTATGGAGATAGGGGATCACAGGCCTGTATTAATGAGGAAGCGTCCTCTTAGCCACAGACTACCTGGCATAGGAAGACAATCACCATGTTCACTAATGAATGCTGTAACCTGCAAGTAATCTCAGACCATCAAAAATGTCATGTGTGATTTGTACAGAATATAAAACAGACTCAGGGAGTTTGCTCTGGCCTCTTGTACCCGGCTCAGGTGCCAAGAGTCAAACCTGGGCTCAGCTGTTTCTTTCATTTGAATTATTCCTTCTTAATTCTCCCTGTGCCTAACTAATTTTGTTCACTGCTTACCTCTCAGCCTTGTACCTTGCAGGACTGCTATGTGCAGGCATGCAAGAGAAAAGAGGGCTCTTCCTTGGTTGGCAGATATAGTTATGGGTCAACAAACAGCCGCAATTTAAAGGAAAACATCACCTCAGCAAACAAAAAAACGAAGCTGACATCTGGCTCAGTTCATGATCAAGGAAAGCAGAAAAAAGGTGATGTACTAAAACCTTGTCCACATGTACAGTGTCAAAACGTGGGTTCTATTGGGCTGAGGACACAACAGTGTGCACAGAACCTGGGGTTTTTAGTGGGCCAAAGAGTAGGAAATGGTTGTTCAGTCAAAACAGAGTAACAGAAGGTAACTCTGAATGCTGTTGTTTCTTAGGTAGACAAAAGGCAATATTCATGCATTGGATATTATGAAAACAGATGAAAGAAGTAAGAAAGGAAGGGAGAGAGAGAAGAAGAAGAAGAAGGTAGGAAGGAAGAGAGAGAGAGGGAAGGGAAGCAAGAAAAGAAGAGAGACAGAGATTAAAAAAGAAAGGAAGGAAGGAGGAAGTAAGGAAGGAAGGAAAGAAGGGAGGAAGGGAGGGAGAAAGGGAGGGAGGGAGAGAGAAGAGCAAGAGGGAGGGAAGAAGGAAGAAAGGGAGGAGGAAAGGAAAGACAAATTGATATTAAGTATGACAAGAGATAGGGTATGACTGCGCTGCTTTGAACATAACAGTGTATTCATGAATCAAAACATGCTACTCTCTAGAGAATCAACAGACAACATGCTAACACATAGAAGTTAAGCAGACAGCAGCCATCAGCATTTTCCTAGCTCATGTAACACATGGTGAACAGGTAAGGGTACCTGACATGTCTCTCCACAAAAATGTGGATCTGACATAGGTTTCCTGTTGACACGCCCTGCACTTTGGGCTCCTGTCAAACTGTGAACCTGACAGGGAGAGCACAAACACTTCTCAGATGCTCACGATTCCAGCATCAAAGCCAGAGTGGTTAGCTGACCCGCACAAGGTCCTGCCACAAACAGAATGGCAGTCAGCAACAGAGTAAGTGAGGTTATTCCAGAAGACGTAACCATACAGGGAAACAAAGGAAAAAATCATTTTAAGGTGCTCAGCGCAATAGCTTGGCAGCTAAATCCTCACCTTTCATACACCAGGATCCCAAATGGGTGCCGGTTCGTGTCCTGTCTGCTCCACTTCTCACCCAGCTCCCTGCGTGTGGCCTGTGAAAGCAGTAGATGATGGCCCAAGGCCTTGGAACCCTGTACCCATGTGGGAGACCCAGAAGAAGTTCTTGGCTCCTGCCTTCAGATAGGCTCAGCTCCAGCCATTGTGGCCACTTGGAGAGTTAATCAATAGACAGAGGGTCTTTCTCTCTATATCACCTTCTCTCTGAATATCTGCTTCCCAATAAAAAAATGAAATAAATCTTACTTTAAAAGAAACAAAATAAAACCACCAAGAGCCCTGCTTCAACAAGATCCTAATAATCAGGGCTCAAGCAAGATGACGAATAGCTGTTGGTGGCTGAACACCAGCTCACTTCGGATATGTTGTGTTTGATCCACAAGGTTGAGTGATGAGGTCAGCATCTCCTGAGGACACCTTACCTCTATAGATTTAGAGTCCTCAGCACTCGCCCCGTTCACAGCATTTGTGGACCCTAAACTGAGATGCCTCCACAGAACCATTCAGCATCAGTATGTGTTCCTGCACAACCGTCAGCATAGATTGGTGACCTGAGACATGCTAGTTGTAAACTTACATGACATACAACCGGCACAATTCCTCCCATCTCCAGAACATTCCCATGCTACACAACATACACCAAAACACCTGGAGAAAACCCTAACAGCACTGCTCTAACACAGGAAATAGGACTCAGTGATTCAATCCCAGAATCACAGACCTCCAAAGTTCACGTTCCATTTCCACCTAACTTCCCTAACTGGCTTGAAATCGCTCCTTCATTAGACAGTTCAGCTCCCAGTGATGGCATTTCTATGCAACCAAAACCAGAGAAAGAAATATTGCCATGCCCACCACTGCACATGCCTGCTTCCTTTTGTGCTTTGTTGAAAACAGCAAAGAAACCCCCTTGATAATCAACATGCTGAAAGTTGTGCAAGAGCTCCAACCTGAGGCCACCAAGCTGTGGTCCTTGCACCAGAGGTGAATCTGAACATCAAAGGAGAGGGCTCCTTCACCCTGCAAACTTGAACCCTTTGGAAAACTGAGTAGATAAGGAAAGAAGAGACAAGTTTCCATTTGGAGTTTTTGCTAGCTGTAGCACCAACAGGAGAAAGGCAGCAATACTACCTGAGAGAGTGGCTTCCTGTTGGCACAGTTGATGCCCCCAATGAAGACCATGTTGGGCATGATGGGCCTAGGGTAGTCCAGCACAAAGTCTCCTCGAAACAGCCACACAGAACCATGGCTGAGGATGTCCATCAAGGACACATCTCTCTGAAAAAGCTCAGATGCAAGGCTTGCATAAGGATCATAAGACATGTGACAAATGGACTTGAGGCCCAGAGGGTAGAGCATGTTCTTGACCCTTTGCAGGAAGGTCATGTGGTCTGAGTTCATTGTCATGAGCTTGGGTATATATGAGGAGGGATTGGGACACTTTGTGGCCTCAAAGTCCAGATCACAAGGAACAGCGCGCAAAAAGAACACAGCAGGAATCGACAGGTACTTAGCCAGCAGTCCCCCGCAGGGGAAGACAGGGTCAGTTAGAACCACATCGAAGGAACTCTCATTCAAATGTCTGATCAGGGCTGTATTGTGCAACATCTCTGAGCAGGTCTCATAATACAACTCAGAACCACGTTTTAAGTTTGCGAGAGTTTCCAATAATGTCTTCAGAAAATGTTGCGTTTTGAAGAGCATTTGATTGTGACGTTGGAAATCATTGTCAAATTCCTCTTGGGAGTAAGAAGTAGGGAAGGTTTGCAGAGTGAAGAAGTCCTCTTCTTTGATGTGCAGATTCACTTCTGGTGCAAGGACCACAGCTTGGTGACCTCGGGCGTGGAGTTCCCGCACAACTTTCAGCATGCTGAGCCAGTGGCTTCCATCCATGGGTACCACAAGCACCTTGCCACCCTTAGCCCAGGGCAGAACACACAGCCAGAACAGCATCCCCACCAGTCCCAGCAGGGGGTTCTGCAATAGCAGCACCATCTCAGCCGAAGATAACAGCACCTCACTCTCCACGCCAGCCTGTACCTCCTACCGCAGCTTTTCCAAACTTTATGTTGCTATCACCAGGTTGATTATTAAAGCAGCATGCCATTGGAAGGCCCAGAGCCCTCCCTCAAGTTAATCATTATGTAATTTATCTGTCTTACTCTATCATGACTGCCAAACCCTCTGCCCCCTTTCAGTAGAGGCCTTTTGCACATCCCCTATCTGGATGAAACTCATCTAACCCTACAACTAACTATGGGGGCATTCGAGTTCAGGTTCCTGTAGTTCACTCTAATTGCACAATATGAGTTTGGACACACATATTATTGTGCTATTGAACCCAGGCGGCTGGAGTAGAATCTACCAAACTAGAGGTAACTGCAAGTCCCATACTTCCACCAAACATGCAATTCTCTTCTCCCACCAAAACCAATTGAAGAACACGACAAGGAGCAAAACATACCACCCTTACCCTAAGTCTAAGCAGTGTGGCTCAGAGCTAGACACCAGCCACTAGGCAGAGAATGGGAACCACTAATAGGTCCTACACTTGGATCCCAAGACAAGGAATGCTAAGGTGGATTCCAACAGAATCTTGGCACATTGCCTACAGATAATTCCAGGACCGGGTGGGAACTGGAGAGCACAACACAATAGACGCATAGTCATGTTCACATCACTACTGGCCCTGGCTGAACCTGGGTGTCAACATGGAACTTCACTGGTATTTATGACTATGTGCTTCAGCCACAAACCGTCTCAGTGTCAGCCTCAGCAGCAAACAGAGGCCTCCATCATCCCATCCCCACCTCAGACAACACAGGTGGATAAAGATTCCGTCTGTTGGGGATGGAAGCACAGAAGGAATGGCAGGGGTTTATCTAGGAACTCAGTGGAGCATCCACCATAGTAAACCTCAACGCTGAGCTGAACCCAACTGCCACTGCCCTGGGCTCCACACACAGAGCCTGTGGACCTCCCAGAGCTACAAGTGGAGATCCTGACTCCACTGGGATGTCCATGTGTCCCAGCCCATATCACCCCTGCTAATGCAGCAGCCCAGCATCATGAGGGGACCACCACAGCAGGAAGAGCACAGCTTTGTGGGTCTTGGATGTGCTCCTGTTCTGTTGAGTTTTGCTCTGGTAGCTTTGTAACCCACCACAGCATTGCTTACAGTGGCCAGAGGACTTCTTATCGTAGTCTCCTCCTAACCACAGATAGCAGGAGGAGATCATGGTCCAGTAGGAGGAAGAAGAGGTGGGTAGACATCAGACCATGCTCTAGACATTAGGTAAAGCCAGCTATGGTGAGATCCAGTGTCAGGGACTTCGTGCCTTAATCTCTGCCTCAAACACATAAGGATGATTTAGATGAAGTATTAATAGTCTATCAATGTAAAGACAAGCTTCTTGAATTTGTGCTATTAAAAAATACATATCCTCTAGGATTTGGCTCATTTTTGAGGTCGTTACTTTTTAACAGCAACACTGTCATCAAAATGTTCCACATCTCCCATAATCTCAAGGATCAATCAATAAAATAAATACAGGATTTAGCAACAGAAGCAGCATATTAAGACAGTGTACATACTGACCTAAATCATGTATTTTTATGTGTCTGTTACAGATGACATAGCATTTTGGAGTTTAATTCCCTCACTTGGCTTAACCAAGAAATGCTGACATTTCAACCAATCTGGAACAGCATGAAATGCAAGACCCCTCAGAGGGACAAGATGACTCAAGGGGATTGCTGTTCCTCTAATCACCTGGTTGGGAGCTGTGCTGGGAAGTCACGCACTTGGGATTTCTGAGAAGGTGGGGACAATAATCCATATTGCAGGCACTGGGAAAATTACTCAATCCTTTAATGTGCAATGGTTGCATACAACCAATAAGCATCAGGGAATCCTGACCTTGTCAACAGACAGAATGTCCAGAAATGGATATTCACCATGAACAATAGGCTTCTGTCCGTGGATGCAAGGATGGACACACAAGTCAATACATACGATAAGCCACAGTAGCAGAAAGAAAGAGTAAAATTACGTGAGCATTCCTGTAGATGCAGAAGTACTCAGTGTAATCCAACACTCGTACACGCTAAAAGTTCTCCAAAAGTTAGCTACAGGACGAACACACCTGCTATGCCAGACATTACAAGCATACAACCAAATCAGATGAAATGGGAGAAAGCTGGCCTCTCTACATCTAGATCCAAAAAAGATATCTGATCTCATCACTTTATTCAACAAAATCTGGGAATCAAGCAAAGGCAAGAATAAAAAACATCCAGGAGGAAAGTGATTCCCACCATTTGCAGATGAGGTGACCTTCCCAATCAGATGACATGAACTAACCTATCAGCTCAGCAGCATTGGAGCAGACCTGATCAACATCCAATGTCAGTAGCAATCCCACACGAACAACAAAGGAACACCACAAAGCTAAAATATGGATGGAAGAGACTGGAGAAGACACATACACAAAAGGAGTGACAGATGTGATTGTGGGCTGGGAGAATTGTTCGATTGTCCATACTGCCTGGAACAGTTTACAGCTTCAATGCAATCCTTATTAAAATACTGAGGGCATTTTTTACAGATCTAGGAAAGACCATCTTAAAATTCACAGGAAACCACAAAAACCCCTCCATTGAAAATATACTATAATTACAGCAATCCAAGTGCCATAACACTGAGATTAAAACATACAAACCAAGATAACAAAATGGAGAGCCTGGGAATAAACCCATGCACCTGCAGCAAGCGCATCTTCCACAGAGATGCTTAAAGTACACATTAGGGAAAGGACACCTACCTCTTCAATTACTGGTGCTGGAAACTTAGGGTTTTCACATGAGGAAAAGCAAAAATACACCTACATATACAAGAGGCAAAATGAGCTGAAGCCTTACATGTGAGACCCAAACATATGTGACAGTTAGAAGAAAACAGTGAAGAAATGCTTCCTAAATTAGACCGGCAATTTGTATTTTTCATAACACCACAGAGCAGGAAATTAATCTGAAAACAGGCCAATGAATTTAATTAAACTCAAAAGCATCAAAGGAAACAACCAACAGAACGGAGAAACCACAACAAAATGGAACAAAATATTTGGAAACTATACATCTAGTAAGAATTCAATATCCAGAATATAACAGTAATTCAAGCCACTCAGTAGCAAGGAGCCAGTAACTTGCTAAGAAGTGGACATTGTGGACATTGCAACCATCTGGGGACAATTCAGCAGACAAAAGTGCTGTGTCTGTGTGTGTGTGTGTGTGTGTGTGTGTGTCTGCCTGTCTGTCTGTGTGTATGCAACTTTTCTCATTCTGTGATTCTTTCAAAATTATTAAACATTTTTTTTTAAAAAAATGATTCACTACAAAAACTGAAACAAACATGGCTTATATTCAGGGTCTATAAAAGACACCCCTAAATTCTCACTAAAGCAAATTTGCAATCAGGACATGAACCAGGAGAGGAGATTTTGGTCAAAGGTCAGGTTCTCCTAAAGAATCCCTCCCATTTTTGCACACTTGTGCTCCTCTGTGACAAAAGTATCCTATAATTGTAGGCACTCCGCTTTGTCTCCTCCCTAGCAACATCAAATACTGTTGAATGGTTTCCCAAGTTGAAGATTCCTTTGGCAGGCAGCCATCACCGACACACAACTCTGCTATGTCCCCTCATCATGGCCCAGAAACAAACTTCTACACAAAAATCCTGCTGCCAACAGTGCTGCATCAGAGGAAGCAGGACTCAGAGGTTTCATTCTCCTAACACAAAAACAATATCCTCCTTGTCTCTCTTGTGATCAGCTCATTTCTGTGCTTCTGAAGCGACCATGGCCTTGGAGAGTTCAGGTGGCTTTGCTCATATTTCTATCCTTTCCAATAGGGGATTACGGAAAATGATCACAATCGTATTGCAATTGACTTTTATGTTTTTCCTTCTGCCAAGAATCCACAAGTCACCACTCCCCTCCCTAGGAACTAATCATATGGGTCAGTTCACACCTCAGTTGCACTGCACCTGCACAGAGGCACTGAGTCATACATCCAAGAAGATGGCGGCAAACACATGGAGAGACTTGGAGTCTCATTATTGCTGGCCAATTCTATTACAAGGCTCCCTCCTTCTCACTCCTCTTAGGGCACCAAAACAATTTCTACTACTGAAGACTTCAACAAGAATGAGAGATGGAGATAACTGGAAAGACGGAGACATGAACAAGCATTTGCACATCGCAAGATATTGGAGAGATAAAGGCAGCCATACTACCTGAGAGAGAGGCTTCCTGTTGGCACAGTTGATGCCCCCAATGAAGACCATGTTGGGCATGATGGGCCTAGGGTAGTCCAGCACAAAGTCTCCTCGGAACAGCCACACAGATGCATGGCTAAAGATGTCCACCAAGGACACATCTCTCTGAAAAAGCTCAGATGCAAGGCTTGGGAATGCATCATAAGAAATATGGCAAAAGTACTTCATGCCCAGAGGGTAGAGCATGTTCTTGACCCTTTGCAGGAAGGTCATGTGGTCTGAGTTCATTGTCATGAGCCTGGGAATATATGAGGAGGGGTGGGGACATTGTGTGGCCTCGAAGTCCAGGTCACAAGGAATGCCATTCAAGAAGAACACAGTAGGAATCGACAGGTACTTAGCAAGCAGTGCTCCACAGGGAATCATGGGGTCTGTTAAAACCACGTCAAAAGAGCTGTCATTGAGGTGCCTGATCAGGCTTTTGTTGTGCAGCAGCTCTGAGCATAACTGGTGATAGAACCTAGCTGCATTTTTCAGGTTCTCTTTATTTTCCAGGATAATCTTCAAGAAATGCAGTCTTTGAAAGATCATTTCATTGTGTCGCCGAAAGATGTCTTGAAATTCCTCCTGGGTATAAGAAGTGGCATAGGTCTTCAAGGTGAAATATTCCTCTCCTTTGACGTGGATGCTCACGTCTGGTGCAAGTACCACAGTCTGGTGGCCTCGCGCGTGGAGCTCTTGCAGCACATTCAGCATGCTGAGCCAGTGGCTGCCTTCCACAGGCACCACCAGTACTTTTCCACCCTGAGCCCATGGCGGGACACACAGCCACAGCAGCCCTGCCAGCCCCAGGAGGGGCGTCCGCAGCCCCAACACCATCTCAGCAGAAGGAACACAGAACACGCTCTCCTCAGCAGCCTATCCCAGCCTTTCTCATTTTTATATTGTTGTCGTCAATTGCTTATCACAACAGCATGCCAATGGAAGACAAAGTGCAATCCGCAAATTAATCTTTGTGCAATAAGCCTATCCCTCACTTTTATGAGAGCCCTACCCTCTGCCTCCACCCAGGAGGGGTGGGGCCCACAGCCACATTCGGTACAAACTCCTCTGACCCTGCCACGCTCTGGGGAGCATGCTAGTGCAGGCTCAATTCTTCTTAATACTGCCCAAACCAGGATTTTTCTTACCACTCCAAAAACACACCTTTTTCTTACCAACATCTGCTACTTCTCCTTTGCCACTCTTTAACAGGGTGCAACTGATTTATCAACTATACTCTAAGAATTCTAGTCTCTGCCGTATGTGGCCTGATGCCATACTGTGTTAACTCTTTGCCCTCTCACCTGGGGAGATGGCTGATTACAGGCACCCAAGCAATTCCCTGATAAAGAAGGATCATGAGCATAGAGAAAAGCAACTACTACTAGACTATAACCCTTATGGGAGTGTGTCGGAGGGCAGTTGGCACAAAAGGGAAAGCCAGCCCCTAAGGCCACTGGAAACAGCTGACCCTATTCAGACACCACAGAATGACAAGTGCACACTGGGCTTCAGCCTGCCCTGCTATTGCTTGTTCTTGGGGTTCAGAGTGCCGCTCAGGCTGCTGGGGTAATGAAACCAGTGACTTCACAAGTCCAAGCCACGCAGTGCAGCTTCCCTGCTCCTGCCAGGTTCCCTTCCAGCTTTGCCAGGGACTCCACACCTCCTTGCCTACTAGAGCAGTCCCTGCCAGTACCGCTCTCCAGGACCGAGTCCTGCCCAATCATCACTGATGCACAAGCCTTGCAGCCCCCAGCCTGCTGTGGTGGGTGAGCCCTCTTCTAAACTCAGGGCCTGTGGAGTCCGACAGCCCACTACAGCTGCCATGTGTGTGCACTGCGTACACGTGCCTGGGCCCTTATGAGTAGTCATACTATGGGTACTACATATCTCTGCTATGTGCTCCACACCCCTACAGGACCTGTGGGCACAGACAGGCTCTCTGCCCCATAGGCCACAGTCTCCACACCCAGAACCTCTGATAAAACTGAACAAGTCGTACAGAGAATACACAGGTACTCAATAGAACCAAATCCAACACAGCCCAGAAACCAACCCTGAAGACACTTCACTGAGAGAAACCCTCTTTACACAAATACTGCTGAACACAGCCAGGACAGACCCCAGATCTGCCAGACACACAGACACCAGCACAGGCGCAGAGGTGTAAAAGTAGGCTGATGTGGCTTCTACCAGGAGCACACTCCACAGAAAAGAATTCTGACCTAGTGCCTGTTAAGCCATTCAAAACAGCAATATAAGAAAACTCATTGAGCTGTAACAACATCCAGACAATTCATCACAACCATGCAAGCAATTCATGATATCAATTCATGACATGAAACCATTAAAACAGCCAAACAGGATAGACTCAGTGTAACACCTTATCTCTTACAAGCACTAGGATCCCATATGGGCGCCGGTTCCTGTACTGGCTGCTCCACTTCCATTCCAGCTCCCTGTTTGTGGTCTGGGTAAACAGTCAAGGATGGCCCAAGACCATGGACTTTGCACCCATGTGGGAGACCTAGAGGAGGCTTGTGGTTTCCTGCCTTTGGATCGGCTCAGCTCTGGCCGTTGTACCTATCTGGGAAGTGAACCAGCAAATGGGAGATATTTCTCTCTGTCTTTCCTTCTCTCCATCACTCTGGTCTGCCTTCCCAATTTACAAATAATGAGACAAATAAGTGAGCCAAACAGGAATGTAAGAGCCCAGTTCACCAATCGAGAGAGCTCTGTCTCAGGGCATGCAGGTTGGAGACTTGCGAGTTGGAGCAAAGTCTCTTGCTAGAGTCTCAAACAGCCAGATTGAGGACCCTGGGCATAAACCGGCAGGGGGCATAAGGTCCTGCCCTGGGGTGGTGCCCTGTGTAGTATGTTCCCCTTCTTAGGTTAAAACAAGGACACCCTAGGCTGCTTCAGCCTCAAAGTCCAGGAGCTCTGGCAATCTACAGCTGGTTGGAAGCACGGGGTGGGGTAGGACAGGGCCATTAGATAAGACAGAGACAGGTAGGAAAATCTGATTCTCTGAGTCTTCTTACCACATTTTGAGACCCATCTTCCCTCCAATCAGACGTTTCAAAAACTGTTGAGAAAGCAGTTTGCTAAGCCACTGGAAAGCCATCAGCACCATGACATCCTACACCATTCCTCATGGACCCAGCCCACAGTGAGATGTCCTTATTTGTAAAGAAGAGCTATATTGAAAAGAATAGGAAGAGAAACAGAGAATCCGCCCCCTACCTATACATCCCCCAATGGATGCAACAGCTGGTGCTGGACAAGGCAGAAGCCAGACACCAGGAACATCATCTCTGAGGGTGGCTGGGGCACTCTGGCAAGTCCAGCCAGTGAGCTCTAGTGGATGTTGGCTGCTCACAGAGGACTGACCCCCTGGCTGGGACTTCAGGGACATCCCAGCAAGAGTCTGACTTTCCCTCGGAGACATCCCCCTTTCTTTCTGCCAGGGCATCAACTGCATGCCTGTTGATGATTTCCTGGTCAAGGACATGAGATTTGGGGCACTGACCGGCTCAAATACAGGTAAAGAACGAATGTGACCCAAGGCTGGGTGTGCCTGGGAATCCACTGTCCCCAGTTCTATTCTAATTGAATTGCAGATTAACCAAGTGCTGACATAAATGGAAAATACTAAATTAACCCAAATGCAGTTTTAGTTCCCATGATTATATGAATATTGGATAAACAATCTGCCTCCAATGTATTAGTAAAAGGAGAAAGAGGTGTGCTGAAAATGGTTAGCATCACTTGGGTCTGTTGTATCCTATTGTCTCTTTTACAAGTCTTAAGATCATAAAAAATACAGATGGAATCTAAGGCACAAGTGTTCTGTGTATCAAGGATAACAAATGGATTTTAAGGGATGACTCTTTGCATGCTTGAATAAACCTGTGTTCTAGCATCAGCTCTCTGGGAAACCTGACTTGACTGGCATCGCAAGTCTTAATCAGCGAAGAGTTTGAACTCCTGTCTCCAAAGCTTCTCCCTGACCCACCTACCAGTGCTCTTTCTCCACCAGCAACTCCTCAAACTTCTCTCTAAACAAGGGCTGGCTCCCTACTACGGACTCTTCCATTTCCATCCAGTCTCCCTAATGTGCACCTGACACAAACTCATGCAACTTTGATGCACACATCAGAAGACAGGGTTCTGATATGCATCCGTGCATGACACAAACCAAACCCTGCTGGGTAAGGTGTGCAAGTGGGAGCATGAGGGGCGATCATCACTCACAGGCTCTGATGACGCCAGACACCAGTGGAAGTTCTGCAGGTTGAGAGAACGTAACCCCTGCACCAAGCCTGAATCCACACAAAAGTTACCAAAAGACTTCCACCACAGTGAGCATGTCAGCAGAAAGCACAGCACAGCACAGCGTGACTCAGCTGCACAAAGAGGGAGAGCACTGACGGACAGAGACAAATGAAGGAAACTCAGGGAAGTTTGTGAAGTGGGAGTAAGAGGGTCATCATTAAACAATCCACGTGTCATTTTCTCTAAGTGTTTTCCGCCAAATTTGGATGATCATGTATGGATAGGATTTAAATTTTTTCCATCAAAATAATCCTGTCTTTTGCTTCCACGTCCATATACTGTTTGACGCCACCTGCATGGGGTGACTATGAGGATTGCCGAAGTATTCTAAAATTGATGCTCACAGGTCTCTGTAGATACTAATACCCACAGTATTGAAAACATCAGATAGTAAATTCTTATGTGATTTGCCTCTTCAAACAACCCACTTAATTTTTTAAAAGCACAAATAAAAAAGTCTTCATTAATTTCATTCTCCAAGTATCACCTGCATTACTCCTCAACAAGTCTCTTGGTTTAAAAAATTTCTGAATCATTTGAGTATTTTGTCAATTATTTAGGAAATCACTTATTAACAGCAATACTATTAAAACTTTCCATGCCTCTGATAATCTCTAAAAACAGCAATCATAAAGATAAACACCGGATTTTGAAAGAGGTCACATTTTAATGCCAGTGCTGACACTGGTCTAAGGTGTGTTCTTTCAAAGTGCCTGTTAAGGATGACATGGCATTTTGGGATTTGTTTCCTTCTTTGCCTATCCTAGAAACACTGACATTTCAGGCTGGACCAGTGTGAAATGCAAGGGCCAGAGCCGCGAGAGGAGGAACGAAAGCAAACAAAGGGAATTGCTGCCCCTTACCCCTTCACCACCTGTGTAGGGCTGCACACTGCACAGGGGCCCTTGTCTCCCAGAGTTCTCCCATGAACTTGCTCTTACCTGCCCCTCCACACCTTACTGGGCATTCCCCTTCTGTACACAGAGGAATTAGGCCTTGGAACTAAGCCACCACGTGCCCAGTCACAGGGCTGGGCTCCAATCCACACCTTGTAGTTCTTCACCTGTGTGTTCTTGCTGTACTAATATAATGGGAGCAAGGAGGGAGTCCCTGGTCAGCAGAGGAGGCTGCAGCCCCCTTCCCCTTCTCTCCTTTAGAGCCAGTGGGACAATGAGGGTGTACTCCTTCCCAGAGCCCTGGCTCTCTTCCACTGGCTCCACGTCCTTTTGCAGTCCTATCAGGGAGAAGAACAGGCACTTCTTGGCACTCCAAGGGCAAGAAACTAGGACTTCACTCTGATTTCCTTGATTCCAATGCCCCTTCTGATCATGAAATCTTGGACTGAACTGTCTTCTGAAGCAGTGACATTGGACACTAACAGCAAAGATGTGACTCAACTGAGTTCAAGTATGACAACGCAGAATCTGACCACCTGTTGGCCAACTGTAAAGGCCTCAAGAACAATGCTCTTTCTTAGGCAAACTGTGTGTGATTCTATGGGAAGGAGCAGGGGCTAGAGAGGAAGGCAGAATGGCATCAGAGGCCCCTGTGATGTTCTGGCACAATCAGAACACTCCTGGGGCTAATGAAGGTGCCCCTGCTGGGAGAGTTGGCCTTGGGAAATCTAGGGGTAAGAAGATTCTGAACCTACAGGGCTGCCCCTTGATGCTGTCCCTCCCAGTGGTTGCCACCAGCCAGATACCCAAAGGACTTCTCCAAAGGCCCATCGAGGCAGGAACAACTGACCGGTCCTCTGAGATGCCATGCTCATTCTTCTAGACCAGAGGTGAGTAGAGTCTGAGTCAGTCACATGAACATGAGCATAAATGAGGAGCTCTCCTACACGGGACAGGCAGAGATCACTGAGTGGGTCCTCTGCCCTTGAACCTGACACACAGCATTATGCAAGGAATGTTTACCAAGCTAACAATTCCAAAGAGTTCTGTGTGTTTTGTAGCTATGCTTGGATGACACGATTACAGCCTCTATCTGGTCGCAAACCAACTTCCGTCGTGCTAAAGTAAACATCCTTCAAACAGCTAATGCTGTCTGATTATTTCACAGGAGAAAGGTGATCCACCATGAATCAGTTGCTGAAAACTAAGACCCAACCTGATGATTATCCCCATAATACGGGACATTGTCTGCAAGCTCACACGGGATGACAGTGACATGCAGAGGAGGCAGACCAGAGGTGGTCCCATTCATTGCTCAACACCCAGCTTCATTGCAGGTGATGCTTACACAGTGGAGGGGACCAGGAAGCCAAAATGACATTGTGTTCCTATGCCCACACCACATAGGAAGAATTCACTTTTAAAAAGCCTATGTAAATCCTGTGGACTTACATGCCTCTGGTTCAATCTCCCTGAACCTCAGAGATTCTATTTCACAACAGGAGTTCCCAAGAGCCACTCCATAGTGCTCAGCCCTCTGCCTCTCATTCTCACATGAGCTCTGCCAAATGTTCCGTGTGTGAACAGAGAAACCACAGCTGGAGAAAACCATGGGAAAGGTCTTTGATTCAGACTTCTTGCTGATGGAAAACACATGGGAAAGAAAATCCTAGCATGAAGATGGAGTTGTCTGAAAATTTCCAAGGTATAAGTACTTAAAAAGAAAAGAGAAAAGAAAAGGCTCACAGGATTCTATTTTGGAGTGGTGCTGTGTGCTGCACTTCGCTGCTCAGGAGTGTGTGTAGGAATGTTCCTGCATTCAGAGACCACCTGTCAGTATCTGCACAGCTCTGAGCAGGTGGGCTCTGTGGGCAGCATACAGCTCAGTCGCATATTCTGTGTGGGGGCTTGAAGGATTTCCACCTCCCTTTAAAACCAGGAAACTGGAGACCAGTGCTGTGACCCAGCTGGACAGCCTCACACTTGTGATGTTGTAGCACAAAGGGTGTTGGCTCAAGTCCTAGCTGATCCACCTTCAATCCACTAATGGCCGGTAACAGAAGATGCACTAGGTGGTTGGGTCCCAACATCCACATGGCAGATTCCAGGTAGACTTCCAGGCTCCTGGCTTCAGTCTGGTCCAGGCCTGTACATTGTGGCCATTTATGAGTTAAATAGAAGAGAATGCATGGATGATATCTCCATAGATTATATAGGTACGGACATAGATCTGTCAGTAACTCTACCTTTAAATTATAATAAGCAAATCATCTCATAAAAGGTATCTAAATAATTCTTAGCTCTAAGCCATACAAAAACAGAACTGTGGGAATGCAGTTACTAAGATACCAATTGGACACATGCATTGAATCGAAGATCTCCTGGGTTGAAACCCTGTTCCCCACTTCAGCCTGACTGTGCCCTGACACCAGGCATATTTTAGGAGGGAAGGAAAAGAGGAGACAAAAACATCTACCTATCTCTTAACTGTTTCTCCATGACCATAAATAAGCAAATAAATTATTCTAAAAAAGGATCTACTTTAAAAGGTGTGGGATTTATTCAACCCAGAACCCAGAAACAAAGCCTGCCACACAGTTAGGACAACTGGATTTCAGCTACACACATCACACGTGCCTTGGTCACACTTGCATCTCTACTGGTCAGGAATACTTATTGCTAAGCTCTTTCAATGATCCTGTCATTGTCCCCAGATCAAGCAAATGTAGCTATTGCTGTCACTCTGAGCTTATTCCAACACCTCCACGTGCCCTAGGCCTCAAGTCCTCACACACTCTGGTTGTTCCAGACCCACCAACACCTCCCCACAACCATTTCTTCAAGCAATGTTCCCCCAAAGCAAGAAAGCAAATGTGTCGAAGAAGACAGGGCCCATGAGAACAGGGTCTGCCCACCAAAAGCCCATCCACCAACCTGAGGCAGGGCGCCCTCCTTCTTGCAGTTGATGCCCCCGATGAAGACCATGTTGGGCATCACAGGCCTCGGGTGCTCCAACACAAAGTCATATCTGAGCAGCCACATGGAGTCCTTGTGAAACAAGGTGGCCAAGTCCACCTTTCTCTGCAGGAGCTCCGAGGCCAGCTCCTCATACTGCGAATACAGACAGTAAAACAGAGGGATCTCCAGCAGGTTGACGAGGAAGTTGACCACCCGCTGTGGGAAAGTCATGCGGTCCGTGAACTTGGTATAGCACCTGGGGATGTAAGACACTGGATTCGGGCTCCCACCAAACCCATGTTCCAGGGAGCAGGGGAAGCCCCTGAACAGGTACACAGAGGGCAGGCCCAGGTACTCAGCCAGGATAACACCACAGGGCAAGGCTGGGTCCGTGAAAAGAGCATCAAACTTTTGCTCCCTGAGGAAAGCCAAGGTGTCTTTGTGCCTCAGGAGGCTCTGGCAGTTTGTGTTATACATGCTGATCACAACCATGTTATTCCCGTACTCAGTCAGTGGCCCACTCAGCCAGTGCCGGTACGTGAAAAGCTTTTCTCCAAAGGTGCGGTAACGGTTCTTCTGCTCTTTCTCATCAAATGGCACCGGGTAGATTCTTCTCTTGTAGTACTTGGACTCTTTCAGGAGCAAATTGACTTCTGGCACCAGCACCATGATGTCATGGCCCCTCTGACTGAGAGCCTCCACTATGTCCTGCATGCTGAGCCAGTGGCTTCCGTCCTGAGGGAACACCAGCAGCCTGTCCCCCATCACCACGGTGCCCCAGAGTAGTAAGAAGAGAGCCCCTGCACGTGCTCTCTGACAGGCACACGGCAGCCGGGCCATCCTGCAGAGAGTCAAAGTGACAACAATAACAAATGTTCACACACCCTGTCCAAAGCAGCTTCCCGCAAGCCGGACAGTGGTTTTGCCAGACTCTCTCTCCCAGACTCTGGATCCAGCCCTCTGATTTAAATGAGCCTAGATTAATCTTTAACCACTTGGCAAGCCAACAGCCTACTTCAGCCTACTTGCGCCAATGAGCGCCTCAGGAGCTTTCACCTGTGATTCTAGGCTGACCTCCCCACCTGTCTCCAATCTGACTTTCCCTCCTAAAGATTCATAGCAAGTGTGAGCACAGGCTGCAAAGAACCCTGGCACGATCCCTCCCCTCTGCCATCACCATCCTGAATTCTTGAATCTCTCATGAACCATGACCCTCATGGTTGAAAAATATCAAGTCTACATTCTTTTTCCATGTTATTTCAGAACACAAAGGAAGCATTAACAGGTAACAAGCTCAAGACAAAGAAGCTGGCCACTTCTAGTATCCATGGTGATGAATGGGTGCAGAGCAATAAGGGAGCCGAGTCAGCACAGGAGGAGACTGAAAAAGTTCCACCTGCCATGCCCTTGGCAGAGCTTCTGTCATCAGCATTTTCCATTATCTACAGCAGAATCTAGTCCAAATGGGATCGAAGGCCATAATTTCTGCTTTCATTGTGGCTAAGACCATGAAGTCTGTAGTCAGCCTGCCCCTTCTCAGCTCCCAGCCACAAGGGCTTCATCTGCCTAGTAAGAATTGCTTCCATGCCCACTGCAGGACTGCTATGAAAGCTGCCTGAGCTAATTCTCATCAGGACAAGGATGGACACCTCTGCCCATATCAATCGCATACAATGGAAAGGGTAAGACATAAATTCTGCAAAATCTCTGAACACAAGACTCAACCCTCGCCTGGTGAGCTAGAGTTGAAAATGACAGGAAAGAGGGGGAAGAAAGAAGAGGTAGAACTAGAGATCAGGGGGCAGGGAGGAACACGCCAGACATAGGGTGGACAGGCAGCAGGGTGTGCATAGCTCGGCCAGAAGTTAACACTAAAGGAGGTTCCAAGGAAGTTGCCTGGCTTCTGGGAGTTTTCTGGCAATCTTGGGGATCCATTCATATTCAGAACAAATTCCACAATTTCGACCTTTCGTTGCCATGATACTCTCCCTGTATGCATGTCTCTCTGTCTGAATGTCCCCCTTATGATGAGGATGCCAGTCTACCAGATGAAGACCCTCGCTGAAGCCCTCACTATATTTAGTACCAGATGCTATCGCTTTTCGCAACAAGGTCACGTCCTGAGCACTGAGTGCCAGAGCTTGGACACATCCTTAGGGCCCACATCTAGCGCACAGCACCATGGAGACACTTGTGCCAGGATGAACATGATGCACATATGTCATCTGAGTCCAACCTCACAATGTGGGCATGAATACGCTTCCATGCAGACAACCCAAGTCTTCCTGCCACGGCAGAGGAATCTGTTGTTAAATCCTGCGTAGTGATAACAAACCTTTTCCATAAAGGCCCAGGTGGGAAACATTTCAAGTTTTGCCAAAGCACTCAGCCTCTGTGTTAATAACCCAATGAAACCAACAACCACAAACAACACTGAAAAGTAGATGTGGGCTGTGTTCCGGTAAAAGTTCATTTGCAGAGACTGACCACCCATTAAGATTGGCCCTCTCTAGATTCTGATACAAACCAAGATGTCAGGTCTACCCCAGAGAGCCACATGGCTTGTGAGCTCTCTGCCTGCCAGTTTCAGGTAGTGAATCAGTCCTATGGAGGCTGCCCTTGTCCAACAACACGGCCCATCCCTCCAGAGTCCCTCCCTCCTTCTTCAACAGCCTCCTTTCCTTCAGTGCACTTTTTTGTGGTTTCATCAAGCAATGCAGGCACCTTGAGGGAAAGGACCATGTCCTTTGCTCCCTGCTTTGTCCCCAGAGCCTACAACGACGTCTGCTATGCAGTAGGGCTCTCAGCACATGGATGCAACAGCTTTGTATTACATATCCATTCTATTCAGGATCTCATTTCCTCGTTTCTTTCCTGTAGTCAGGATCCAACAGGAACTGGGAAGAAACACCTATTCCTCAGGAGCTGGTCACTGGCTCTATCTACACGCATTTAAGAGAAAACACACAACTGACCTCTGCTTCCATGCCACACTGAACACAGTGCACACCTGTGACCACATGTGTGGGCTTCTTCATACACACCAGTTCGCAAACACCCACTGCGTGTCTGCAGTAGCTTCCAGTACGGACACTGGCCAGAGACCCCACTGACCCACAAGGCAAGGGTTCATTCTCCTAAGGCTGCCCCGCTCTTGCACCAGCCACAGGAATGCTTGCCCAGACAACCCATCACTTCTGTCTGACTTGGCTGCAAGTCAGGGGCTTCCACACCCTCTATCTTGGCTCAGTTACTTGCTGGGATGACTCAGAAGATCAGGGAAAACAGTTTATGGAGTCAGTTACCAAGGGTGTGGTAAACAGCCCAGTTTAAAAAAAAAAAAGAAAGAAGGTTACAGGCAAGGGGCCAATGCTCCCTCCCTTGGGAGTGCCAGTCTTCAGTCCACTGCAATGCAGGCCTCGGGACTCTGTCCTTTGGGGTTTTCATGGGGACTTCATTAAGGCATCATTGACTATGGACAATCAGCTCAACTTTCAGCCACTACCTCTCATTCACCAGCCCCTACCACCACCCAGGCACAAACTAATTGCCCTGGATACCAGTCTCCATTCTTCAGGATTTTCTGGAAGCCACATGAGTCATAAACTCAGGCTTGGTCAAAAAGGGCTCATTTTTATCAACCCAAAAGCACTTAATTCCACTTTCACCTTCCTGTCACTAAAGTCTGAGGAGCTCTGTCCCAGGAAACACAGACTAGGACCAAAAGTGACACTTCGTTGCTTAGATCACAGCATCAGAACATGTAAACCATTGCTTACCTTGAAGAAATTCAGTCTTGAGAAGGGAAGGCAGCACATAGAGTGATGAGGGCCCTTGGGGAAGAAGTCAGCAAGCCTAGTGTCTGCTCCCAATGCAGCCACCCATCAGCCAGGGGAGGAGTTTAACTGTTGCTGAGCCTCAGGTTTCACAACTCAGAGCCAAGGGGCGGGTCACATCCATTGTCCCCACCCTCCCCTTTACTGTGGAGGGCCCAGAGGAAGGCAGATGTGGACTCTACAGCATCTACTAGAGGCACAGTCCCTAGGATATCAGGGCAGAGCTGCCCAGACCAGGTCATGTGCAGGCCTGTTCCACCCGACGTATTTGGCATGCTACGACCGTGGGAAAGAGAAAGCAGCCTGAGGAACAGCATTACCAGCCTCATGGCAAGCTCCTTTTCACCTGGGAACACAGCCAGACGCAGGAAGTTCACCATGCAAGGCATTTCAAGGTTTAGCTTCATCCAAACTGGGTGCAGCTTTCCAGCACCCACTCTTTCTGTCTTCCCTGCCAGAGAGGCACAAGCAGGGTTCCTGCTAACAACGATCAGAGGCCAGCAAGTGGCAGGAATCTGCCTGGCACCCATACAAACAGCAGTAAGTGCCCAGATAGTAACCCAGGGATCGGAGCAGGACCCCACCCTGCACACGATGAAGAGCTGGCCAAGGCCACTTGCAAGATTGGTCAGTTTGAGTGAACCTGCAAAGCCTCACGAAAAATGGCAAGATAAGCACACGGAGCAGGAGTTTGGTGTAGTGGTAAAATGCAGCTTGGGATGCCCACATCCTGTGGTCGAGTATCTGTGTTTCAGTCTCAGCTCTGTTTCCATCAGTGTTCCATACTAGGGTTCCTGCCACCCTCGAGGACTCAGAGTCCACCCTCCTGGCATTTCAGTCTGAGTCAGTATTAGGCGAGTGAACCTGCAGGTTGAGGGCCTTTATGTCTCTGTCTCACTGCCATTCAAACAAAATGAAATTCCTGGGGGAAAAAAGTAAGTTTAAAGGGTTAAATTTATTTTGGTGCCAAAATAAAACCCCTTTGAAATCCATGCCTATGAGATGTCTTTAAGATGTTCACCAAGAATGCATATTATGAAAAACAGGCTAAAAATAATGTTTGCACCAATGTGAATGAATCATTCCCTTTTCTCACACGTTTCGGTGCGCTCATGCAAGTGGGGGGAGAGTGAGGCAGGCAGGCCTGCAATGGGGCTGCAGTCCGGAGCGTCTGGCTGCCCGACCGTGCCGGGCCCTTCCTCACTGAGCATTGTGCTCTGAGTCTTGATGCTCTTCCTCAGGTCTTCCCCAGCAGCCCTGATGAACGTAGGCTGCAGGCTGGAGGAAGGGAAAGGAGCTCACAGCATTCACAAAACTCACTAACAAAGGACCCAGGAAACAATTCTGTTTTCCCTTGTGAGTCTGAAGATGGTACTGTAAGAATACTCTGTGTGCGTGTGTGTGTGTGTGTGTGTGGATGTATGCTGTGTATATGTGTGTGTGCATCTGGGGTGTGATGTGTATAGATGTATACTGTATATGTGTGTGTGCACGTGGGGGTGTGGATGTGTGTAGATGTGTGCTGTGTATATGTGTGTGTGCATGAGGGGGTGTGTACATCTGTGCAAATGTGCATGTGTTCACACATGTGCACATATTTCTGTGTGCACGTACGCTCATGTGTATGGTTGTGCCTGTGTGCTTCTGCCACTGACCCTAGAAGGATGACTCTCTCATGTGTGTTATTCACAATGATGATTTCTGCAGAGGTGTTGCCCTACTGTCCTCAGGTGTCACCAGTCAGCTAAGTGTCCAGGCTAGGGCCTCCTCAGGGGTTACACGGGCCAATGACTCAGGCCTGGGACTGTAGCCAACAACATGAACAGAGTAGATTCTGGGATGAGACCAACCTCTGTGGAGAAGTAGCAGATGCCTCAGAAAGGGAGGTGGGGGCATCTGGTGTTCTGAGGGAAGGGGAGACAAAGGGGAGACATGGGGTAATTTCATGTAAGGTGCAGGGCACCTGGAAAGGTTGACCCTATGTGGACTTCTCTAGATGTTTGAACCTACTTCTCTAGATGTTTGAACCAGGGACAACCTAGATTTAATGGGGCCAGGACCAACAAGCTGTCACAAATATATACTGCAAAAAAATGTATCTAGACTATTAAGATGTCAAACCAAACAAAAGAACATTTTATTAAAGAGCTTTAAACATCCAACTACATGAAAAATTCTTCATTCTTCAGCTCTTGAGTTACACAGAGAGATATAGGATGTTTATGAGGATAAGTTAATCCTTTTGACTGGCCGTGGGATGGGCACTGTTGATGCCAGCATGTTTTGGCCCCAGCCTGGTCAAGCCTGGCCAAGACTTGGTCAAGCCTGGTCACCCACACATAGCACAGGGCAGTATGGGCAGCACGGCTTACTCACAAGACAAATGCTCTGCGTACATGTCCTGCCACAGAGTCTGTATCCACAAGTTGCAGGGGGTTTGCAGCCACCTGAGCAGTGTTCCCAGCAGAACAGAGGAACGGGCAACAGTGGCACCTTCCCATCCTGAAAGGCTCACCATGGTCAGCCCTCTCTGCACAAGCACTTGAATTTCACAGTATATTTCACAATCTAGGCTACATTTAATTCAATATAGCTACATCCTTACGCTCAGCCAGCATACAGTCTCTCTATCACAGACACTTGTGAAATGAGGACCGTTCGTGTTAAATCGTGACTGGGAGCCAACTGCAGGTTATTCAGTAACACTACCAAAAACAACTGTGCTTACCAAGACATCAGCAAACCATGTACATCAGACCCACTCTGGGCAAAGTTCAATGCACGGAACATTTCCAGAAGATTCCAGAAGGTTTCCCAAGAACTGTGCTGTCTTTGGAGGGAGGCCACAAAGGGTGAAGGCTAGGCACACAGCTCAGAGATCAGAAGGACTGGGCTTCCTGTATATGAATGTTCACAGCCATAGTACTCTCTAGGAAACAGCCAAAACACTCACCAACAGCTAAAGGATAGACCTACTGTGGCAAACTCAGACAACAGAGTGTCCACCACCACATAAAGCAATGGAGTGCCGACTCCTACTGCAGCGCTGACAAACCCCGAAGCAACACCTACTGTCGGACTCCATCTCTATGAAAGCATTAATTCACACAGACAAGACCTGCGTAAGACTTCAGACTCCCATTAAGTTTCAGCTTCCCCAACTCCAATGAAGCTCCCTCCAGCACACCTGGGAAGGCATCAGATGTTGACCCAAAAGTCCTGGGGTCTTTACTAACCACATGTAACCAGGGTGCAGTCCCTGATGCCAAGCTTTACACTGGACCAGCCCCCATCATTGCGACTCTACAGGAAGTAAACCAGTTGATGCAAAATCTGTCAGTTTCTTACTATGTCACTCATCATATCAGTAACCAATAAATAAAATATAAATCTTAAGTAGAAAAAAAAAGGAAAAATAGTTTCCAAGGCTGGTTTCTTTTCTTTAGGTAGAGGCAAAAATCCTGGAGTTAAACAGCAGCAAACGTTGCTCATGTGTAGGAATATGTCGAAATGTCATGAACTGTATACTCCCAAAGATGAGAATGAGGTATGAGGATTATACATTAATTTTTTTAAAAAGTAATTGTGCTGATTTAATCCTCCTTGAAAATTTAGAACAATAGAAAACAAGAGTCTGTCTCTATGAGAAATTAAACCTGATAAAGACACTATAATCAAACTATGAAGCTGGTGCATGAATAGAAAAAACAAACAACTGGACAAATTAACAATTCAGAACACATGCAGATGAGGAGAAAATAAAAATAAGCCAAGATGTATTTCAAGAAAATAGGTAGAATGTGTTAATTACTGGATGGTGTTGGGATGATGGACTATTCATTGAGAAAAAATGATATTATATCCTTCTGCAGAATACCCTAAGGTTCTCATTTGTAAAACAAACATACCCAAGAACGGAACAATTGAAAACACTGAAAAATTATATGGCATAAAACATTTACATAGCTCAGTTCTGGAAAGAGCTGTTAAATCAAAATCCATAAATCATTAATGAAAAAAATGAATCAATTTGATCAATCCAAAAGAGAAAATCCTGGAAATCCCAAAATATAGAAAACAGAGAATTGCCCAGGAAATATTCCTCCTACTGAGCGAATATTTAACATTTTTTCCTACCAACATCCCTATAATAATGACTAAAAAATAGGACTGCTTTATTCAGAACACAGGAGATGCAAACGCCTATTTCACCCATGGAAACAGCAAAAGAAGACCCAGAAAATTCATCGAAAGGTAACAGTTTCACAACCACTGGATCTAACGAGGACATCAATAAACTAGTGCTTTCCTGACTGCTGACCTAAGTGTGGGTCACTGAGTGTTAGAAAAGCACATTGTCAAATTTATTAAAGTGGAATAAGAAAAAAAAAACTTAATTTCTTATTTTTTTGGCATTTTTATAAACACTGTTAAAAATGAAACCCAAAAATCACATATAATTTGCCATATTGCATATACACCCATTGTTAGAATAGCATCATAAAATTTGCTGACTCACTCTGGAAAGAATACGCTAAAGTTAGCCATCAAACCAAGAGCAAACTGAAATACAACAAATGTGACAAATTAGCTGTATTGGGAAAATTTTGATTGTCTAAAATATCAAAACAGATGTTGTTCTAGAGATGACCAGAAGACAACACTGACCTTTGACAAAGGTTTCCTCTGATGGCAGTTGGTACCACCCACGAAGACCATGTTGGGCATCACAGGTTTGGGATAATCCAAAACAAAGTCAGTTCTTAACAACCAGATTGAGGTGTGGCTGAAGAGGTCATAGAGTGTGACAGGCTTCTGGAGAACTTCAGCGGCAGTTTCTAAGGCAGTTTTGAAAAAGTAGGGGCCAAGTAACCTCTCCTGCCAGTGGATAAAATGGTTCCAAACTCTCTCCTCAAAGGTCATGGCATCAGAGAACACCCCAAAAGCCCTGGGAACATAAGACAGAGGATAGGGACTCTGTGTAGCTTCCTCAAGATAGTGGCAAAGCACTGCCTTAGTAAAGACCACAGATGGCAGGGAAAAATATTTGGCAACAATTAGGCCGGTCATATCAAAAGAGTCCGTTAACACTGCATCAAATGAACTCTGCTTTATGAATTCAACTAAATTTTTGTCTTTAAATAAACTCCTGCCATGGGAAAATATGAGTTCAAAAACATTTTTGGAAGAACCCATTAAAAAGCCAAATAATCCACTCTCCTTCATTTTCCACTGAGTGTTGGCAAAATCCTTGAACTCACGATTCAGATCTTCCAGGGTGTGAGAAGTCGCATACCTCTTCACTGTGCAATTCAGGGACTGTCCCAGCTGCCAACTCACTTCTGGCACAACTACAACCAACTCATGTCCTCTCTGGATGAGCTTCTCTACCACCGAGCGCATGCTGAGCCAGTGGCTTCCATCCACAGGAACCACCAGCAGCTTGTCTGCCTGGCCTATGCCAGGTACCAGCAGCAAGCACACACAGAGAGGAAGGATGCTGGCCACAACTGCAGGAGCCATCACCAAATCGCAGCCCCGAGCAATGCACCTGCTTCAATTCCAAGCTCAGTTCACAGTCGGCAGAAGACACACACAAACCCTCTGCAGGAAGTGACGAGTGTTCTTCCAGTTAAAAAATAAATAAATAAAACAAGCCAATGTCATCCACTGCAATGATTTACCCATGAAAACAATAATTAATGAGGAGCTGTCACTGAGATAACTGTTTACTCTCCAGGGAGGTGCAGCTTCTGATCTTTGCCTTGGGGAGGAATCTTGTCCTGGACTGCAATGTGCATGTAGAAAGAGATATGAGACCATGGTTTTGATAAATGGAAACAGAAAATAAAGCACAAAATACCATTGAGTAAGGCTTGGATTCCTGCACCATAACCCTCAGCTTACTCCAGGTTTCATCATAGGATCATCTAAGGTTCCTTTCTCAGCAGGAAACTGGTTCCTTCCCCAGATTCCAGGGGAGGTGTACCCAGGAGCGATGACTAAGGAAAGATATACATAGATTTTTGTCAATATGTATCTTTCTTAAGCGTTTGACGTCCTCAAATTCATAAACACACACACACACACACACAGAAATATATATTTTGCTATGTTACAATGAGCAAAAGAAAAAATTCAACAGAAAACTTGAATAACAAGTTTATCTAACAGAAGTACAACTGCTTGGAGAGAGAGAACAATTGTAATTACCTGCATAGAATAGGAAGATACGAGAATGAAATGGAGTGAAGAGAGCTTATGAGGAATGTGGGACATCACCACGGAGAAGTGACGGAACAACGGACCCGGACACATACTTAAGGAAAGAAGAGCTGTAAAGGGAAAAGTGGCCCAATAGGGGAACCGATGCCTGAATTCAAGTACAAATGCACTGCATCAGGGATAATGGGTTAAGCTATCCCTTGCCATCTGCCACCATGAGGGTGCTGCTTTAACTTCCGGTTGTTCCACTACTGGTCCAGATACCTGCAAATGTGCCCGGGAAAGCAGCAGAAGGAGGTCCACGTTGATTGGGACCACAAGTCCAGAATGGAGTACCTGTCTCCTGGCTCTATCCTGGAAGAGATGAGCTATTACAACCTTTTGAAGAGAAAGCCGACGGTTGAATCATGTGTCAACCCCTTCCTCACTCTTCAAATAAAAACATACATAAATAGTTGAATAAACATATTAAAAGAAAAGATAATGAGCTCCCATGGGTGAGAGACCAGGTCAAGGGGGAAGAACTGCAGACAAGCAGTGTCAGTCTCTACCAGACAATAAAAATGGCTAAAAAGATACTTTAACCAAACAAACCATCAGCCGGCATATGAGCAGAATGCCAGTGGGCCAAACTGAGAATTCAGAATCAGCTGCAGATGAGGAAGAAACTAAAACCATGACAAAGATATTCAAGAAGTGGATGTAGTATGGATTAATTGCTAAATGGTGTTGGAATAAAGGACTATTCATTGAGAATCAGTAAAATTAGATATTTATAGCTGGATATCCTAAAGTTCTCATAAAAAATAGACTCAGAAGGGCTATGTCCCCACTGCTCCACTTCTCTGCTCAAGGCCTGAGAAACCAGTGGAGGATTGCCCCCTGGGACTCTAGCCTGTATGAGAGACCCAGAGGAAGTTTCTGGCTCCTGGCTTCAGATCTGATCAGCTCCGAATATTGCAGCTATTTACTGAGTGAACCACACATGGAAAAGTCTCTCTTGCCTTCTCTCTGTAAATTGGTCATTCTGACAAAAAAAAATATTTTTTAAAAACACAGAAAAACAATATGTCAAAATGATTTATATCTTTCTGATTAAAAAGAGCTAAACAATCAAAATCCATTTAAGCAAAATGAACCAATTTCACCAATCCAAAAGCAAAAATCCTTCAGAATAGAAACATGAGACTATTCTTAACACTCAGGTGATATTGAGCATTTACTTACACAAATGATCCTGTAAAAATAATTAAAGAATCAAACTCTGTTATTCCTGGGACAAGAGATGCAAATAACCAATATTCCCATGAAAACAGTGAAAGAAAACCAAAGCAGCCACACACAATGCTTTTACCCAGAAAATTAACAAAAAGGTAAATGGTTTCACAACCACTGGAGCTGCCAAGGACACTGACAATCTAGTGTGCTCCCGACTGCTGACCAAAGTGTGAAGTTGTTCCATGCTGGGAAGGCAGCTTATCATGTCGGTTCAAGTGCCGTCGGAGCGTGCTATTAGGCAAAGCCACTCGGTGACTTCGGAGCAAGAACTAGAAATTATGTCCACACAACACTGAAGGAATGCTTAGATCTGTCCCGCTCACAAAATAGAAATGTGAAAACTCAACTGTCGATCAGTCAGTTGATAGAAGACTCACCCAAGGTAAAGACTTGTAAGTAATTGTTAACAGAATTTTAAATCGCTGGCCTTGGGATGATGACTTGAGTTACTGACAAGGGAGACAAAATGCTAGACATTAATACAGTAGGTGTGAGAGTCCCCATTAAATATTTGTATGCATATGTGATCATTGTAAAACCTTGGAAGGATACACACAGAGCCTGCATGCTACGTGCAGGACTGCTAAACGCATTTTTATGAAGCTCAGCACAAGAACAACCAAAAGGGAATCATCCTATATTGCTGTATTTTGTAGTGTTTTTCAAAATCAGGATTTAAAGTGAAGCTAGAAATCACACATAATTTGACATTGCATATACAGATAGCCATATAAACTAAAGCAGCCCCATATAATTTGATGACTCACTCTTAAAGAAAGGGCCAAAGTGATTAAATCAGAAATGAATTCTAACTGAGCAATGTAAATAAAAAAATCAATTGTGTCAGAATCTTTCTTTTTTTTTCATATCAAAACCCAGCTTATTCTAAAGGGCGGTTGATACCACCAGTGTAGAACATATAGGGTATCACAGGTTTGGGTACTCAAAAACAGAATCAGTTCTTAACAACCAAATTGAAATGTGGCTGGAGAGGTCCGAGGGTGTGGCACGCATTTGGAGAATTTCAGAGGCAATTTGTAAGACACTTTTGAAACCATTGGGACTAGATAAACCCGCTTGAAAGTAACAAGTGTGATTCCAAACATTGAGAACCCCAACAAAGTTCTGGCAATGTAAGAAAGTTGGTAGGGGCTCTGTGCACTCCAACCTGGTTGGTTAGTAGACACTCAGCAAATCATGAAACCTGATGGAGGATCCAGTTTAAAAAAAAAAAAAAAGATATGAGCCACTGCCAATGATTTACCCAAGAAAACAATAATTGATGAGGAGCTGTCACTGAGATAACCATTTTCCAGGCAGGAGCAGTTTCTGACCTTTGCCTTGGGGACGCAATGTGAGTAGAGAAAGAGCTATGGGACCATGGCTTTGGACTTTGGAGACCAAGCAAAATTATACCAAGAATACCTAATAAAGCTTGCATTTCTGCAAATTATCCCACAGTCAAGTTTGGATTTTATCCTCACACCGTCCTCTGCTCCCTCCTCAGCAGGAAGCTGCTTCCTGCACCTGGTTCCAGAGGAGGGGACTGGCTGGGAAGCAGTTACCGCCCAGCATCTCCACTGTGCTGCTTGCCCTCTGCCATTCTCTGCAAGATTCTTGTGCATTCCTGCATCCCTGAGACCTCTCTAAGGCTGGAATGACAATGATCCCCGCCAACAAGGACCACGGGGCCAAGCCAGTTTATCACAAAGATCACTAATATAAGAAAACTAGCAAGAAGTGTTGGACTTGGACAACCTAACAGATACAAACATATTCTTTCCAACATCAATGAAATACGTATTTTCCAGATGCTCTGTGGATCACGTGGACCAACAGGACTCAGCAAACTTAGGAGCATTTAAATCAAATCAAATATATTCACCAGCCACAGGATATCAAAGTAGAAACTAGTGACAAAACCAGCAACAGGAGAAATTTCTGGAAATTCACAAGGGCATGGAAGTTAAACTATGCACTCCTTAACAAATAATGGGTCAATTGATAACTAAATGTTAATTTTTAAAACGTCTTGAGACAAACAAGAGCAAAAATAGCAACAAGTCAAACTTATCTACTAGAGAAAAATAGTTCGAAGGGAAAATTTGATAGCTTTTGCTGCCTGTTAAAAACGTTAGATTTTCAACTGCAAAATTTGACATTACACATTAAAAATACTAGAAAAAAATGAAATGCAAAAACAATAAGAAAGAATTTTAAGGGATAAAGAAATAAAAGGGACTTAAAAATATCGATAAAACTAACTAAAGAACTGTTATTTTAAAATAAACAAAAATAATAAAGCCTTAACTAAGCAAAATGAAATAGAGAAAATCCAAATGAAATCAGAAAAAAAAGAAGGACATGTTTTGACAAATGCCACTGAAGTAAAAGGATACAAGAAATTACTGTGAACAACATACGAAAATAAACTTGAAAATCTCAAAAATATTATACATTTCCATACCCGTGTAACCTGCTAAGGCTGGACTGCTAGATTACAAAAAAGTAGAAAATGTCCATAGACCATGATCAGATAGGGAGAGTCTTTTGTCAAAGACAAAACCAAGATTTGACAGTTTCTCAGCTGAATGTCACACAACACTCAAAGATCTTACATCCACCCTACTCACACTCTCCCAAAGCATCAGAGGGAGTTCATCCAAAGTCTTCACAAAGTCCTTATTACTCAGATAGCAAAGCCAGATCAAAAAAGAAAAATAAGAAAACTGCACACGCTGAAACCATTAATAAAAAATAGGTTCAAATATCCTCAACAAAATACGAGGACACTGAATTCAACAACACACTGAAGAATTATTTCACATGATCATCCTTAAGAGGCAAGGAGGGTCCAACATACACAGATCAATACATCAATCACATTGACAGAATGAATAAAGGAATGTATCACTTCATTATATACGTGCAAAGAACTTCACTGAATTCAACAAACTTTCAAGAAAAAAGTTCCCACCAAAGCAGCTACACAAGCAATGTGTCCAAAATACAAATATTGTCACAAACAGCAGGGCACCCTAACTCTGCGCTCAGTCCCCAAACACTGAAAGCTTTTCCTCCCAGATCTTGAACAAGGCAGGGTTGCCCATGCTCACCTCTTCTAAGCATCCTAGCATCAGCCATTTTTCCCA